TTTATCTATTAAGCAAGTGCTAAGTTTTAGAGTGTAATTTTCATCTAGATTTCATCTCGATTATTTGAAGTTATCCGTAACTATTATCTATGAACACCTGCAACGTAACGGCGATCGCATATCCGGTGAAAAACACGGATGTAACAAACCTGAGAACACTAAATGAAATCTTCGGTGTAAATTACACACCACCATACAGCACTTAATCACTAAATGAACGAAAAACTACCATAAGTGTTTGGTAAGACACGTCTGGGGAATAATGAATATATTGAGGCCAGCCTCAGCCACATATCAACCAGCTAGAATATCATAACTGACTTCAAGGCCATAGTAAGTGCCTTTGTAGTGACCTACTTTTATCAAGAGGACGCTATTGGTTTAATGGAAACAATTATTATTATAACCAATTGTGCCAGTGATTGTTTTACTGTACTTGCTTGTTTATCTGTACTAAAGACATTCTTCCATACTTTCTTCCATTGATTGCGACCTTGCACGAATTCGGTTACGCTTAGTAACCGAATTTGTAACATGGCACGATCTCGGTATTCTTTTGATACCACGAGATCGCCAACAAATACATCTCTACCACAGCCATCAACTATCTCCTGATATTTGGCTTACGGGGGATCTTATTGGTTAACTAGCACGTAGTCTTCCTGTAGTGGTGATCATAATCAACCGCGATTCGACGCCACACTACACCTTCACAACACTTGGCCATTTTATGCATTCAAGTGTAGAAAACAAATAACACTATTTGGCATTTTAAAGAAATACTTAGGAGTCACTTACCGTAGAAGTCTAATTGGCAACTAAGCCCTTAAATTTTTCACTGATAAACCTGTCTAGCATGGCAGTAAAAGTTTCGGTACACATTTTATTCGATTGGAAATATCTAAAGCCACAAAATATTTTCTTCTATGGACTGCTGAAAAGAGACGATAAGAAGATTTCTTTGTGATACTGACTTCTCTGAGGTATTGAATACATCCTTAAATTGCAAACAGTCTTTGTTTTTTTATAATATGCATTTTTCGTAACATTATTTCATATGTGTACTCACTGTGATTGACTATAAATTTTTGTTTAGTTGCAACACTGAATTTCCTGACATATTGTTTACACGACACATTGATTGTCACTTTCAGAATACACCGCTACCGAAACCACTCCTTGTTCCTGTTCAATCAGCTGCCACGCTGACAGATTCCTAATATCACTACCACATATATTTACAAATCGCATGTTTCCTTATTATCAGGTTCAACATACCGTATTGACTTGAATTATATGTTACATCTCAGAACTACTTAATAAATGATGTGATTGTGGGTATTTTGGACGCTGAGAAAACGAAACGTCCAAAAAATTACAAGCAACGTCGATATAATGTTTACTTATTCGTACTTGCATGTCATTAACTAGTTTCTTTACGTATCTCTACTCAACGTCTCTGCTAGCATTTCGATATTAACATTTTAGGTTTATTACAGATCCGACCCTATGTGTGGTAGTGATTGCTTGATTGTACAATACCTCTGCCAAAATACTTTCTGGAAACAATGGACGACTTTGAAAATCAATATGGTTGAGAAAGTCCTGTTATCTATCGTCTAGGTGAAATTTGGACATATGGTGTACATGATCAGCAGCCTAAGCAGTTGAAACCAATCAATGAAATGTATTATTACTTAAGAAACATTACAACTAAACTTAATCTCTAGGTCAGAACTTTACTAGATTCTGTTCAAATGATGCACATCACTTTGTGTACATTGAAGCTTTGAGAAACCACTCTTATTGTCAGCATCCAGATTTTAAGAGACTGAAATATTTTAGGCTTGTGAAGTGCTTTAGGGTTTATATTCTTCTGAATAATTAAGTTCAATAGGTCACTGCAATCGAATGTCAGACATAAAATCCATTTAGATTAAGATTTTTTAAAATTAATTTTGTATGTCTTTTGACTTTTATAAACCCACAGAACAGTGTCATCAAACTTAAAACGCCAAAAGTGAACCGAAATAGAATAAATCCGAATAGATTTTGTATGTAATCCGTGATTGTAGAATGCCTGACTCGTTCTTCGCAATATGTTGCGGATTCAAAAATAATTTTAAGCTTTTAAAACTACGGTTTATAACGTCTAAATTCATATATACAAAGCTAGAAGTAAGAATGCAGCCGACAGTTAAACGTGTCAGCACAAACTAACGTGTCAAACTGGGGATAATGCATGTGCAAAAACTTAAATTACAAATTTAAATGTATCAACACTAATGTATAAAAAACAAAATACTTCGTTTATTTGCCGTAATATTCCCTACTTAGAGGACTTAAGTTTGCTTTCTTTGTCGTTCAGAGTTCTTAAATAAAATGTGATAACACTGAGGTAAGGCGATGAGAATTCAATAATCCACAAACCTCTGAACACCCAGAGAAGTTATACCAGCCCACAAAACTTACAGTAGATTGCTCTTAAATTTGTTCAACTACATGTTTCGTAGAATCTACAGCGGTGTATTCAGAGTTATCACTATAAATATATGCTAGCTAGTGATCATAAAGGACACAGCTAGTCAACACCTCCAACAAAAATCTTATCCTCTGAAATTAACTGAACCCAGTAATTCATCGCTGTTAGGTACCAAACTTTGGTGGCACAAACATCTCAGTGGTGGTCAATTTCGTCATTTCTATTGTGTAGACTGTCAAGCCCTCGTTTCTCACGTTTTTAAGTAATAATTCCACATTCTTAACATTTTATCCCCGTAATATTCTATGATTAAGTATGTAAAGTGTTGTAGTTGGTTACTGTACGTACTGTAGAAAGTAATGTTCATGTATATTCCATTTATTTCGTACTGATTGATACTTTTTCAGAAGCACGGGTTCAGTCTATTTTTACAGTTTTCTACGTTGCTATACAAACGTTAGTGTTCGTTATAGATTTTTGATTTGCTTGAACAGAGGTCAATCCACGAACCATGCTCCGGCCCAGGCCTATTAGTATTACTGTGAATTCTAAAATTCATAAACACCACAGTAAGGTACTTTTCATTAGACCTAAATATGCAGTTTAACGGGTGCTAATAATCCTGCAAATATGGGGCGTTCATTATCTAAACATACGAGCTTTTTTGTTCCGATTAGGTGATGATAGGAAACCGGAGTAATTGATCATTACCGTTCACATTTGAAATTTCATGTCAGACTAAGATTTTCGGTGATATAACAAACTAATAATTGCTGAATCATATAGATTCCACTTCATTTACCAGGCCCCTCATTGTACAAAAATAACGATTCCGCGCTTAGACTCAAATCACTTTGTTCAAAAGTTCTATTCGCATCCATTCATATCAGACTTTTCCCATTATTGCGCGTCATTAATGTTTAAAAGTACATAGTCCAAGCCAAACCCAAAAATGCTCAATATTTAATTTTTAGAGAATGTATTCTGCAGCTTTGAATAATCAAATCCAATGCGTTCACGCATGACTAAGGGTAGAAAGTATTGGCTAGTTTCGTCTACTGACATTTTGTCGACATAAACCCACGATAAACACACCAAGGCTTACATGTCTAATAGGCTTGTCATTTGAAATTTTTTAACAGACACTAGATTACACTTTACTAGTAACGTGCTCAAGCTGTTATATCTTCTCTTCCAACGTAAGTACGTTCATAGTCTCTGGTTCCGCAACCGGACCACTATATTATTCACGACACCAATCCACATTTTTGGTAATTCTCTTTTTCAATGTAAAGACCGATTGGACTGGTCGGTTCAGAGCCGTGTATCTGCAGAATATCTTTTAAAGCAACTAGTCATTCACTCCTTGCTTGTTAGAAATAGCGTCATCCCTTTTAAATACCATAATATCATGAAAGGGATTCGACAATTTCCTCGACAATACTTGATCTCAAGACCCTTTAAATTTTGTAACCTTTTAACAATTGTTCTCATACCTGGAAGCTGAAGAGAGGAAATTTTAGATCCACTAAAACAATACTCTGTGTATCGTCAGTGAACTAGAGAGTTTAAACAGAGGAGGATTAACGATGGTGATGATTGGTGCAATGAATACGTAACATAACATACACAACACACTGTAGACAAATATTAAGCCACTCATAGGTGGATTCATTTATTCACCCTTGAATGTTGAAAATAACCTTTGGGAAATGAAGGTTTTGTGTATTCCCATACTGACCCTGGCTGAAGTGACCTCTTGTCCAATTTGAAGTGCCTGACCCTCCCATCGCTTGTCAAACGGGCCTTGTCCCATAATTTTTCTTAGTCATCTCTTAATTCAGCACTGGCAGATAAGGTCGAATCACCAGTGTTTGGGTGAGCGACCATTACGAAGTTTGATATTGGTAGTAGACTAGTACGTCCAAGTAGTCAGATAAGCTCAATTTTAAGCACACACTCTACTAACCCCGGAATCATTATGGCTGATATTACTGCGCTCTTAAGTTTAACCATCCATCGACAACCATATAAATTCGTTTGTGATTATCGTCTATTTACCTACCACTTTTCCTCTGCAGGTTTCTATGGAAGCGTTTATTATTCGCATCCTCTATCTACTAAAAATCTCTCTCATTAACGTTTTGTTTATCACTAAATAAAAAAATCCGACTAGGTCATATGAATTTTTCCTTCTACTTCATGAAGCTGTCACCAGATCTCTTGTTTGAAGGTGACGTAAAAGTATGGGGGCCTGTATACGACGATAGAAATAAGACAGATTTATGGAACGATTTAGATCTTGTTGAGTGAACAAAGAGAAGTATGCTATAGCGACAGAATATTAGTGCAAGTTGGTCAGAGTTATGATTTCCAATAGAACGTAATGAGTGCAATATATTTACATGGGGTTATTGATTGTAAGGACACACGGCATTTTCCTCTTTTAACAACCTTTTCTTTGACTCACACTCATGGTCTCAAGCCAACACACTACCGCAGGCAAAATCGGACTCCAATGCTGGTACATCATAATAAACCAAAGGAATATAGCAGTTAGTATTCAGACTCTCTGAGCACATAATTGTTGTTTATTGACATTTTCCGTAACTTTTACGTATTCAGTATTGTACTACGTTGTCGTTACCTTTAATCCATAAAGAATGAGTTCTGTTGCTGGAAACGGCTAGAGGATCAATATTAAAACTTATTTTAACACGTACTTAGTGAACGTTTTAAAGTCTAATACTGTAAAGCTTACTTATTCTTCAATATTTTAGAGTTTGATCATACGTAAAGATGATATTTCTTAAACCGATTCTTATTAGATGTAAAGTTAGTGAGAATCAACTGCAATATAACGAAATATTATTATCGATAAAACCGACGGACTTAACACGCAGATCCAAGTGCTCGTCGAATTACTTATTTAAAAGCATTTTTAAACGATTCAGAATCTTCTAGTGGCTGAAAAAAGCAGTTGCATTTAACTGAGGAAACTATCGTTTCGGTTGTCAAGCCTTATTATACTCTAATGACCTATTTACATCCGCTCGAAAATGTCTTGTTTTAATGAAGCCGCCGCAATGATCAAAACTCATATTTGTATTAAACGCTGCTGGCAACCTAGCGAACCACGGTTTGTTCAGTTACGCCGGAATAAGTATAGTACAAGCTCTGTACAACACACAAATTTCCTTTATTCACTCGAATTCAAATATATTAGAAAACTATGTGCCTAAATGATATGATTTTGATGCAGAAGTGTTAACAAAGTCTCAGCAGTACGTCTCGCATTCTACAGTCAAAGGTTTCTCTCTCACAACATAGTGCACGATAACAGTACAAAATAGTTATTGACTAGCTTTCAAGCAAGTGAGAATTTTCCTGTAAGTATTCAAACAACCGTTTTCTGCAGGCATTCGAATAACAACAATCATCAACTTTTCCATACCCAAATTTTGAGTTCAAACTAGTATAGTGACCTACTTTTATCAAGAGAACGCGATCGGTTTAATGAAAACAATTATCATTATAACCGACTGTACTGGAAATTGCTTTACCGTACATGTTTGTTTAACTGTACCAAAGTACATACATTCTTGCATTGATTGTGACCTTGCACGAATTCAGCTACACCCACTAACCACACTTGTAACATGGCACGATCTCGGTATTCTTTCGATACCGCGATATCCCCAACAAATACATCTCGACCACAGTCATCAACTGTTTTTTGATATTTGGCTTACGGGGGATCTTATCCGTTAACTGGCACGTAGTCTTCCTGCAGTGGTGATCATAATCAACCGCGACTCGACTCAACACTACACTAACAAGACCTTATCGTCAGTGGATCGACATCATGAGAAAATAAAATCAAATAATGGAGATGAATGACAACTAAATTCAAGCGACACAGTAGCATTTGTACAATCTGAAGACTATAATCATCCTTTACCATGGGGTCAGATTGGGAAAACAACCTTAATCATTCTTCAGTTACCTGATATTTCAGAGACCCCTGAAACAACGTACAATATCTTGACAAGTATATTCTTTTGCTTACTCAAATGCAGCCCAATGAAAAATGCAGTCTATCATTTAATCTAAAGTCCTTATCAGATCACTAGAACTGCTTGATAAACTTTTGCGAGAAAGCTGAAACACATATCGAAAAGACATTGAAGAGAAGAGTAATTCGTAAAGTGTATGTTCACTTTGCATATGATGCAAAAACAAAGCCAGTAAATGGAACAAGTGAACAACGGCAATAATTCGATTAGAAGAAATAAGGTTCGGTTCTGGTACCAACGATCAACACGGCAGTAAAATAACAGCTAGCAACAAGAAATTAACATATAACCTGTGAAACATCGAGTTAACTCTTAGTGGTGAAGAGATCTCAAACTTCCATAACACAGTCACCTGGTTGTTTAAATGGTTATCCCTCTTTGTATAGATAAAAAGACTGGCTAAATTTCCAGTTCTCATCGCAGCTTTTCAGATACACAACCATAGGTTTAGGTATATCAATGTTTATGGATGAAGACATTGATGATTCATATTTTGAATCTGTGGAATGGTTACAGTCGATTAGGTGTTCAAGTATAGAACCCCTAACTTCTTTCCTTTCCCCCTTATAGAGTCAAGCTGGAATACGTTCTCGTATCCGAGTTGAAAGCGAGCGCTGGCTACGGCCAATGTATTTTGCTCCACAAGAGCAGGTGAACTGGTAGTAACTCACATTTTGGATCTGTAGAATGGTTACAGTCGATTAGGTGTTCAAGTATAGAACTCCTAACTCCTAACCAGTTCACCTGCTCTTGTGGAGCAAGGTACATTGGCCGTAGCCAGCGCTCGCTTTCAACTCGGATACGGGAACATTGATGATTATTTGCCCTGCGATTAAAACGATTTATATGTTTCATTCTCATCAACGCTTGGACTCACTGCTGTTGTTCAGAAATACGTAACATGTCATGGTGGGACCTCTCTTCAATTATGTTGGTAGACTGATCCCAAGAGTATTCCGAACTTATGGTCCCATCTGACAGGAAATGCCTTCGTCATGCTTTTGCTAAGATATGGTATCTTTCTTCTAGGAGGATTTCAGAGAAAGCAACTGAAAAGGTAATTGAACTAAGGAATAAACCCGACCAACCTCACCAGGATTCACCAAACTTACATCCTTTTCAGTGCAGACTCAGAAGGAAGGATAATTGTGACGCATTATGTTGATCGCAATCCCTCAGATTCTTGTGGACTAGTAATTCACTCTAGTACTGAAATGGATATGATGTCCGTGAGAACATTTTCTCTCACAGATATTCTAAAGTTCTGTAACGGAGTAAATAACAGTGGCAGATTTGTAGTGGCATTGGACAATAGCCACACAATCCACAAAGCTATGAACACGAGACTACACTGAAAATAGATATTCAATATTTAACTCGGGGAAATACCTAACAATGGAGAAGGCGCGAATAATGAATTGAATTGACTGGAGTTGATCGAGTGGCATGGCTCGACCATGCAGGCGTGGTCCATCTCAATGTTACTTTATATCTTCTATTCATATTAAATATATTGTTCTTTCTCTAGCCTAACCTTGTTCTACATCATGTATTGGTAATTGATACGATACAGTGAGTTGGTGTAGTCGATGGTGTGACTTCCACGTAAGATCTTATAGATTAGGCAGTTATATCATGACAAATCTACAAATTTAGGATTAGGTCTATTATTAGAGCAGTACTAATATCATAGTAGACCATAATTCTACATTGGTGAGCCCAACTAGAGAAACGCAACCTATTATTGTTAATCTTATTTCCATTCTAAATTCTTTGATCTATTTTGTATTTATGTTAACCCAATATTCTAACAGTCCTGATTAATGCTCACATGTATTATCGTAATGTTATATTGATTAGTTCTCATGACATACTAGCTCAATCGATAATAAAAACTGGTCGTCTATATTAACTAATTAGCTTTGATGATTCGTTAAGAAGCTTTGATAGCATTTACATGCTTCAGCGACATAGACTTGTTTAAACATCAAGCTCTAGCAAATATGACCTGTAAATAGCGTAAATATACATTGACTAACAGTGCAATCAAGGATTGAATAGTTATCCGGATCTAATTCTTAGTGTTCCTTCACTTAACACCTCATCCTGTTTTAAACTATGCACTATCCTGTAATATCTTTTCTTCCGACCACTGCCTGCCTAATTTCATATTCTCGAGTTCCATTGCCAAACAACAAGGATGACACTTCTCCAAAAACATACGGTGAGTTCCAGCTATAAGTTTTCTGCAATCATAAGTTCATTTTAGATGGCTCATTCAATGGCACACACAGTTATCTGGATTCATTCGGTTGTTCTGATCCGAGCGAGTGGCAAAAACGTCAACAGCATCAAGCACCATGGAATTAATTGCCATACTGCATGTTTTATTCTGGATACTTTTGGATCATTACTACTCCTCACGAATGGCTTTATATATGTCGTCCACTGAATAATCCAATTTTCAAAAATAACCCAGGCGAGTTCAACTATTTTACTTAGTGATTTTTTTTACTTAACATGTATATGTTTTCCGGTTCCTTTTGCTATATATTTGTAAGTGTCCCTAGGCTAAATGCAGTAACTTATGTACTCCCTGGTAATCACATGAGCGTCACTCACTATTAATCATCTTGTAAAAACTTATTTAGCCAAATACATCTTACAGCACCACGTCAGTTAGTAATATGACACATAGGCTTAACTGATTTCAATAACTTATAATCACCATATCTCGTTTGAATCGTATTCTGCCCGCATACGTGCAACTAACTTGTATGCCCATCAGCCGGCAAGTATAAATATAAATATAAATAGTCTATCGCAGATCAGAACATTGAGTCTTGAGCATGTCTCTTACGAACACACTCATGTTTAACGATTTTTCCTAGCTATCTGTCCAAAATCCATATAATTATCACTCATGTATTTAAATTTTATTTTGATAACCATTCATGTGTATTAGTAGTATTACTAAATCCTATCACGGTCAAGTAAAAATGAGGTTGAGAAAATCTCCCCGTAACTAAATAAACCGTATCAAACTAACTGGAACACTAGTTGGAATTCTTCTCCACGGTATACTTTCGTTCCTTCAGTTAGCCTACTAATACAGATGCAATTGGAATTCAACTCATATGGACAACTTACCGGCATAATCGTTATTTGATTTCATAGTTTAAACCAAAACTAATACCAATATTAACATTTCTACAATATTCATTACTTTAATATTTCTAAACACAAAATAATTACTGCCTATAAGTCAAGTCATTAACACGCATCGTTTTATTATTATTATTATTGTAATCCCATTTTTTATAGTTCAAATAATCTTCAACCAAATTTTCATTTTAAGCGTGTTAATCATGAAAGCAGATATTTTAAGATTATTACATGTATTTCCCGACCAGATGCTGCCGTCTTTTTGATTTATCTTTCAGATTATCAATACCCGGAGGATCCTTATTATCCTTGGTAACCTCCGGCGCGCGACGATCCCATCCAATTTGGTATCGAACCAACATCACGTTGATTCTGGTGGGAGAGTAGTGTAGTGGCATTGGACAATAGCCACACAATCCACAAAGCTGTGAACACGAGACTACACTGAAAATAGATATTCAATATTTAACTCGGGGAAATACCTAACAATGGAGAAGGCGCGAATAATGAATTGAATTGACTGGAGTTGATCGAGTGGCATGGCTCGACCATGCAGGCGTGGTCCATCTCAATGTTACTTTATATCTTCTATTCATATTAAATATATTGTTCTTTCTCTAGCCTAACCTTGTTCTACATCATGTATTGGTAATTGATACGATACAGTGAGTTGGTGTAGTCGATGGTGTGACTTCCACGTAAGATCTTATAGATTAGGCAGTTATATCATGACAAATCTACAAATTTAGGATTAGGTCTATTATTAGAGCAGTACTAATATCATAGTAGACCATAATTCCGCAGATTCACTCACTAGAAAGCTAGAAGCTCATTTTGGAAACAGTGGTAGCGCCTGGTACTACTCCAGGCGTTATTCTCTGGTCACAAATATTTAACCAGTCTTCAGTATTTAGTAATAAGGATAATAGTTCGATGGATCTGTGTCAACCCTTGCAGCTTGTTTTCCACCAGAAGTCCTGCTTTTGATTGAAAATGTTAACTGGTAGGGCTGACATCACACGTCCGAGGAAGAAGAGTTCCAGTCATCGACCACTTGATGGGTAAAACAGAACTGCACTCTCAGTTTGTGGGGCTGTGATTTCTAAACCTCTTTTCAATAGCCTCGGAGATGATTAATGCTGGAAGGAGCAAAATGATAAGGCACATCAACACCTAAATCGTAAATAAAGATACAGAACACCAACATAAGATAACATTGCGTCTCGCGATACGATAAGAAGAGGTTTCGGCGATTTAAGCCCTCATCGTAAGAAATTCTGGGAAACCACTCCACTAATCTTGTTCCTACACGTTAAACGTGCTCACGTGAGTTAGTGTTCGGTGTACATGAACACACTATTTATAGAATTAATTTCTAAGCCCTAACATTAGAAACATCCAACTTATTCGTCTAGGTCAGCCTGGAGATTAAAATGATCAGCCTCACTTCTTATTATTTTTAGACTTTGAAGTCATCCGAAAAAATTTTTTCGATGACTTACGTAATTCACTGACGTAGAGAAGGGAAAGTAGTGGGCCTAAGATGGTGCCTTCGTGTATACCACCTTTGAACATCTTTCCATCTTCCCTTACTCTCTATCTTTGGTCACATAAGAAGCTTCTTATCCATACCTGTATATCACCCGTCATTCCGGAGCTCATGAGCTTCTGCATAAGATTTAGATGAGAAACCTTGTCAAATGCTTTGTTAAAGTCTATGAATATCACACCGACAGATAGTCTATTACCTAGGGCTGCTGTTCAACACCTCTCGCAATGAGTTGGACATGAATGCTAGTTTCGAAACCCGTGTTCCTAGGCAGTTAACAGATTGTATGATTCTATGTGACTTAGTAACATGGCCCAAATTAGTCTTTTCAAGTGCCCTAACTGCTATTTTGGTTAGACTGACAAGCTAGTAGTTAGATACTTTCTGTCTCTGACCATCTTTAAATATAGGGCTAAATATAGCATCTTTGCAATACTTAGGGAGTTGAGTGTGGGAAAGGGACATATTGAAGAGCATTATGAGTGATTCTAAAATAGTGCCTGCGAGAGGCGACAGCAATCGTGAGTGCGATGCATCAAGGTTCTGTGTTTTACCAGGTCTGCGATTATTAAGCAATCGATCGATAGCTTCTTCAGTCACATGTACTGATCTTATAGTTGGAATCTGAGTAATGTGGTGATGGGAAGTGTCGTCGTCAATACTCACAGAGTAGACTTCGCCGAAAGTTCTATAAAGTCTCAGCTTTGACTAGATCTGATTCAGCCGATATATATGAGTTTCACGCAACGTTTATGGAGAAATATCATCACTACGTTTTGCTGTTCATTTAATTAACGAAAACAATCGTTTTTGGCAGTTATGGCTACTGAATGATGTCTTTCATAAGTATCTCCACTCAAATGACTCATGGTTTGTTGATAAAAAGAAGTCTTAGAAGTGTTTCCTACGCCTCAGAATCTTTCAGGATTCCTTATTGGTCTATTGATTGCAATGTGATAGCTTGCATGTTGACCATGGGACTAAATGTAATGCCGCAGACCCGAATGTGGCCTTAAGCCTGTTCCGTTCGTTTTTTACTGAGTTATCTACACCGGCCAACCAATCTTTTAAGATAACACAGTCTGTAGGTGTCGAAATACTAGCCCGCCAGATAATGTGTAGTGTTAGAGCAGACACATAGAGTATGTTGCGTTCGAGACCCAAAGTACAGTACGACGTGACCGCTGTTTGGTAGTGAGGGAGGTGACATTACCATAATGGTTTGTAAACACAAGATTCAGCGGTAAATGCTAGTGTTCCAGGCCAGTCTGTATTAGTTTTGCGCAATATTGTAATGGTTGACAGCAAGCTTCTGTCAAAAGATCCACCTCAAGTTGTAAGTTATATCCAGTTGATATGGGATGCGTTAAAATATCCAACGATAAGAAAGCAGTCGACCTTACTCCAAGAATAGATATGACCTAAGACAAAGTCGTTAGCAAGACAACATGGACCACGGAGTATTTCTTCTATAGTCGCCAACCCCTCTAGATTTAATTGTACAACAAGCTACCTCACATGTGTCACCATCATGAGCTTCTTATATGCTTGATCTTACACGGAGATGACCTCTTATATATAATATTATGCCTCCTTCTAGAGATTTATAACTTTATAGCTTCTAATACAGATGTATCCTGTTATGATTGGCGAACAGTGTACATCTACACTAAAGGTTTAACAACAATAATTTAACCTCTTCATTATACAGAATACTCTTTTAAAAACTGAATGTAATCATAAGACATATACTCGTCACTAGTTCAAGGTTTAACGTCGTAATCGTTTTTCTAGATATATTGGGGCCACATCAAGGTTGCAATCAAGGTAATCTTGAACCCCGCTAAAAGCACTGACAAGGGTGGATCTAGACCTTCATGACTTTGTAAGCCCTAGGTGTTTTTATTCTGTTTCATGAGAATATTTTGCATTTTTGTCGTATTTTGAGAGTTATGATTACTGCATAAAACCACCTGTCTTTGGCGAAACGTATTCCAATACACCTTAACCATTATAATGGCTATTATAATAGGTTTTATTAATCTTACTTTTTGAATCAATCAAGATTTGTACGTTTCAGGGCTCGCCCTGTCTTGTGGTGTTTTCTGTTGCAGTGAATATATCTGCACTGGGTCCTATGTGAACACGAAAAGACAAATTTCACGTCGTTTTGTAGCAAATTTGATATACTAGATTACTATTTCGAATTCAGTAATACGAGTAACTAAGACGAGCTATGGATACTGATTACAGGAAACGATAAATCTAAGCTGTGGCGTGTATTTTTCTTAGAGTTATACGACTCTTGTTTCATAATCAGGATGAGCGCAGAAGACATGTCCATATTGGAGTGCATGTTTCAATTAAATGATGAATTTAATCATTTAAACTGAACCGCTCCTGATTGGTTTTCACTGCCGATGACATTTACGTCGAGGTTAAAAAATTACTGCCTTACGAAAAAACTACTGTAATTACCACAATCTAACGCATTTCTCCTTAGTAAGCTAACACTAATTATTAGTGCTTCGCCAAGGTATTTCTAATTCCGTAGTTTGTTATTTACTTTTTTCGTACGTTAAAATCTAAAAGCAACAGGCTCATTAAATCTGAACAATAGGTTGATAAAACAGCATGATAATTAGTAGTATTCGAATTAATGTACTAAGAATTCCTTAAATAGTGTTATTTAACACAGGTAAAACTGGATGAGCACACATGGACGCACCATATTTGGAATTCGTAATAAGTGCACAATCAAGTAAAAGGTAATCATCAGTTAGTACAAATACTACAAACAGTCTTACAGCTCTAATTATGCACTCTGCTCGTTAAAATAATGCCAGACCTATCAGCAGACATATTTTAAGGTTCTTCGTAAAAATGCATGTTATCTGCCCTAAAAACTTTACAAATAAGGACCGAACGCTTCGTAAACAACTGATAAATTGATTTAACAAACGCCCGGGTAAGACCATCGTAATACGTGAGTATAAGTCTGTTATTTGTTTTCTTCATTGGCTAATATAGTAGAAGGTTATATTGGAATTTATTCATAAATCATATAATTTGGTGGAAATCTATTGTTTGTGTGCAGAATATTCCACTCGTAAATTGGTCAAGAAAATACATACACTTCTTAAAAGTGATTCACTTGTTCAATGAGGTTCTAATACTTGATCACTTCCGATAGTCGCAAAAACATCAGACACTGCACTCCAACCATAACGACGCTATACCATATAGCTAAGTACGTCTACGAGTCGTTCTTTAAATTCCCTATTCTTAATTTAAGTTTGATATTCGTGTTTTCATGGTATGGGATATCTGAATGTCTAATCACTTCTTACCTATACGTCATGCCCTGTAATATGCAACCAAACTAAAACGTGGAAACATCTAGTAAAGGTGATTGTTGGCTTACTTTGTCTGAATGTACACTTTATAGTTTGGATCTACGAAACGGTTGTAAAAGAGATAAATAATGCCTCAAAACTTATCACATTGAAACTAGTACATACAACTAGTCTTTCTTTAAGTCTCGAAAGTCATTAGTACTTTTCACTCTAGTTTTTTTTTCGTCTAGCTTTCGGTGTTCTTAATCCTGAGTTTTAACAACTTATCAAACCTTATCTATGAGTAAAGTTCAATACTGACTTTTGGTGAGATGCGGGACACACATTTCGTTACTCTTGGGACTCAGTTGTATTACCTGCGTCTCAGCCCAACCGTTGCTGCTACCTTAACGTGGCGGTCGGGTTTGCCTTTTGTGATGAACCAATCTAGCTATACTGGCTGGAACAATCGTTCCTCAAGGTTCTACTATTCCAGACAGGTCGGTTGAAGAGCAGTAAGACTACAAGCAGCAAATTCAAAGTCCGAGAACAAAGTCGTACTGCTGACTGTATACAGGTGTGACGGCAGTAAGATGTTTCCTTCAGACAACCAGTAGTACAGCAATGCTGCCTTACCACAAGGAGTCAGTCAGTCAGCTACAGCGTAGGACCAGGCACATATATGCATCGGTCCAAGTTGCCATACCTCATTAACACAACAAGATGGACACCGGATTCATAAAAGTAGTTAATTCAGAGGTGGTAATATATAAAAGAAAGATTGTAATAAGGATATAGTACAGGGAGAAAGAATTAGTTCGTAGAAAGAAAGATATGAAGCAATTTTAATCTCTTAGTTTAAGGGAAGATAGAGAATGTATACACCGACGCCATTGTGATCGATTCTGAGCCATGTCACCAAGAGTCTCCAACCACTGGTTACGATAGTCACGCGGACCCCAACCAAGTAGTCTGCATCTACCAACATGGCTCAGACTAGAAGTTAGTGACTTCAAGCATTGATGTCACGTTTTGGTTTGGCCGTCCCTAACTTTCTTCCAACCATCCCGAACGCCGGTTAGCATTGCACGTCGTGGTAATCGGTGTTTGGGCATACGTAACACATGGCCCAACCATCTCAGTCGATGAAGATTAACAACCTCATCAACTGATTTACCATCATTCCCTAACACCCTGGCTCTAACCTCACTATTACTTACCCGGTGATCCCAGCAGACGCCAGCAATATTTCTAAGGCATCTATGGTCAAATACTAGTAGCTTACGAGTATCTTCTACTCTTAATAGCCATGTTTCGTTGCCGTAGATTAAAACAGTATACTCGTCCTTTTATTGAATTACGGATATCTCGCGTTCGCCATAGGTGATGTAAGTTGGCAAAAGCCAAGCGAGCTTTTCGATTCCGTGCTGAGATTTCGTCAGACACCAACCCATTAGGGCTGATCAGACTTCCAAGATAAGTGAAGTTGTCGACGCGTTCGACTACTTCACTCCCTATCCTTAGTTCAGGTGTTGACTCAGACCAGTCCTGAAGCAACAACTTGCATTTAGAGGGAAAGAAGTGCATTCCAAACATTCTGGCATTGTTGCTCAGTGCTACCAAAAGACTCTGCATTTTATCGGCGTCTTCACCAAACAGGACTATGTCATCTGCGTATTCTAAGTCGATAAGTTGACCTCCTGGAAGGAGACCAATACCCGAGAATTCAGTCTACGAGATTGTTATTCCCATCAATAGGTCTATGATGAAGTTAAACAAAAACGGAGAAAGTGGACAACCTTGACGGACACCACTTGAGGTTGCAAAAGCAGATGACAGTTCGCCATAAGCTCTGACTCGACTAGTAATGTTCGAGTAAAGAGCCTTCACAAGGTTTATGTTTTTCTCAGGTACGCCTTTCAATGACAGACACTGCCACAGAATCTCGCGGTCTACCGAGTCAAATGTTGCTTTTAAGTCAAGAAAGACCACCATTGTCGGACGCCGATAAGTATGCCTGTGTTCTGGAACCTGACGAATGGTGAATATATGGTCGATGAAGCCACGACCAGGTCTGAAGCCAGCTTGATTCTCTCGTGTTTGCAGTTCACGAGTCTTAGTTAGGTGTCCGATAATTATTGAGGCTAGTATTTTAGATACTATATTAGCTAAAATAATCCCTCTATGGTTTTCACAGGATGATTTTAACCCTCTCTTATATATTGGGACGATAAGTGATTGTGACCAGTCAGGTGGAATAACGTCTAACTCCCAGATCTTAGCTAAAATATCAGTCAACCTAATCGCTAAAATTGGACCACCATCTTTAAAGACCTCTGGAGCCAATCCATTTGGACCAGCTGCTCTTCCTCGTTTCAGATTAAATATAGCCTTTTGAACTTCTGCTAGAGTTGGGGGACCTACTTCAATGTTCCATTCACACTGTCTGGGAATAGTGGATAGTTGTAGAGTAGCTGAAGGCCAGCTGAACTGTTCCTCAGTGTCCCACCCGTCGTTCTAAACGTCTGGACTGGGAGCAGATAAGTGTCGTCTTTTTCCGAAATAGTCTGACTTACACTTGACTTATTAATTCCAGTTTCTTTTATTAGTCTGTAGAGCTGTCTTGTGTTCCCTATAGCCGCCGCCTTTTCCGTCTCTTTTGCTTTCGTTGCCCACCACCGCTCACGGTCATTCCTTAGACTTTTGATTAATGTAGATCTGATTTGTTGTCGCTCGTCATCGTGTTCGAAGACAGATGGGATGAGTTTACAAGAATCCATCAGTGCAAAAGACCTAGAGGAAATCCATTGGTTCTTTGTAACCCTGTGGTTTAAATCACTGATAGATGTCACTGCTGTTTCCACAGCAGTTTGTATAGCTTTCCAAGCAACATCTGGGTCAACCTCGTTTTCAGAACTACCTAATTGTGACCGCAGTTGTTCCTGGAACCTACTTTTGGTTTTCTCGCTACTCAATTCAGTTCTAATGGGTCTTTTTAATGTGGCTTTTTTGCGTCCAGTGAGGCGCAAGCAGATGCGTGCCCGTATTAGGGCGTGGTCGGAGTCCAAGCAGGTACTCCAGAGTGAGCGACAATCTTCTACCGACCCTCTCCAACGATGACTGATGGCAATATGGTCTATTTGAGTCCATCGTTGGTTTGGTGTAGGGGGTCGCCATGTTAGACGATGTCTCTCCTTATGCTTAAAATTTGTGTTTGCTAAAAATAAGCGATTGTCTGAGCACAGTTGCAGCAGACGGTCACCATTATCTGTTCGCTGTGCCGGAATGCTAAAATATCCACCTAAATGCCTTTTTGTTCGGTTTAAGCTACCTATCTGAGCATTAAAGTCACCTGCTACGAGTACTATTTCTGAACGTTTAGCTTTCTGAAGAAGTTCAGAACGCTTTCTGTAAAATTCATCTTTCACATCATCTGAGCTGCAGTCAGTGGGAGCGTAGGCAGAAACGACGAAAAGGCAACGACGTGTATCCCTATCCTTCCGAGTTCTTACGGAGCCGTTTAGCCGAACAGCACATAAACAACTGTCAACGGGGATCCACTCTAACAGTGCTTGTTCTACCCTCATGCTTAGTGCTATCCCTACTCCTGCCAGTCCACGAGAGCTGGCTGTCGGGTCACCAGATACACGGAGGGTGTATCTCATCGGCTCTCCGTTTTGCCGAGGTGAGGTCAAGTGAATGACCACACTGGGATCCTGTATGCGTGTTTCGGAGACACAGCATATATCAATGGTACGAGATTCTAGGGTTCTAGACAAGGAAGCCTGTTGACCGATTTGACATAGGTTGAAGGCTCCAATGTGTAGTGTGGAGCGAGGTTTCAGTAGACCTGGGACAGTGTTTTGAGCACTAGAATCGTTGGCTATGGTGACATTTGAGGAGGAAGCCGAAAAAGGAAGTTTAGAGGTGAAAGTCAATGTAGGAGGAATAATAGGAATTGAAGAGGGAGGTTGATCATGAATACAGTGGTCTTGAGTGCTGTTAGAGGTATGAGAGGTGGTTTTCACTTCCCGGTTGCCCATACCGTGGAAAAGTTGTTCTGGAGGTACCTGAAAAGGAAATTGGATTAGAGGTGGTCTTAGTGACCTGGAAGCGTGAGCGCAGTGCCCAAGGGACAACTGCTTGAGGTCGGTCACACACGACCTTTTTATGGGTAATTTTTGTGTTAGCTCTGTACTTTTTGGGACCTTACCGCCGGAGACGGATATCCGTGGGATAAGGCGAGGTGTGCATTTTTAGGGTCGACCTTTTCTAACCCCACCCCTTCTTGTGGGAAGGCAGCATCGCTGTCATGCTGGTTGTCTGAAGGAAACACCTTACTGCTGTCACACCTGTGTACAGTCAGCAGTACGACCAAAATCACCCACGTGAGCTACAAATCTTCTCTACCATATTCTACTTACATATATTGACTGATTGTTTGGTTATTTTGTGAAATTTTGCCATTTATTTAAAGCTCTTCTCATTTTTTGCCTTTGTTTAAAGGAAATGAACGAAATGAAAAGTGAATTAACAAAACATTATGGTGCGAATTTCGTCTCGTCTCTTCAAAAAGCCAATTCTGAACAAAATTCAAAACAATATCGATGGTTAGAACAATGCTATGAAATAGTTATATCTGCGAAAATCGATAATAATAATAGTGGTGATATACCAGTTATTCCAATTGATGGAGGTTCAGATGCTGGTATGTTTTGTGTAGTCGGCGCTCAATTCGATCCATCTCGTATTATTTATCATCGCTCTACTACCATTTCTAATAATAATGATAATACTAATAACAATAATTCGAAATCAATGGAACCGGGTGATATAATCTTAGCTGTTGATGGTTATGAACTCTCAGGTTATACGAAACGTGATGCTATTACATTATGTAATGCTTGTCTACAATCTCATTCACATGTTCGATTGCATCTTAGTCCACCTCATGCATTAGTCACAAGTAGTACAATGTTGTCAAGCTTTTTGGCCATTTCATTTGCAATGGACTCATCAGAGTATGCCCTTCAAGAAAAAATACGAGAGAATGTTTATCAACGTGTAGTACCTTGTAAGTAAACATTAAAAAAAACTTTTTGATATTGGGAAATTTTTTATCCTATCACTCCTGTTTTTTTTATACTATCGTACACATTTCGTTTATTTTGGATTCCAGTTCTGAAAATTGCTGCAACCTAAACCGCTTCCTCAATTCACCTTCAAAGTTCTTTGTTCTTTTATATGGTTGGTGATTGACAGTTAATTATGAATCTTATTTAAATAATTTCGTATATTCTTTTATTATTAGGTACAACTAGATTACCCAGAGCAGAAGAAGTAGATGGAGTTCATTATCGTTTTATGAATGTACCTCAATTTCTTGCACTTGAACGTAGTGGACAATTATTAGAAAGTGGAATGTATAAAGGTATTATACTCTCACTGTTTTCATCCGTATTTTATTCGGTAGTTTTCTAATTTTGTGTATTGTGTTTGCTTATAATATTATGCTAAGATATAATTATGGACATTGTATTTTCGTACATAATGGTTTATCGCAAGATATGTTTCTCATTGGATATATGTCAGATTTCAGCGTAATATTGTCTGCTTCATTTTAAGCGTAAAGTGAATAGAGTATTTACTACATTTAGAAAGCTAGACTGATCAGTTTGAGCTGTCCAGTGACATTGCCAGCTTCCACTTATAAAAAGTTTGGTTCAGGGTCTATTATATAAACATGTTTATGCATATATAAACATGTACTTAGCAAACAGATTATTATTATTATTATTATTATTATTATTACTATTACTATTGAATAATGGGATATGTGCAAAGTTGGCAACATAATCTTCCTGTTACCCCAACAAAAATGTTGCTCATGAACTACACCAAATAGGAATTCGATAGTCACAATATTTAGCATTTTCACTAAACACAAAACATTTATAACTAATAATATAATTGATAAGTTATGATAGGGGATGAACAACTATATGACACGAAAAAACTGAGAGGGAAATATAGTAAACCCGAGAGCCAATCACTGAAATTCAAGGATAGAGGGGCGGATGGAACACTTCGAGGAACTCTTAAATAGACCGGTACCATTGAATCCACCAGATATCGATGCAATACACATCTTCCTATATATGTTACTCTACCAACGACCGAAAAAATCAGGATGGCCACCAGACAAATCAAGAGTGGGAAAGCAATAAGACCTCACAATATACCAGCTGAAGCACTACAGTCAGACATAGAAGTAACTGTAGACATGCTCAACATTCTATTCGGGAAGATTTGGGAGGAAAAACAAGTGCCGACGGACTGGAAAGAAGGATACCTCATGAAGATACCAAAGTAAGGAGATCTGAGCAAAAGTGAGGTATCACACTACTGTCAGTACCAGGAAAGGTTTTCAACAGAGTGTTGCTGAACCGGATGAAAGATTCAACAGACTCCCAACTTCGAGATCAACAGGCTGAATTCCGTAAGGATCTTCCGTGCACAGATCGAATCGCGACACTACGGATCATCGTTGAAAAATCAATTGAATGGAACTCGTCACTATACATCAACTTCCTTGGTTATTAGAAAACATTTGACAGTATGGATAAGAGAACATTATGGAAATTTGTTCGACAGTATGGAGTACCTGAGAAAAGCGTCAACATCATCCGGAATTCATACTGTAGTGAACAGAACACGAGTGGAGGACAATCGGATGTATTTTAGCACAACATTACAGAGAATCTCACTAAAATCTGAGAACCATATAGTAAATCGTTAATTTGCAAAATATCAATCCATCATATCAAACTCGACTGTTCCTGTTGCAAACATCAATCCATTGTCTCAGATTTCATGATTCATGCATTTTCATACCAATTGCGTTCCGTTCCCGTTCTTTCCTCATCGACCTTCTACTGAGATACATTTTATGCCTGACCACGGTTATACACTCCTTGTGTGGATATAAGTAGTTCACACCACAATACGACGGACTACACTGTAAAGTAGTGCTCGGAGGACAGCTGACAGACTCATTCCAAGTGAGGACTGGAGTCAGACAAGGCTACCTACTTTCCCCTTTTCTCTTTCTTCTGGTGGTTGACTGGATTATGAAAACCTCGACATCTGAGGAGTAGCACTGAATGAAATGAAAAGGTTGGATGCGACTAGACGATTTGGACTTCTCATATGACATGGCCCTTCTATCCCATACACACCGACAAATGCAGGTCAAGACAAACAGTGTAGCAGCAGCCTCTACATCAGTAGGCCTCAACATACACAAGGGAAAAACCAACACCAACCCAATCACACTTAATGGAGCATCATCGATGAACATGGAGGACCTGATGTAGATATTAAGTCACGGATTGGCAAAGCAAGGGCCACATTCTTACATTTAATAATAATATATTCTGAAAATAATAATTACAGAATTCACACCAGTTGAAGGACATATGGAACTCAAAACAACTGTCAAACAATATCAAAGTCAGAATCTTCAATACGAAAGTCAAAATAGTTCGACTGCACGGAGATGAAATGTGGAGAACCACTACAACCATCACTAGAAAATTACAAGTACTTATAAACATTTATCTACGCAAAATATTCAATGTCCTTTGGTTGCATAACATTAGCAACAGCCTACTACTGTGGAAGAGAACAAACCAGCTTCTAACTGAAGAGCAAATCAGAAAAAGGTGTTTGGAGTGGATAGGACACACATTGAGGAAATCATCAAACTGCATCACGGAGCAAGCGCTAACTTGGAATACTTGAAGGGAAAATGGAAAGAGGAAGACCAATGAATACACTGAGTGATGAATCGGAAGCAGACATCTAAAGAATGAATGACAACTGGAAACAAGTAGAAAGGATTGTCCAGGACATAGTTGAATGGAGAATGTTGGTGGGTGGCCTATGCTCCTTCACGAGGAATAACAGGCGTAAGTAAGTATTGCAGGGGATAAGCAAATAAAGTCTTCAATTTGCTCTAATGGTGTTATTTAAAATCACATTTCCTGTTAGTTCATCTTATTTTACATACTACATACATCCCCCAGTTTCATTCTTAAAAAAATCTCATGAATTGTTTTCTTTTCAATTTTTTGTTCTATTTCAGTTTACTAGCTAAAAAAAAGTCCTATCCATGTGTATATTGATAAGGGCAAGCATACTCTAAGCTGTCAATTAACTTATTGCTTCTTCCTATGATGAATGGCACCAGTGTTAATAGTAGTAACCTTTATGACTCATAATATCTTGTCGCATTTTTGTATTGTTTATTACGATAGTGTGGTTACTAACTCTGTTGTCTTTTGATGGTAGTAGCTTTTGCACAATAGTTTCTAGCTTCAGTAGGTTTTGTTTTACACAGAGTAGTTAACTTTGACCTTGATTTGAATAAATTTCCATGATTTCTGATTGGTTGCAAGAGTGAATATGTAATGAGCTGATTCATACATAATTGAATTTATTTGCATAAAGATTTATTGACACATGTATTATACACATGCACAAGTATGCAATGAGTTGCTCACTTATTCAGCCAGTATCGTGATAGAAACAATATGGTGGGTGATGATTATTAGTTGCTTAGATATGTATGTCTATAATGATGACATATATGATAATGTACAAGACAATGATACTGTTTTTTTTTATCTCTCTCAATAGTCCAATATGACCAGTTCTGAATAGTATCTATGTTGTGAAAGTCTCAAAAACCCCGTATTGTAGTTTGTTTGATAAAATATTTAGTCATACATATATAATAAATTTAAACCCTTTAATTCATTGAAATCATAAACCGATCTAAGTTAGACAATCATTGAAAACCTAGTAACACTGGACTGCTGTTTCGTCCCAGTATGGGACTCAGCAATGCGCAATGGATCAAATCCAGGAAATTTGGTTTTAACCTGTAAACCATTGAGCCGGCATCTAACTACAATCCATAACTTTTACTTTGTGCTTTTTACACTAGAATTCTTTTCCATAGAATATACATAAATTCAAATTATAAGATGTAATCAGAAATCTCTGTAATCAAGTCCTGATTAATCGGCTTTTCCTTCAGTTAACTATAAAGTATGTATCTATGGAATACTGACGTTTTATCATTCGTTATTTGTAGTACCGATTTTATGATGAAGACGATACAATGTCTTTCTGATTTTGAACTATTTCTTTATTAAACTTTTGAACAAAAAAATACAGAAAATGAATGCTTGTTTGATTGAATACAAATAGTTACACATATAGGTTTTTTCCGTAATATCAACCAATTCCATCCCTAAACAGATTTATATTGTCTTGTATTCTATTTAAAATGTAAAAAAAATTAATGTAACCCTCGAACTAAAATCGTAATCGGTTTTGAGCAACACGTTTTACGATACTATCCAGGCACCACAGTCTAAAGTAGATGGGTAGGGATTCGAACCTGTGTTCAAATGGTTGAAAGCTCAGTATTTTGACCACTGTACTACCTCACTACACTTGTCTCTGTTACCCAGGAAAAAAAACATGAATTTGCACTTACTGGTTTTCAGTCAGTGATTGTATGTCAATAAAAGAGAGAGATAAGGATAATAGCAAAGAACCCTGTGTATTAATATACATTACTGCACAACTATAAGGGATTACACCCGTAAACTAGGGACAGTAATATAAACAAATGGAAAACAAATAAATAAAAGAGATATTTTGAAGATTTACAGGGAAATAATTAGTAAATGTGTATGTATCTTTGCTACCCATTTCAAATTTATTACTTATTACGTGCGTATTACTATACAGAAAGTTATTACTGCTCCACTTGAATTAGGGTTACATTCGGTAACCTATTTTCTTGATTTCGTGACTTGACCTAATAATCGTTAATTTTTTGTTAAAATCAGTCCTACATCTATTATCATTCCTGCTCTTGGTTGGGCTATGTGTAACCTCTGTATTAGACACTTCAATCTAAATACTTTTGCAGTGTAATCGACTGATTCACCGTGTCAAAAACATCCCTAACTACATTAATGTTGATTCTGGTCAGACAGTTTTAACCGAATTAGGATCTGGAACAAATGTGTGTAGATCCTACTTGTTAGGTTTCGTATTAGTAAAACAAAAAGGCATTGAATGAATGAAACATTGAAACATTTTTGTTCTATCAACAGGATAAATTAGGATCCTAGGATCGAAATACCTACTGACAGTTAAACTTACATATTTATTCTCTAGGGAATAATATACTTTATAACTCATAGGTTAGTCTATGAAGTTCGGAAATTTCCGATCTGAAGGTCGTGTGTTATTAATCATTTTGGATGCTATATGCTAAAAGGTCACATTATATATGCACATACACATCTCGAAGGTTATTTATTCTTTTATATATAAGTTGTCTTTAAAATGTTTAGTTCCTCTTTTTTTTCGTTTTCCTAGGTAATCATTATGGTACACCTCGACCAGACCCTAATTCTACCGCTTTAGATCCTGTATTTTTAGAACAATTCCAATTATCCTCTACAGACATTTCACAAATCAGTGATGATGCATGTAGGATCCCACCGCCATTGGCACCACTAAGCTCATTTAATACATTTGCAATGCATGCTACCACTACTGCTTCGGGGACTAATGGCAGTAACATTACTACTACCAGTAGTAGTAGTAGTAGCAGTAATAATAACTCTAGTATTGGTGTAAAATTAAATGATCCATTACAACAATTACCAACATGTTCTCCACCACCGCCTCCACCAATTCGCAATTCATCAATTACAAAAAATTCTAATATTGTCTGTAATACTAATAATATTAATATTAATCATGGTAAAGCATCGACTAATCTGTTAACTTTATGCACAACTGAAAATTATCTGACAAAAACAATCGATAACAACAATAACAATACACAGTTAAATGGATTAAATGAATTGAATGGTAAATTGTACCTACCACGTCCAAAATTTTCGAATGATGAAGCTAGTCTATGGTCACCCAGTGAAATACATCTAGTGGATGATCATAAAACAACCGCGTTGTCCACAGCATCAACAACAATGTCAGTTGCTGCCAATACTATTACTATTACAACTACTACCAATACTAATACTACTAATATGAATACCACTACTATGTCTAACCATGTCAATACGTCGATGACCAATGGTTGTTCACTCATTGAAAGTGTAAGTATATATGTATTATGATGTGTAATTGTTTTTTAGTAGACATTATTTTGTAGTTTTTTTCTTTTCTGATAATTATTTCAATTTAATTCACCGTTAGTCATCAACACTAGTACTTCGATAGTTGAAGCATTGTCGTTTCAGTCTATAATTTGTAGACCCATTTATTTTGACCATTAAATCTCACACAAATAGTGTGTTGCTTATAATCGAGTATATATAGACCTGTACTTGGTAAATGAGTTATATAAATATTGTTTAGACCTGGTACATATTTATATCAGTCCGAGTTAGTGTATCTCCCATCATATCTACTAAAGAGGCAATTAACGCAAGATTGTTCTGTGTTTAGACCTAACCGTCTCTTGGCGTCCTGACAATCTATCTCACTAGATAGACAGTGTATATTAGCAGATAATCAGTCCTTTCTGGTTTTTCATGCCTCATAAAGATTTCATGTATCAATAACTTTCATTTTATAAGTTTTCTTAAATAGGAAAACTACTTATTATATTACTTCTGGTTACATAGTGGTTCTGTGTCTCATGTTATCTATGATTGAATGTTTATTTAAACAGTAAGCGTTTCCACCACATTGTAGTTGAAGTCTTACTTTAGCCTACAATATTAACAGGATTTTAGGGGACATGACTTATGCGGTGTACAGTATTTGTGTTGAAGGCCAAAATTGCCCATCCACAAAACATTAACAATCAATATCTCGGAGAGGTCCTGAAAAACAGGTAGCTCCAGTTAAGAAATGTCTTTTTTAGGTTATATAGTTACTTTTTTCTCAATATTTCTGTGCATTATGTTTGTTACTTACAATGATATGTCACACAAGACGTGGTATCTTATTGTTGGTTAAAAAGTCATAAACGTACTTTACTTTATTGAAAATCAATCTAAGATTCTATGAAATGTGAATAAAGATTGACAGATTTAGATGTAAAGTTAAGTGATCAATGCTAAAGTACTTTCTTAACAGAAAGACGATCAAAAAAGTAGCTTAGAAGTCCATATCTAGTTGAAATAAGTAAAAGCTAAGAATGAATATGATTTGGGGAGGAGGCTGGAAGGATTTAGCAACCGGTTACTGCCCAAATGTAGACGAATAAATACCAAACTTGGTTTGTGTGTGTGTGTAAATGTTTGCTCATATGACAGCGAGTCAAGATTTCGCTATGATGATCACGTTTGGGAATCGTTTAAATTTGATGAATATAATGGTTTTTCTTTACTTAACACACATACTGGTACAGCTGGCCACCAAAAACTATCTTCCTTATGCAGAATAAAAAGATAACGTTGTAAAGAAACAAAAGAGGTTAAAGAAATAAGATTGGAGGTAAAACTGAACGTAAATAAGATGTAATGGGTGAAATAGTTCCTTTAGAAATACAACCAAGAAGTATTTCTCTCTGTTAACAGAGTTTCACTTTTATGACGAGTGTAAAAAGGCTACATCAGAATCGCCACTATTCTGTACCATCTACATAACCTCAACTAGAAAGTTTGAGTAGACAGACCAATAGAGACCAGTCTTATGCTCCTCTTTCGTACCACAATTCAGTCCCATAAACTGACCACCTCTTCACTTTTTATACACCGTCGCAGTGTCACCAACACTCAGTAGAGAAGTCACTGGGATGAAAGTAGCACAGTTGTTATATACATATGAAATATCCGACTAAAATTACGTTTAATGTGGATAATTTGTCAGTTAACAAATGAATGAATAATCAAAGGTGAGAATGCAAGGTTATACAATCAACAATGATTACACACTTTCGCTCGTTGTTACACTATCATGTACAGCTGTAGTTTGACTGCAACTAGTTACAGTGTTAAGAAATGACAAACTAATCTTTTGTCTTTAATTTGTTTCCCTTTACTTTGTTTTCGTTTTATTTTACTGTGAATATTGGAACATTTTATGCAATTAAAACTTACGTACATTTTTGAATATCTTTTCGATTGTTATCAACTTATTTGGCGCTCGCTCACATTGTAAATGTTAACTTTCAGCTTTCAACTCTTGCCTATTATCTACTTCAGTTTAAATAAAGGGTTGGCATTATTAACCGTTGCACAAAAAATATCGTTTAAAACCGAGTACATGTAGCTATATTTTGTTACTGTCGTTATATTTCAAACAAACAATCAAAACATTCAACTCGTAACTAGTGTAAGTACACAACCCATCCCATATACTTCGGTTTGAATTTTAGGATAGTAATATTTAATTAATCTTTACCCAGATAGGTGTGGTCTAAAATCAAGCACACAAATTTATAGTTGGTCACTTAGCTACTGCAAATTGATAAAAAATCACAGACACACACACACACACATCCAATAATCTCTCCACTCACTTGTACGAGAATTTTATACAAATCCTCTGATTAATAAATCATGACTTGTCTACTATTCACTTACATTTATTATGGTTCGATGGCGTGCAAGAATATATATATATCTTTCATATATTTTCACTCGTTATTCGTTTTACATAGCTACTACATCATCGGCTTAGTTGGCTTCTCTACTACTGTTTCATTTCTTGTCTTCATTTGGCTTCCTTCTTTTTTATTTATCAATAGTTATGTTGTTTATAACTAACTAATTCTACACTTTAAAAGTTTAATTAATTACTACAATTTTCTATATCTTTCAGAGCCCTTATTTTTTACTTCTGCTTTTTTCCCTTTCTCGCTTATGCAAATCGATTTGTCTGACATTTTTATCATCAGCATCGGTATCAGATTTTTTTCTTCTGTTTTTTTGTTGATTTAAGTGACTTCCTTGTCTAGATATTTACCATTTAACTATGTTAACATATTCGTACATATACACTATTATTATTATTATTATTATTATTATTATTATTATTATTATTATTATTATATGTTATTATCATTATTACAGTTTTTTCTTCTAACTAAAGTGTATTACTTTCTCTGTGTCTGCTTATTTGTTTGTATCTGGGTGTATGTACATTTATATATATATATATATATATATATATATATATATATATATATATACAGTCGGTGTATAATTACGAATACAAAAAGAACACAAACTTTAACAGTGATGTTGTCGAGTATAACTTGTGAGAAGACATTAGGATTAGTATTGTCTGTTAAGTTACAATTTGGGAAAAATGTAATGCCCTTAGATAGACTGTATTATGTGTTATAGATTTATGTCAATGATTGGAATGTTGTTAGTCGTAGGTCCTGGTACAAATGTGTATTGGTCCAATTTTTCATACTGTATCAACATAATGAGGTGAAGCACACCCTGACGACTTAATCAAGCTATATTGTCTCGAAGATTTAATATCTTTACGTCTTACCATCCCAATCAGGTCAGTTAGGGAACAGAAAGAATTAAAGCAGAAACTTGAAATCCGAGAGTGGAGTCGTGCTGCCAACTGTTCAGGAGCGTGATAACAGGAAAGTGTTTCCCTTAGATAGCCAGTATCTGCAGCCGTACTCTTTCCCATAACAGAAGGAGAGGGTTAGAAAAGATAGACCCTGGAAAAGTACTTTACCTTGTCTTACGGATTTCCGTCATTCACAGTGAGGCCTTCAAAGTACAAAGTCAACACATCGAGATCTACTCTAGGAAAGTCTATGTGTATCCAAACTCATGTAGTTATTCCTTGAGTTCTGAGGTCGTCAAGTTTATTTCTCTATCAGTTTCCTTTTCAGGCGCTCCAACAAGAAGTATCTTTTCACAGTTTAGGCAACCGGTAAGTGATAACGGTCTTTCATACCCCTTAACACATAATCAAACCCCATAAATTGACTGACTGTTATAATCTCTGATCCTTAACTTTATTCATATACATAATTATTCACCTTCCTGTTACATAACACGCATGTGCACATAAAGCTTACTTCTGTTACCGATCAAACTATCATAAATTACAACGTAGAAATGTTATGGTGGTAATTTTTTCGTCTGGCTAAGTGAAATTAATTTCAAGACCTGGAAAAAAACAGTTAATCGTAATCTCTGTACATTTGTACGTATATATATATTCTTATTGGCGTTCAGTAATAATTCTTTGTGTAATTAACTTGGTATATGTTAACTGATGAATAAATAGACACAGATACAGAATCGTAAAATCTGTTTCATTTTCTAAATATTTTTTATTCTTTTACCTAGATGTAATATTTCTGACAATGAATTGATAAGGAATTATACTGTTAAGATTATGTTAAATATTTTAATTGACTGCTGTTACTAGTATGTGTATAAAACGAAGGAGATAGTGTATAGCTTCAAAAAGAAGTTATCAAAATAATGTGACATTTCGATAATTGTCGATAAAGGCTTCCACGTGCATTATGATACATAGTGAACTTCAACCACAAATAAATACACGATGAATAATGTTCTGAGTAGGTTAGAAATAAAATTTTGGATGCCCAAACCAAGACATGATATCAGTTCACTAAGTCATTAACTGCTGAATTGAGTCATATTGGTAAATTTAGACCAACTAGTTGGGGTCTATGCAATCCATAGTTTAATATACATCACAATGGCTCAGATAAACTTTTTCTTTATCCTACCATAAACACTGAGCTTCAGTATCATCTCGTACTTTATATTCCTTGGATTCATCCCTTTTCTGATGTTTAATCTGTTTCACTTTCATTCATACTACTATTATTCTGTTTCAGTATTTATTGTGTAAATTTCCTCGCCCGTATTCATATAGTAAGGGCTCTTGAAACGATTCATATCCGTATCAGGCCTTACATTGATTATGACTGACTGACATTTTTGTCAACTCCTTACATTGTTTGTGACCTACTGGTTATTTTTGAAGAACTAGTCTAACCTTTAAACTGCATAATTAACTTTCAGGAACTGTTTGGTGGTTTTTAGTATTAGTTAATGGATTACTTATAAACTTCTATGTAAAATTAACAGTAGAATGTACACGGTATTATATAACAAATACTGTTTTTTTCTTCGATGAGCAGTTAACTATTTTAAATATCAATGGAAGAACAACAATAATCGCACACTTAAGACCATATGCAAATACTCATACTTTTCCGCACATTTCGTCTGCTTCAGACATTTAAACATAACAATAACGACAATATATGCAGAATACAATGAATTCATTGTATTTTGTTGTCTTCTCTTCAGCTACATACAAGATAATAGGTTTAATTATTTTCAGTTATTAACGCAATTTGTATACATTTGTATGGATATACAACCCACTATCTATATATCTGATTTTTCCTGACTCAGTGTAAGCCACTTCTTCAGAGAATAAATAACCAAGTCAAAGTTAATTAATTAGTATACTTGCCTCGTTCTTTTGTATTATTTAAACTTGGATTAATTTTGATTTGGTTATTTATTCTCTGACGAAGTGGCTTACACTGAGTCACGAAACGCTAAAAAATCTAATTTTTCTACTCATCGGGATATTACAAATATATCATTTTATTCATAAAGTGAATACTTCATTTGCAAAATGCCAATCAATCCTCTCAGACTTCATTGTTCTCTTGATTCCACTCCAATTATTCGTTGTTCTCGTTCTCTTTTCATCGATCTTCTTAACCTTCTGCCTTCAGGCATTTCACTCTCGATTGATGTTACATACTGCTTATATCTATCGACATCAGTAGCACATACCACAACCTAACTACATTGGCTGTTCCCTGAGGTTCTACTATCTCACTCAAGTCGGTTGACTAATAGTGAAAGTAAAAACATCGAATTTAATGTACGAGTGCAGATGCGTATGGCCAACAATATTACAGCAAGATGTTTCTCATAAATAACTGGAGTCTCTAGCGATATTGTATGTATGCACCGATAGTATTGTATAAACAATTTTCAATTATAATTCGACTTCTTACATCTTTTTCTTGTGAGATGATTTTAAATCAATATCTCATACTTTGTACATCGTATTTTGTGCATATGCTTTTTCATCATATGGATCTTTGTTTAAATGAAGTCTATTTTCCTCTTCTAGTCAATTTCACTTTCAGATTGTTTTTTCCTTGGTCCTCATTATTCCCTGTACTGGTTTCTTTCTTTTTAAACATTTTGCCATCCCCTCTACATTCATATAGACTTAATAAGAGAGATACAAGTTATAAAAGAATGAGAGGAAGGACGATAGGTATTTGCGTTAAGTAGCTGAAATATTGATTAATTTTAAGTTTACATATTTTATAGAAAAATCCATTGGGTGGAGATAGTCAATAGTAATAAGTTTATCATTGTTATAAGGCAGACAGATTAAACCTCTAAATTGAAGCTATCATCATACATTGTCTATTTTAATTTGACCTGTTTAACATGTCGATAAAATACACATTTGTTTATACAAAGAGAGAGCAATGCCAACAAAAATGTTTTAACTAAGCCATTTAGAAGAAAGAGTTGAGTAGACTGTAAGCTAATGTATTCATAGGTCAATAAAGTGTTAAATATATCCCAATGAATCATTGTTCGAAATCTTAAAAAATCAACAATTGAATTCGAAATTTGAGTTAACAGTAGTTTCTGTGATGTTGACAAAGACCAAATAGAAGACATGATTGGAAATGAAGGAGTGTATTCATGAAGTAAATAGTATTTGATAATCAATGAAACTGAAAATCTTGCGTAAAATTCAGAGTGAATACATGTGTTTCTGCAATCGATTCTGACCCAAATCACCTAGCATTTAACCATTGATCATTATTATCGTAGGAACCTTAACCAGGTAGTCTACACCCACTAATACAGATCAGGCCAGTAGCTAATGCCTTCATGGACTAGTAACACTTTGTATGGCTGCTTTGTAGCTTTCTTTCAATATACTTCAATGCTAGCCAAGATTGTTCATTGAGGTAAGCGTTAGTTAGATTTAAGTAACACATGTACCACCATCCATTTAAGTTAGGAGTATACACTTACTCATCGGTGCACAACATAACCGTGTGAGTATCATACATTTTTATGTAAAGTACGGTAAGTAGATTTTGATTCTTTGACCTACTACTTTAATCATTAAATCACCACTACTCCACCTTCACATAAGTACAATATATCAAAACAGTGCATTAACCCCGACAAACACTTGGTAAATCAGTTACATTCGTATGTATAATATCTGATTCACTGTGTATACAATTTTTATTTTTCCAATATAGTTAATTATGCTTACAGTTGTTTTGTGGGTTTTTTTTTAAAATTGTTTCTATTAGTTCTGTGATCAAACAGCTTATTCAGTGGATAAATTAGATCAAATTGGTGAACATGTATTACCATATGGTTGGGAAATTGTGCAAGATATAAAATATGGTACATTTTACATTGATCATATTAATAAACATACACAATATGAACCGCCAACAGTTGAAGATTTTCAATTAGGTGAAAAAGTACGCATGAAGTATTTATCACAATTTGATACAATTCATCATAAAACTAAAACTAATACTACTATCAATAATAATCATAATATCATCAAAAATGTAAATAATGATGTTAACGCCAATAATAATCATGATGATAGTCAGAATGAATTAGGCTCATCATCCATTAATGATAATGGACGTATAACTCCTGTGACATTTTGTTCCGATTTAAAACAATTACGAGGTCCACTGATTAATACAGTTTTAGTGAAAAGTCCACGTGGTTTTGGATTTACAATTATCGGTGGTTCCGATTGTAATCGGTCGGCATTTTTACAAGTACGTTTTTCATTAAATTAAACTGATTTGTATTGTCTATTTGGGTAACATGCATTTTAAAAGGAATTTTCTTTATTATTATTGAAAGATTACCTTATTCATTATTCATTAAACTGCAATATGGGTGGCCTAGCGAAAGTGCTATCACTACGAAACCTAGATTAGACCTCTGACGTGATCATGTATACGTACTGATGAGAAGCCTCAAACTAAAACGAAAAGGCTATCTAGTGCCAACTTCATATCGTTCATCCTTGTTATCCCACTGATTGTTGATGTTCACATATGATACATTTTTATTTGGAGCCTTGTTTAGTACTCCAAATAGTTTAAACAATTACTTCATAGTCAGTCCTTAGATTCCTGAAAATCCATAACTATTGGATTCTCAAACAAATTAAAAGTTGAAAATACACTTACTTACACCTGTTAGCCCCCGTGGAGGAACATAGGCTACCCACCAACATTCTCCATTCAGCTATGTCCTGGATAATCCTTTCTACTTGTTTCCAGTTGGTATTCATTCTTTAGATGTCTGCTTCCGATTCATCACTCAGTGTATACATTGGTCTTCCTCTTTCCATTTTCCCTTCAGTATTCCAAGTTAGCGCTTGCTCCGTGATGCAGTTTGATGATTTCCTCAATGTGTGCCTATCCACTCCAAACACCTTTTTCTGATTTGCTCTTCAGTTAGAAGCTGGTTTGTTCTCTTCCACAGTAGTAGGCTGTTGCTAATGTTATGCGACCAAAGGACATTGAATATTTTGTGTAGATAACTGTTTATAAGTACTTGTAATTTTCTAATGATGGTTGTAGTGGTTCTCCACATTTCATCTCCGTACAGTCGAACTATCTTGACTTTCGTATTGAAGATTCTGACTTTGATATTGTTTGACAGTTGTTTTGAGTTCCATATGTTATTCAACTGGTGTGAATTCTGTAATTATTATTTTCAGAATATATTATTATTAAATGTAAGAATGTGGCCCTTGCTTTGCCAATCCGTGGCTTCATATCTACCATCAGATCCTCCATGTTCATCGATGATGCTCCATTAAGTGTGATTGAGTTGGTGTTCTCAGTGTTGTATTTAAAGATCTTGGTTTTTCCCTTGTGTATGTTGAGGCTTAGTGCTGCTGATATACTGATTGTCTTCATTTACTTAGTACATGACACGGGTATTTATTTAATTAAAATCGTAGCGATTATAATAATAATAATAACACAATAATAAAGCGGAAGTATCCAATTGGATAATTAATTATTTATTTGGTTTTATTGATATTGTTAGTTATTCTTACATTTGATCCTTGACATTTTATTTATTCCATCTCATTCTACAGTAAACAAATAAATAAATATCATTTATAATTAACATCAATATGATCTGGAAATTTTATCACATTACTTGAATGTATGTATGTGTGCATATAAATATTTCATTGTCCTTAATTGAGATAATTAGTGAATGAAAAGATTCTGTTTATTATAGTCATTCTGTAATTTCTCTACTTATGACAATTGTTTATTTATAATTACCGCATTAATTGATGTTATTTATGCATTAGGTATAGTTTTATGTGAATAGTTTAAGTGTTGGACTTTCAAGCATTAAATCTTCTGAATTCTTTGTGTCCCTTTTTTTCTCTTTCCGAATTTATTTCACTGAATTATACTCCTTGAGTAATATCTTCAAATCCGAATGTTTCCGATTACTGCTTATACTCCTCTTACTACATCTACCACTATGGGATTTGAATCGACCACTGTATCTCTTTGCTAATGTGGTATGGCGACTCGAACTGATGTACGTACGTACGAAGTTCTACGTTGTTACTGACTGATTGATGTATACGATATAGCATCTCAAACTGCAAAATTTTTCTTGTCATTCACTACAAAAGATATGAACACATAGTTAAAACAAATTGCTAATAGCACATTATGTATCCGTCAAAATAATGCAAGCAAAGAAAGTCGTCACAAATCCTTAAAGTCTGTGTTATCACTAGTATACCTAAATAACTTCAGTTTTTCGTTAACGACATTAATTATACATTGAATTAAACTCTCAATTATTTCCAAACAGAACAATACTTAATAATTACTGTCAGTGTGTTATATCATTGATCGTAATAGTGTCATGGTCAAAGAGTCTCTATAATAATTACATCAATACAACTCGTTAAATTGGCTCATCTAGGTTGTATGTATCATGATACAAATGTTTGTCACTCGCACTTCTCAAATTTCATATGGGCACAAACAGCAAAAATTAGCACGATAAAAAACATGAAATGCAGTTTATATTTTTCTATGATCCTTTTATTGTATGTAGCAAAACAGAAGAATAAATTCATTGATTTGCCTCGGTATTTATCTTTTGCGTTCAACACTATTGTTGTTCCCCATTATAGAGAAAATTAGCAATATTTTCATTAGACTGTTTTCAGTCTGATTTGTATACACTTTTTCTTTTGACTAATAGTTTTTATTTTAAGAAATATGTTTGAGTATTGAAATTAATTGTATGTATACCCCCAGGGATTAACATTACCATAGTAACACTGAACTGAATAATGAATAGAAAGATTGTACCGGAGAAAATCATTCATTAGACTACACTTGAAATACTGATAACTTGCATTGTGGTCAGTTAAACGATTACAAGCAATTAACAGAACACACAAACTGTATACTGTTATTGAAGTTATGAACCTATTTAAGATATACCAATATTGGAACCTCGGGTGGTCGTTTCGTCTTAATATGAAACGACTACTCAGCTTTCTGCATTCACCATCCCATCATAGGAATCGGGCCTAAAACCGTTGGTCTCCCGCGTGGACGTTTCTCTTTTAGACCACTAAGTTAGCATCCAGCGGTGTTAACACCTAACTTTTAATCAATACATAATTATCAGTTTGTATTATCTCAATGAGGTTTCTGTTTCATGTACCACACATTCTTTAAATCTATTGCACATGGTGCGCCAAAATCTGGATTCCATTAAATACATTATTACAACAATAATACAGTATCATAGGGAATCGTTAGATCAACTAAATTGACATTAAATCTAATAGAAATATATGTCAACAAACAGTGTATTTAATTATGAGTCATCTAATTAACTCTAATGAAATTCTTTCCGATTATGGGTTAAAATTACAACCCAACTGTTTAGTACATTAGGATCTAATTGGAACTCAAATAGTGAATAATTACATTCACATCGGCTGATTTCTGCTGAATGTGAATCTGTATTTATTCCAGACACCACTTGACCTCAGAATTGTTTTGATTGATGTCTGGTTAACATTTTCGACATTTTCCTTGCTTACACGAACAATTTAAAAATATCACAATTATCATCCTCATAACTCTAAAACATGCGAATAATATTTGTATTTGTATAGAACGAGTACATCTCGTGATATTTACTGTTTTAATGACTTTTCTGTTGCAAAGAAACATGTTCACAATTCACATCATTGTGGATAGATAAATATACGACATATCACTCAATTTCCATTCAGTCGGTTCACTCACACCACATAGGCAATCACACAAGATACTTTACCTATGGAAAGTCAAACGAACATTCAAGTGACTAACATTTACGGAAGATGATTGTGTGGAGTTTTCGTACAATCAGTAACAAATAGTAACTTCTTATCCTGAACTGACTACCTGGAAATGATAAGGAGTTGGACAACTGTGTCACTTTTGTTTGAGACATTTCTCAACAGTATACGACTACTTATCCATATTATATCAGATCGAGGGTATTTGAATTTCACGATGAACACAGCATTACATTTAGCCAGTAAACTGGTGTTCAGTAGAAGAGATATTCAAATTTAGTTTACAATATAGTTCGTAAAAAGATAACTGAATATACGACATTTTTCTTAACTTTTATTTAATTGTTTAACTCAGAATATGTGTCAGTCTGGTAGTCAGTTAGCCATAAACTATGGTTTTACTTAGCACATGTTCATATTAGTTCAAACAGCCACATCATATCAATACAGAGATAGAAAATTATCAAGGGTATTATAAGTTTTACAATGTCATTATCAGCCGTAACATCTAAAATGCAGTGTAATTCCAAGTACATAAATTCTATGCTTAGTAAATAAGTCTTAGAAGATTAACTGCTTCAGAATATATTCACTTTCTAGTGATTTATTATTTCCTTTTTCTCTTCAATATATTTACTGATTATCTAGGTGAAACATCTTGTCCCAGGTGGTCCAGCTTCATTGAATAGCCAATTAGCTGTTGGTGATGTTATGGTTAGCGTGAATGGGACAAATGTTCTCGGTTATACACATTCTCAATTGGTATCATTATTCCAGTCAATCCCAGTTGGAGCTAGTATTAATTTACTAGTGTCGCAAGGTTATCGATTACGGAGAGAAATTGGTAGTGATCCGCCAACACATTTTAATGGTTCAGTATCCGGTAATCATCTTGGTGCGACAGGTTTTGTATCCGGTGTGATTGATATTTCTGCTCAGGTAAATAAATGAGTTATGAATGTTTATCATGTTTTATTTGTTTTCAGAAGTCCATTTTATTTCATACAGCATTCAGCATTATAAATTCGTTTTCTTCAACATGAATTCATACAATAAAATTCTGCCGTATATCTTACGCTAAACGAACTAACGATAATGTAAAGAAATAGAAAAAGGAATGGCAAGTCATGAATTGTTAAAGAGTACAGTTTTAAAATCGATTTCATCCATTTCAAAGAACACAAAGACAGTTCACAACATAATCGTCACTAATCTCTGCTAGAACATAGCTATGAAAATTTGATGCCACTCATTTCTACAGTTTTTCAATAGACACATCCACAAGGTCTTGTTAAGTCTGCGCGTTTTATTTTAACATAACTATCCTTGATTCTATGTTTGTTTTCAAAATTAACCACCAGAATCAGCGAGCAAAAGGGACTATGAAAGTCTATAGGACCATGTAACTCACCAAGCAATTTTTCGAGAGGACCACCCTCGAATCTGAAAGTTTAATTCTCGGAACAGTTTAGAGATGTCAGGAAACTCTGTTCGTACTTCATTTGGTGCTTCAGGTTCATTGATTCTTTGTTCACTACAAATCTAAAAGAAGTTTGTGTAACTTTTTAAAGTGAACACTATAATTATCAGCCTACTTTCATTCCCAGGCATTTTCTTCACCCCCTTCCTTTTTACCAACATATCTCTGCCATTTAAAAGCCATGGATTAAATATCTTTGAAAAATGTTTGAAACTGACGGCCATATGAGAGACCATTGCAAGTGAGAGTAAATTCCTCTTACTGAAAATTTATTTATTATTTTCAGGTGATACAAAGTGTCATTCTCCACACTGTGTGACTGCACCACAATCGACTAACTCATTTTGTTTCATATCATTGGCTTTATTATCTGTGTTTCCCTGCTTTATTCTACGAATGAAGCCACAGAATTCGATCTCTAATAATCAGTTTGTTAACTGCACAGAGCGTTTTCTGAATTTATGTATATATACTCGTCTTTTATAATTTGATCGTAATTCAGATGTTTGTCTTTCTAACTATCTCTTACCATTTCCTTCTATTCAATTGTGTTTTGGTCGTAGTATCACTGTTTTTTTTTTCACGTATTGTCAAATATTTACTTTTCTTCCCCCACCCTTTACCTGTAGAGTACTTTAAACAATCTGAAACTCGGTGAGGATACGTTAGATAATCTACCATTGACGGAGTTACATCTAGTTAATTCATCAAGGAATTCCGGTGTAATCTCTTCACATTCTTCGATTTCACCAACACCACCGCCATCAGCATCATCATCGTCTAATAATGGTAATTCATCTCAAGAGCTACTTGCAGTACGTTCTAGTCCGTCTAATTTAAGTGGTGGTAGCTGTGTTGGAAAGTTGCGTAATTCACAAAGGCCGGAATTCTTAAAGGTGATTGATATTTGAATCAGTGTTGTTATCATTGTTAATTTTCATCTTGCCAAGACATCAATTTTTCCAGTTCTGTTATATTATTACATGTTAGTACTTTTTCCAATAGGATAGCATCGATGACATTTTTCTTAATTCATACTTTTACAAGAACTTCTGCTGCTACCCGATTGATTGTTATCGCTTTTAGTTTGCTAAGTTTGTTATGTATCCCAAGATCATTGTTTTTTACTAAATAGACAGAGGTGTTCCTCTTGAAATGTGACTTCTTTTCGGAAGAAACAGTTATCGTGTAAGTGTTGTCTTCTCTGTTAACTGGTGGATTATTAGAACTGAATTGTTATCATGTGATAGACATCCGGTTTATTTGAGTTACTCTCTGCTACCTCATATTGGAATAACCCTCAATCGTTTATAAATGTATTTCACCGTAAGCCGACTGGAAACTCATTATGTCAATTGTTCTTGTTAAGATATAAAACATCTGGGAAATTTATCCTTTACAATTCTAATGAAATGCTTAAATTTCTAAATGAATTTTTCTTAAGTTGTCTGTCAACTTGAACCGATGTACATACATACAGGTTCTACGTTGTGACTGACTGAAGAGGTGTGATAGGTTAAGTTCTCGTTAGGATACTTAAAGACCCTTTGTCTAGTGCTAGGAACAAATGGCTTTTTGAGTGCCTCGTAATTCTCAATGATCCATTAACTGATTTCTAATATCAGTTAAGTTTCTATCTCTTTATGAAATAAATGTTTATGGATTCTTGAAACTTATCAAGTCTATGCGGCATCTTAGTAATGGTATTAAAAAATAGGATTATACTTACCATTACTGTCAAACATAGTACAAATACTATTGAGCTTCAATGACCTTGAGGCATCTATGTCTCTTTCTAATCAATAAGTGCACAGTTACACCAAGTAGTAAATTATTTACTCAAGAGTGATAAACCTGAATTACTTTTGATATATTTTTGCAGCTTACGATCACTTTTTTGATCTTCAAATCAAAATATATCCTATATAAAAATCTATCTGTATGACTGTTGGAATTCTTTTACACATGAGTATCAATAGATTTTTAACTTCACACAACATCTACATTAATTTTGTGTTCACTTTTAACCAAACGAAGCTGGTGGGTAACATTTTGTTGATAATTTTTAAATCTCTTTAAATACGACTGCTTGTCAATAGTACCTATTATCTAGTGCATCACTAATAATGCGATTTGATTGGGTGCAAATTTTTCAGTCAGAAAAAATTTATCATCTCATGTTACTTTACATTATTAACACACAGATACCTATCAGTTTATTTAAACTGTGTCACATTTGTTACACGACAATATAGTTCATATCAAGTGTCTGAAGGCAACTACCCTAAATCTGATTGATATCATAAGATACGGTATGGGGTGGCTAACCATATGCCTAACCTTCTTCTTTTACCCCAGATCGGGACCGACAGTAACTACAGAGGGGTCTCCAGGCGTTTTCGAATATCGTAGATATCGACAAATTAGAGCAAACTAAGCAAATAAGAATTGTTGGCAAATGATCATCCAATTCGATCAATATAAATATTGATTTTTACATCTAAACTTCACGACTTCGTATCTTACTACGTTTACAATAATATTAAAATGTTAATATTTTCATGGTGGTTTACTTTTGGAGTTGTTTTATTTTGATTTTAAGTCGCGAATCGATATCACTTGGAAAACCATTGATTTCAACTATATCGAGAATAGGACATGCATCACTAAATGCCTCAAGTGATGTTGGTACCTCGGTACCATAAATTGAATAAAATTAGATATGTTAACTTGGCGAATTTCCGAACTCACTAGTCTAAAATGTAGCTCACTTTCTCCCCATGAGGTTTCTTTGTTTTTGATTTGACTTTTAGTACGTTGGAGAGTCTCATATTAGGATAAAGTAGTTATCTAATGCCTCCTGATTTTCGGTCGCTGTCTAGTTAAAGTCAGTTTTTGTGATAGTAGATTTCAAGTTGAACTGATCTCCATATAACTCCCATTTTAATAATTGTTTTTAAGTTGATTTCTTCTTATAAGTAGTAAGTTCAGTAATTTATTGTATAATATTGCTTCTACAAGGCATACATACATAAACACAACCATGAATATATGGTACTTCTTTCGATCTTCACTTAAACTAGTATGAACTAATGTTTACTCGAATTATCCTGAAAATGTATAATTCCACTTGACCTATAAATATATAGTTATTAACGAATGAAATAGAAAATTAATTAAGAAAAATAGATTAAGCATATAACTTTTTCGTTTACATTTCATCCTTCTCAAAATTGGTTTTATTGAATATTTTCCTTTAGATAATTAAACTTGAATTTGCTAAATTAATTCACATCGTGAATTATATATATATATATATATATATATATATATATATATATATATATATATATATATATATATATATATATATATATATATATGGCTTTCTATGAGCTACGAAATAGTTCATCGGATTTTTCAAAAGATATACTTTTGATTGAGATTATGAATCGACCAATGTTAGATCACCATTTAAAACTTGGAAGCACTGGAAGGTTGCTTCATCTTAGTATGGGACTGCTGATGTAAATACGTACATGTTCTGCATGGTGACTGACTGAAGAGGTGTGAAGGGTTAAGTTCTCGTTGGGACACTTAAAGATCCTATGTCTAGTGCTAGGATGAAATGGCTTTTGAGTGCTTCTAGGTGTTTCAATGGTTGTCTAACATTGATCGATCCACGATCACAATCAAATCTCAACAGTCTCCTTATACTGATAGATGTGTTTTTCTTTAATTGTAAACACTGAAAAAGTGAATAAAATCTTTTCTGAACATTTAAGTGGATATTTTCACAATACAAATCAAGCTCTTATATGGATGCTAGATTCTCAAAACTCACTTGGTAAATAACTTATTTTTGTGATTTTATTTTGGAAATTTGAATTTCTTGTTTTCACGCCAAAAACGTCCATTTTCACTTTCACATCTCATTTTCCACTTGGGAAAACCGTAAATGCCATTGCCTCGTTGTTTCTTTAAATCAGCTATTTTGTAACGTTTCTCAAGGACATTTTATGCCGTATATGTACGCTTGAATTGTGCTTATGGTTGTTACTCGTGCTTCTGGCTGCTTGTGAAATACATTTCCCTCTTCTGAATCTGGACTTCTCTCTCTAGGTAGCGGGGTTGGGACTCATCGGGATAGTTAACTTATTTGGTTATTATGTCAATGAGTCTTCGTTCCGTTCTCAGATTTAGGTGAACTCGTAATTTTTTCAAACATAGCAAGCTCCAAACAAATATTTGAAAATCCATAAATTTTTCATATAGATTTTTCTGTCCATGGTAGTTTTTTGGTGTTCGAATTAAAAAAAGCTAGAAGGCTTCACATTTGTTGGAATTCATCATCAACAAAACATGTCTGAAACGTCGAAATAAATTGTGTTTCTTTGAAGTTTGGAAGTTGTATCATCAAAGTTTTTATTCAGCATTTTTGCCACTCGCTTATTCAGGATGTCATTACTGACCAACCACTACCATGTACGGTTTACATAATAATATATGTAACTTTTCTTAGTGGACATATTCTAGTATCTCTGAATGTAATGATCTCAATTTGGTATGATTACATTGCACAGTTCGATCTGTAAAATGTGCTTAGACCTTTGTTTCCTAGCAGTGACCCCCATGTTTGAGTAAGTTTTTATCACCGAAAGCTTTCTTCCATGCCCAATTACCTAATTGATAACTACTCCTGTTTGTGATACAAAGTGATAGAAATGCAAATCAGATATTTGGGATGTAAATGATCCCTCATATAAATTATGACAGCGTAAAAATCAAATTGTATTCTCTATCCGAATATAACTTGTTCAGTATTAGGTAAAGTTGTGATCATATAAGTACGATTTGGTTTTGATAAATCGAATACCGTTATTTATTTATTATTAAGTTTTATTCCTTAACAATGTAAAAATCCCTTAGTATATATCTTCAAAGCGCTACTCATTTTTGTGGTGGAATAATCAAGTAGGCGGTCTATGTTTAAACGTAGAGGATTGAGTTGAAATGGCGAATGAATTGATGGAAGTGTAAGTTATCATAGACTATGGTGGGTGAGACGTTTGTCATAAATGCCCACCTATCCCCTGCATGAACGTGATTTTTATTGTTACACTGGAGCCTTGTTGTGATCAGTTTTTGTGTAGTTTCAATCTTTAAATGATAAAATTTAATTTTAATATGTAATTTTTTTCTATATCTGTTTAGGTGTCAATTTTTAAACAAACCAATGGTTTCGGCTTTACTTTAGCTGATCATATCCAAGGTCAACATGTGAAAGCTATCTCAGATCCAGTAAGATGTGGTCGCTTACGTGTTGGTGATGTCATTGTAGAAATTAATGATCAACGTGTAAAAGATATGCCACATGTGGAAGTAGTTCAAATATTGAAACAATGTCCAGTTGGTAAAGAAGCAAGATTACTTGTTCAACGTGGTGGTAAGTTCTCTGTGTATTACATTTTATAATTCACTATTGTGTTACTGGTCATCAGCTAAACATCTTGTATCATTTGTTTTTGGAAATTTATTGTTATCCTTAACTTAATTTCAAGTTTACTTACCAATTTATTTGTTTCGTGAATTTTGTAATTAGTAATGATCAGAGTCCTCGATTCACATTCACTATGTTACGGGTTTCAATTCTTTTGCATAAACTTCACCTTTAGATGAAAAGATAATCCTACTGTAACTATCACTTTATTTTGCACACCAAGATCACACATACAAACTAGCATTTGAATGACGAATCACATTTAGTGTTAGTAACATACGGTTTCACCATCAATTGTGACACTGTTTCGTTTTAGTCGAACTGTGATGTAATTATTATACGACGTAAATATCCCGACTCTCTTATCGTCAAGATTCATAGTTGACATTATCGATGCGGTTTTGATTAAGATTGAAGTGATGGTCTGGCTCTTCTATTGCACACGCAACAACAAATGCAGGCGAAGACGACCAGTATGGCAGCAGCCTCAGCAACAGTAGGTCTCAACATACACAAAGGGAAAATCAAGATTCTACGATACAACGCAGCATGCACCAATCGAATCATACTTGATGGAGAAGCTTCGGAGGATGTAAAATCCTTTACATATCTGGGCAGCATCATTGATAATCACAGTGAATCTGATGCACATGTGAATTAGTGGATCGGCAAAGCAAGAGCAGCATATTTACAACTGAAGAACATCTGGAACTCTAAGCAACTGTCAACCAACTCTAAAGTCAGAATTTTCAATACAAACGTCGACACAGTCCTACTGTATTGGACAGAAACTTGGAGAACTACGAAAGATGTCATCCAGAACATACAAGTGTTTATTAACAGTTGTGTACGCAAAATACTTCGGATCCGTTGGCTAGGCACCATCAACAACAACCTACTGTGGGAGAGAATAAACTAGATCCTAGTGGAGCAAGAAGTCAGAAAGAAGTGCTGGAAGTGGGTAGGACACACATTGAGGAAGGCACCCAACTGAGTCATAAATCAAGCCCTTACATGGAGTCCTCAAAGCCAAAGGAGGAGTGGAAGACCAAAGAACACATTACGCCGGGAAATGGAGACAGACATGAGAAGAATGAACAAAAATTGGATAAAACTAGAAAGAAAGGCCCAGGACAGAGTTGGTTGGAGAGTGCTGATCGATGGTCTATGCTCCATTGAGAGTAACTGCCATAAGTAAGTTTTTAAGTAATGACTTCTTCTGTAAGCATAGTTTGTTCGATTCTCAATACTTTTAATATTCAATATACAATCAATCAGTTGATCAACCAATAAATTATTTAAATCTTTTCTCTTGGTTATTCATTCAAACAATGCAGTTGAATATAAATCATTGAACATTTAATCAACTGTTTGTGTTTATGAATGTATTTGCACCTAAAAAGTTCTATACTCTGTGATTTCGTGTAACTAAATGATACATTTCTTTTTTTTATGTCTATAAAATAGACTATTTAAAGTTAATTACTATGACAATGTGATTTATTCAGTATTGAATAATACATCAAAGGGTATCATACAACAACAATCAATGATTTAGAGCTGACAAATATCATTAACTTCATATTTGATTTATGGTACTATGGTTTTAAAGAAATTACAATACCACAATTACATAGTGTTGCAATGTTTGTCTAGCGTGATTAAAGTGGAAGACATAATGAAAAGTGCGCTTAATTCACATTAATTCATGACTCTTTTTCTTGTCATAAAGACGATTAGTTTAATTGTTTATAATGTGTATCTGTCAACAAAAAAGAGTTATACGATCATCAGTTTCCATATCCACAAATTTGACAGGGTTACTGTGTATTGATATATTGGATTTATCATAACAATTAAAATTGAATTTTATTGCAATACCTTGAATTGGTTGAAGTTGGACATTAACAGCGTTGGATTTTTAGTCATTGGTTTGTAGTTTAAGCGTTTGCATTTGTGACTGAAGGTCCTGATCTTCATTACCGGATGTCAGAGTCATGAATAGGGAATTTTTGAGGAACCCCTCACTGTGATGATACGGCTACCAATAGTAATCTGGCCGAGATCGATTCGTGATTTTAACCATGGAATTTCTGCAATCTCCTCCCTTGAAATCACTTGGTTTTATCAACTCATCATCATCCAACCTATCAACGGATGGACACACATATTTATAGATTGTACAAAAATGACATTTGATTGTTCTAAAACCTTCATATCGTTTGTATTTTATGTCAGTACATTATCTTTCGATATCCTGTGCTCCTTAATCAATCGGTTGGACAGAGAGTATGTTCAGTCTCATGACTAGTCCTCTATTTTATAACTTTGTCGACGTAAATTTTCACTCCTACGTAAATTGAAAACTTTACATTCCTCTAGGAACAGGAGATCCAGCTTGTTATATTTATGATCATTTATACGTCAGTGTCGTTAAATACGAATGTTTGAAGCTTTACCATGGCTTCCGACTAATTTACCATCTCGATGTGTGGATTTAAACTTGATTCGAACTGTAGAATTATATGTGACGTGGGATTCAAACTCTACAAGGAACTATTCTTTAATATGCGTTCCAGAGATATTTTGCATCGATGTCACGATATTCTAGTCTTAGCCAGGGAAACCTGTTACCGGATTTCTAATGTTTAAGGTTTAAATATTTCTCTTTGAGAGTGGTATCGCGTGACCTTGGGGATCATTTCATGAGCTTGAGTAGTTAATACTGGTTGTATATTTGAACGGAGTTGAGAACAGAAGATGAGAATGAATGGTGGAAATGGAAAAAATATTTGAAAGCGATTATGAACAAGAATAGTTTAGATGATCCATTTATCCAACAAAACGACACTTGTATATAGTGGTAGATTAGTTTTTGGAACTTCATCCATTAAATCATCGGTTCGGAACTCATTTAAATTCAGGCAGTCGGTTAGTTTAACTAGCTACGCTCAAGTTATGGCTTAAACATGAGTATAGGAATATGTACTTGGTAAACGAGTTACCGTATTCAACAGGAATAGGAAACAGATCTCTAGAAGTCACACAACAGCTTATAACATAAACACTTGATTAACAGATTAAGTTTCCTGCTCATTATATCACAATTGGAAATGTTTTCACTATATTCTATCCTGATTACTGAAAGAACAATTTTTTCACTAATGTAAACCTACTGTATATGGATAGGAGTTTAGTTTTCTAGTTTTATGAATACAACTGATTAATTAGTATTCTTCTCCATCATTAAAAAACGACTAATCATATGAATCATGTTTTTTCATTCAATCATTTGATCATACAATATATCAATTTTCAGCTTTTATTTTACAAATCGTTTTTCCATAATGATTGATTGTCTCACCGCCAATTTGTGTATATGACCTATGAATTTCCAGGCAAAATGCATTCAAAATTAACTCATTATTCAATAATGAGATGGAATGATTCAATATACCTATTAAAGTCTTCATCGAAGTTGGGTTAAATGGCGCCATCTTTTTCCAAAAAAAATCTCAGTTTAACGTATCTTTGAAATTTTTTAGCAAAGTTAGGTAGTTGTTATGAGTGGAATACAGAACACGCGTTTTCTATTATTTGGGATCCTTAGATTGGATGTACTTGCATCCCAGTTCTGTAACTCACTCTGTGACTCGAACCCAATGCCTCACGATTCAAACGGGGCGAATTTGTTACTCATTTAGCTACTACTTAATACTTAAGTAGTTAAATGGAATTTTCAACACCAACTGAAGTCCAATAAAAAACTACTGTCAGAATAACAGTGAACAGAGGTTGCTTCCAAGGTGGGGATCGATCATATGTTCTCATCATCTACTTGCTTAATTGAATTCATGACATGCAGATGATATGTTGTAAAGATCACAATGCATACCAAATACAATAATTTTGAATATCTCTTCTACTGAACACCAGTTTACTGGCTAAATGTAATGTTTTGTTCATCGTGAAACTCAAATACCCTCGATCTGATATAATGTGGATCAGTGGTCGTATACTGTTGAAAAATGTCTCAAACAAAAGTGACACAGTTGTCCAACTCCTTATCATTTCCAGGTAGTCAGTTCAGGATAAGAAGTTACTAATTGTTACTGATTGTACGAAAACTCCACACAATCATCTTCCGTAAATGTTAGTCACTTGAATGTTCGTTTGACTTTCCATAGGTAAAGTATCTTGTGTGATTGCCTATGTGGTGTGAGTGAACCGACTGAATGGAAATTGAGTGATATGTCGTATATTTATCTATCCACAATGATGTGAATTGTGAACATGTTTCTTTGCAACAGAAAAGTCATTAAAACAGTAAATATCACGAGATGTACTCGTTCTATACAAATACAAATATTATTCGCATGTTTTAGAGTTATGAGGATGATAATTGTGATATTTTTAAATTGTTCGTGTAAACAAGGAAAATGTCGAAAATGTTAACCAGACATCAATCAAAACAATTCTGAGGTCAAGTGGTGTCTGGAATAAATACAGATTCACATTCAGCAGAAATCAGCCGATGTGAATGTAATTATTCACTATTTGAGTTCCAATTAGATCCTAATGTACTAAACAGTTGGGTCACTCGTAACTCAGTTATTGCGTACCATCCTCGGAAAGCTATAAATTCGTGTTGCATGTTAGTTCACATTCATTAGCTACGCGTACCGGCAATAATACAGGAACTGATGCTACACTTAGCTTTTGACCTTGCATCAGTCAACGCCACTATCCGTTTCTTACTTTTATGTCTATATTCATCCATTTAATCACTTTGCTATATATTGATAACATAAGTTGGTAGTTGAAGCTAGTCGACAGTAAATCTTAGACCTGAGTTTCGTGCTGTTTAGCACTCGTCGGCTAGACGTACGTATACTCCTGTGGTAACACTTACTTCTTGACAGATTTCTTTTCGTTTTGCTTATCTTAACCCTGAAAGACGTTATCACTGTACTATTCGGGCCATATAGTACTTCTTATCTGGCGACGTATATCAGTATTATGTAAAATTGTTTATTTTACATTTGTTATTCATTCCAGTTGAATTCCGTTGTAGATTATCATATATTTGAAGTTTTCACTAATGCACCAATTGCAACGATTTTATATTGTTTACATTTAGTTAGTATGTTTCATTGACGGCTGTGTGTTTTGTATAAATAGTCGGTATCCTTACTTTTTTTCAATGGTTCAATCAATAGATATGTGGTTATAGGTTTGTACTTTCAAACTTCACTCCACACTTCATTTCGAATAGTTTTGTAGTTATATTATTTACCAATGAAGCAACATGTGTCGAAACCAGTTAAATAAATATGTATTTTTGGTGGTATTCATTTTTCCGAATTTGATGAAGCTTTTATTGTCATCATGAACAAGATCTTGAACTCCTACTTAATATAGAAGTAGTCTTCCTATTTATTCCACAAGTGCTGTTTTGGTTCATCTCAATGATCTTATTGAGAATGATAATGAAAGCTTCGGGATTCAGCCATCTAACTCAATGCCACCTAAATTATCCACCTGAACTACGAATTTTCTCCATCATATGAGAAATATGTGAATTTTTTAAAAAAAATTGTTGAAGAACCGACGAAACAGTGAAATGAATCCAACCGATAAAATAAAATACATCCTCAGTCTATCTCTTTAAATACAATTCTTGTCACCGATATGATCAAGTGAATTTTGTACGATAATTAGATACAGATTTTCACTCATGATATCCAAGCCGACAGTAAATTTAACTCCAACTCCCTATGTGGTGCGTGCTACTTATATTGATATAAGTAGTATATGACGCGAGTCAGGAATGTAATATCTGGCAGCGGAAGATGGGGAAGATCAAGAAAGGAAGAGCGAGAATAGAAAGCAATTACTGTGGAAATGCAGGAATAACGAAGTTCGAGACAATTATTGAACATTTTGCAAATTAAGTATTATAGTATGGTTTTTCTATTTTACCAAGTAACTCTGTAATGGTGTGCTAAATATAATTCGGTTGTCCTCACCCGTGTTCTGTTCACTTCACCTAGAACCATTGTGTTTCATTAAAATGTGGAATATCATAATGGAGAAGCCAGTTTTTTTTACTTAGAACAATATTTTTTTTCGGAAAGATACCTCTTTATATCTTACATACAGATTCACTTTTCAATGGTTATTTAATTGAATTTAATTCATGATTACATAAATGAATATCATACTGAACAACTGTAAAAATTGAATAAATTACATAATAGAATTACATACCAGGGGATACTGAAATAATCAATAAATGTAATTTTCACAATTCTACTATCACTTCTATTATACTGAATCTCAATCATAAATTACATCTGATTAGTCACATTTACAATGTGTTTAATTGTATATAAAGTGTTTTACATAAAGATTAACAGGCATAGTACCACTTTATTTTTTATAAAGTTATCTAAATTTTTGTTTCTATTTCATGTTTAGCTTCAAGATTATGTCATACTTTTTTAATGATAATACAATAAACAGTAAAAGATGTTACTTGTTGTGAGTGTTGTAGAGGAAACTGTTTTTTCCCTCTTATTTTCAAATGGATTATATTGATCGTTTGGATTGAAATGAAGAAAAATGGCTTTAGTTAATTAAAAACATTTAAAATGTTAATATCAGATGGGTTTTTGTGGAGATTGTAGTAATTTCAATGGTTAAGATCACTGCTGAGGAGTCCCACAATAGGACGAAACGGCCGTCCATTGCTTCCAGGTTTTCCATGGTGGTCTAGCTTCAACTGACTTATGATCTTAACCATTGAAATTTAAAATATTGTAATGTGGCAATAATTTATTGTACAGTTCATAGTTCAATTAAACACGTTTGTCTCAGTCATTTATGTATTATGAATATATGTGTCTAATGTTATTGAATTCTCTGATTTTAATGGTTCAGTTATGGAGCTTTCATTGATTGTTGTTTTGATCAACATCGTTAGTAATTACGTATACATGTAGTTCCGTAATTGAATAATCTAGCTCAGAGAACTCAACAGTACTGATAATATCTATCTGATCTACTGATTTCCCTTATCATTTCAAAATATATCTGTGTAATAAGTAGCTTTTGTACTTCATTTATCCATGTTTGATTTAATTTATACAAAGAATAATGGATTTCTTGGCTTGGCTACAGTAGATCTCAAATATCTTTGCTAGCCTGTGAGTAATGCCGAAGAAATATTGCTCAGAATTCACAAGCATTGTGTATGTCTGGTGCTATATATGTCGTAGATTAAGCCGATATCAATTGGATTTACTGTAGGCGTACCTTGAACCTTGTTATAAGTTGTTTGATTAACGCTGATGGATAAGACTTTAAGCTTTCATTGTCCTTGAATAGAGCTTTGGCCTTGGGTAACCAAGAAAAGGAGTGATACGTTTTTAAATGTGCACTTATTCGCAACTGTGGCTATTCAATAATTGTATTTCTTCATTATGCATATGTTTTGATTGATTAATAGACAGACAGACATAATTAACATTGATCCCGACACAGATACGTGTTGGTGCAATTTGTCATACTAGATTAACACAACAAGATGTCATAATTAACATTTATATTGATGGTGATGAATATGTTGGGCATTTCAACTTATCATAAATAATCCTATGATTTATTCTTTTCTCTACATAATTTACAGGTTTGTATACCTCCCCGTTATCATTACTGGATACTGAATTGCTTGAAATGAATTCATTAAATTTCAATGAACAGGTATGTTAATTTTTATGTTTTTATTATGATTAGCAACTTTTGTTTTTACAAATATTGAATGCCAAACTTACCAACTTATCAAATTTTAAATAATGCTAACCAATAGCTTTACAACTTAAAGTACATTATAGTGTTTAATTGAGATCATAAACCGATTGATGTTGGACCGCCATTGAAAACCTGGAAGCACTGAACGGCCGTTTCGTCATATTGTGGAACTCCTCAGCAGTGCGCATCCACGATCCCGCTCGTGGGATTCGGACCCAGGGCCTTCAGTCTCGTGCGCAAACGCTTAACTCACTGGACCACTGAACCAGCGTCCAATGGTGTTTATGTCTAACCTCAAATAATCTACGAATTAGCCCGACCATCTCCCATTGTACTGAGGTAGATACCTGTCTCTACCCGACACGGATTAGCTCCACTGGTCACGGCTTCCCACTAAAACTCTCAGGATTTTCTCACGAAGCTTGATGATTTAAATCCAACAAGGACTCATTCATTCTTGTTTTGTATTCAAAATGAACATTGTAAAGCAAATTGTATAAAGAGAATTTCACCGGATAATAAGTACTATTTTAATATGGACTATGTATAAGCCAGCCTTGGGTATTCGAATCTTTATCACATAATACTATACTGACCAATGAATTTGTACGTAAATTATACTTAAATCAAAGTAGAATCATTTATAAACTCATTAATGATCATATAAAGAATCCGGATATAAATGAAACTATTGAACTTACATAAATAAAGTTCTTTGTATAATATTCTTTTGAACATTTCACTACATAGAACATAAATTCACTTGGTATTGTTTACTTGTATCTTCTCAGAGTGAACATCAAACTCTGTAATACAGATGCATCCGTCTGACGAGTCTCCAAATAGGACGAAATGTTCATCCTAGATTCTACTGCTAGTTATTATCAATTTTTACTATATTTTTCAAGTTCTAAAAATATGAATACATTAAATAATCAATATTCACACATTCACATTTCATTTTTGTCTTGTTTATATTTATTCATGTTTTTATATAATTTTTGTTGTTGTTGTTGTTGGTTTAATGTACTTTCATCAATGTTCAATGATAATTCAGTAGGCAGTTATTTAGCAGTAGAAAATAAAAGATATATGCTTATCAGTTTTTAATGTATAATTTTTTTTGGGGGGGGGGTAATGTCGGTTGATATATCCTTTCTGTAGTACAATTGTAACGTTATAACATATTTGTTTTTCCTGATCACTTATTGTCTCTTATCTAGTTCATTTCAATTGGCTTTTTCCCTGTATCTACTGGCATATATATTTAGTGTTTTCTGTTGTTGTTTTTTTTGTACTAAAAGCTTTATTAGTCTATGTAAATGTTATCCTATTCTTTTTTTGATAAGGTGTTTATTTGTTCAATTACTGTAACTAAGCCTAATGCTTTGATTCAATATCATACACGTTTCTAATTTTTATTTTATTTGTAACATAACATAAAAATGATCAGAAAAATTCTAATTCATTCGAATGAATAATTGTATCTTTATGTTTGTGTATATGGATGATCGTTTTGTAAGTATGTGCTAATTTTTGGTTTGACTGATAACATTGATCCACGTAATAATGAATTTGAAAATAATGAACTCAGATCAAAGGTTGTTCATCATCATCTAGTCATTTTTAGTGGATTCTCCAGCAATACGAGAAACATGGTTTAAATAAAATAGTCAAAGCCAAAACTGTATATCCTAATCTAGGTTATTTTTGGCGTTGTCGTAATGATAGTTTAATTATAATAGTTTAGAGTTGATAAACTCATCAATGAATATAGTTTTTGTCTATCTTCATTAAATTTGAACCATCACATCTGAGGGTTGTCAATGTTTCCATATTTCATTTTTATTGTCTTTGAAAAAGTTATCAGATCCAGTTGTAAACTATATTGATAGTTCCAAAATCTGACAGTGTATGTTCAGGTGCGGTGACGATAATTCACTTAGTGACTTCCACATCATTCATCATTTGTCAACGCTGGAACTGGTTAGAGAAAACGGATATGGTTATTTTATGACATGGTGCCTAGGTACACAAAAGCTGTAAAGAACTGTTATCTGTTGATACATCTCAACTCTATTGTTGGAGTTCTAGAAATGTTGCAACTCGGTTAGCTAATAATTAACTACTTTGGATTCAAGATATTGTGTGAGATATAATCATGCCCTTAATCAAAATACGCTTGGCTGCTATCGATTATAAAGGAAATACATTTAGAAGTATCGTACTGTTAAACAGTAATACTTCCTGAATCATTCAACATTTGGTTATCTTGATAGCTGATGACTAGTTACCGATTCATACTTTCATGAATTTAAAAGACTGTTAATTAATGCACTCAAACTTTTAAATATTAGGTCACCGGTTCAAACTTAATTCCATTCAATTTTGTATAAATACCCTGTTAGCTTCATCAAGCCTCACATAAAAGTTATGATTTCAGGTCGATTGCTTAGACTTTTGAGCCTCATTACTGAGTCACACTTAATTTTTGTACCTGCTACTGGGTCAATATTTATGTGATAACTGGAGCAACAACCAACTGCTCAAATTTGCGTCTGCATTCGAAGCCTAATAGTTGGAACCGGATCTCTGGAACCTATTACACTAATTCTCCAGTATTATCATTTCTCATGTTTCTTACAATTTAATGTATCCATTTATTTTTGTTTTTAAGTAATTCTTTTGTTGTCATTTTTATTATTGTTTAACGGATTATTTATTTCACTTTTCCGCTGAATTGATTTTCTGTTTTCAGCGTTATCGTGGGAACATAGCTAATCATCAGTATATAAATGGTAAGTTTATGTTATTTTTCTAAATTCTTTCATACATAAACTTGTATACGAAGCTAAAACTAAACGCTTAGGATAATGTAATGTAAGAAGTTTGCAAATATTTCACAAAATCCATATTACTTGTCTATATGATGAGATTAGCTTAGTTTTCATCTCCTACTACACTGTATACAACAACCATTTATCCCCTTCCTGGTGGTCTTTTTCAATCCAAAAGTATAAAAATATCTGCCTGGTGAAGTTTAATAAGGGAAACTATGGAAGATTGATTCAAGCAAACAACGATTATGTCCTTAAAAGTGGAATAAAAAAATTAGCATATATTTAGGAAAGTAACGAATCAATAGTAGGAGAGCATGTTTGGTTGTTACAAGGATGAAGGGCATTCAACCTGGGATAATTTTGGAGAACAAAAACACAACTTTCAGATTTTCCATTAAAAAGACAACGAAGTAGTAGGAGTATGTTCAGTGGATTTAAGATCCTTCACAGAAATATCAAAAGATGGCTACTCACATAGATCTGAAACCACACAATAGGATTTTTCCTCATGTCACTTTGAAGTTAAGTTGAATCGGGAGAAGGTTTCTTAAGTCTGAAGACGTCAGTTGTTAAGTCTGATAGTTGAATTAAATGATAATACTTCATTACAATCTATTATTTTAACTGGCGTGTGTGTTATAAATCATAGCGAAGACAGCCAGTTTGAAATATCACACGGATGATTGTTATCATGTTTGTTATGATGACATTCTGAATTGAATCCCTTTAGGAAATTAAGTTGTTGTTGTTGTTATGAAGATTTGGATGGTGGCTAGCTGTTGAATTCAGGACGTGTATTTCGTCTTACTTGGGACTCACCAGTTGAATGTGCCTGCATCGCAAATCCGACGTCAACTCTGGGACTCAAACACATTACTGTTCGCCTCAAATACTATTCTGTCATCCACTTAGGTACTGGCTTGTTGTTTTTTCTTTCGCCTTGAAATATTATACTTTTATTCTGTGTTTTTGTCGTCGTCACTTGTACTACGCCAAATAATAAACATACATAAAACAGCTTAATATATAGATCATTAAGTAGTGTACTCATCTAAAAATTGTCATATTGTTTGCGTGTTTTTTTTTACTTAAAATTAGTTTGTTTACTTATCAAGATAATGTTATCGTAAATAAATGTGCTTTTGGTCATAGATTTATTGTAGTAAGTTTCAAGAAATAGTTAAGAGTTTAGTAACACGCATTTTAGTCTACATTTAATAGTGCCTTTCAGTGAAAAATTCATATTGGATAAATGTTTTATGCATTAAGCAGATACCTGATCACACATTGTTAACAGCACCTCAAACGTGAAAATAATCATCGTCTATTTCTTTCTTTAGTAATCCTAGAACCATAGCTTCCTGGTTTAAGGATTTATCTTTCAATCATTAGGTGTCAGGTTCACATTCAGCTCAATTAACCTCGGTTTGGGCAACCAGTTAGTATCATTAATTCTGATATAAAGAGGACGTTTTAAAGCAACATTGATAAAACTATACTTAACAGTGATATTCAAATTCCTGACTACAATCTGATAAATTTACTTTTAAACACTCAGACCCCAACTTCCTAACCGCTTTCTAGTTCACTTAAATCTTGCACCATTGAACCCTAAACAGAAAAAATGAGCATGAGGTGTGTGAGAAGCGTTGCTTCAAAGACTAACTTGTATACAGAAAACAAGGGCATTTGTAGTATTTTATGTGACCTTAGCAATACAATCCCCCGTCTTCTAGAATTTTCTTGGAGATTTCCAAGCAACATGGATTAGCCAAAGTACTTTCAACATTTCCCCAACCTTTCAAGACTTTTGGGGAATTATCTATGTTTGTCTAACATGATATGTTTGATTATTCTTTATACAAGGGTTACATCTTAAATTCCCTGTTTACTTGTATCATTTTTCAGTTATCGTAAACGTTAGTTCTCATTTTAAAATTCGTTTTCATCAAAAAATGACTACTGTTTTATCATAGTTTACGACTACTTAACCCATGGTTTAGTGGTTAAAACTTTCGGCTTTTAACTACCAGGTCCTACTTTTGGGTTTTGCTCCACCTGCTTAGATTTGGTTAGTCATTATTTTCATTACCCCTTCACACACTAACTGTGGTTCAAAATCATGTACACGGAAATGTTTTTACAGTAGAACTCAAGCACATTCATGTCTCATGTTAACCCAGTCACATTGAGCTAGTATCCAGTAGTTCGTACTATCGACTGCAGTTATTCACACCTATTGTTTCATACAAATCTTCAAAAACAACTACTAATCACAATGTTCATTACTTTATTAATAATGTGTTCTTTAAACTAAACCGCTTAATTATGGAGCTTACATTTTCGTACCTTACAACCTAGTAGTCAGTGTCAGATACACACTTCTATGTAGAATCAGCACTGACGATCTTATCCAGAACGAGAATAAAAACTTTTTAATTAGACCATTTGCCTATGAAATCATATCACAGAAAACATCCAACTAATCTACAAATTATCTTCATCATTTCAATATTGATTATTTTTTGTATTTTTATCTATTTTTACTACCTATCCAATTTTTCTTTATCTTTTTCTTTTATCATTTTATTACTTTACATTTTTTTGGGGGTGGGGGTCAAAATTTTATTATTTTATTTCGCTATTTTTTTAGCATTATGAAATATATATATATATTGTCTGGTTACATTGTTACTCTTAATCCCATCTAACTATTGAGCACATTTTTTCTGTATGAAAGATAAAATAACAGTATATAATGAGTTTCGTTTTCGTTTGCTTGTTTATTGGTGGTAGGTAAATATCCACATTAAATAGAGTTCCTTTAGGAAACCTAATCTCTAATTCAATGTTATCTTAATTCTATCTGTGATTTTGCTGATTTCATATCTTCATTGGGTGTTTGTAGACGTGTACTCACAAATACACACACACACACACACGAGTACGCGTACATATCATCATCCAATTATTTTGTTTGTTTGTTTAAAGGAAAACAATTGTACAAAAATGACAATAAACTCAATAGTTTGTTATTTTATCCTCATTCTCATTATGGTTTCTATGCTAATTTATGTGTCTTATTTTAAAATGATTCATTCACGGAAGATTTGTACTCGTTTGATTGTTTGTTTTTTTCTCTATGTTGTTAACTTGTTTAATTCTCTCTTTCTCATTCTGTTTTCCTATGAATTAGGAATATTCTAGAAATTCTTCTCTTTAATCTAACCGTAAGAACTCTTCATTCATTTCTTTTTCGTTTTAAATTTTTATGTTTCTTCGGTTTAAGTTTATGTCTTTTTTGTTTACTTTTTATTTCCTAGTGGAATCTTTTATTTTTCTCGTTAATGATGTTTTATTTTTGGTTTAAGGGTGTTGGATAGATTAATTTTCATTGGTAGATTTATTTCGCCATAAATTGATCTTATTTAGAGTACTACTGAAAACCATGATGCACTAGAACAGTCGTTCCATCATAGTACGCCACTCCACAACAGTGCACATTCACAACCCTGCCATTGATCAAGTCTACGATCTGTACTTCTTGTTGTGAACGTTTAATCCCTCTAACCAAACTACATTTAACTCTCTTGTAACGTAATTCACGATGTTAACGAATTTCCAGTGAAATGTCATGACTGGGGGTGATCAAACATGGCAGGGAAATAATTATCACCGATAGCATTGAATCACGTGAATTAGTAGAAGTCGGGTGTTGGTTCAATTGCTTTAACAAATAGGTTCTGTTTTCGTTCCCTGGATGGGTCACAAGTACTCACTGCTCAGAAATTCCCATACTACAACGTATAAACTATAGATTGCTCTCTGGTTTTCAATGGTTTCCGCGACCGATATCGATATATGATGAGTTGAACCTCTTTTGTCATACTCTTTAAGTGATTGGGAAGGTAGGCCATTGCTAAGAGGCCTAATGTCCTTCCGTTAATCGGAAACGCTTTTCTAAAGTTGATTCAGTGTTCATTATTTGCTTGTAATATATATATATATATATATATATATATATATATATATATATATACGTCACGTTTATTCGCCATCAAATGCTTCGTTTTAGACTTAAATTTTAGACAAAGTTGATCTTGAAACCTTTCTTTCTTAGTTCTTCCCATATACTTACTTTCATTTATACATGTAAATACATAACTCCAATTGGCGGTAGTTAGAAGAGTACTGGTTCATTAAGTAGTTGATATTTTAGCTGGAATAAAGCTTCTTTCTTGTGCTACCCTTTTAATTTTCTTGTCAATTCACTTTTACCTAACATCTAACATGTACGGATATCCGATAAAGTCGGACTTTTTTAACATACGACTAGAAGTTAAACATGATATGCTTTTCTTTAATATACACCTTCTATAAAAATATTTACAATGATTAAGTAACTTACAGTTCGTTTCTCTTTCTCTGTTGCAGACTTTCATGTTAAATCAACTGACCAACAGTCAAACACATCAATAATCGGTGTTTTCCCCTCTTCTCCACCCACTGATGTTATTGTTAATAGTAATGCCATAAATACCACTACTATTAATAATAATAATTTGAGTATTATTTATGCTACTCCTCAACCTCAACGAAATCATGTAAGTGTTTTCCCTATAAATTGAATTTTTTATATAGTTTTGCTAGATGTTTTTACTTTGACAAATAAACTCATATTATCTATTCATCTTTGAATTATCCTTCACTCTATCAGAATTGAGTGAAGCTATACTGTGCCAACAACGTAGAACAATTTTTCGAATGACCTCGATAACAGGAAGTTCATAGTTAATCATTCAAGAAGACAAGTATTATGAAAGAATTCTTTATAATACAATGAACTAAACAACTAAGAAGTATTATAATGAGATGGATTTTAGCAAGCAATAGAATCCAGAAAGCTCGTTTCGTCTTATTTGCCTGCATCGTAGATTTGATGTTCACTCCATCTCTGCTTATAATGCTTTTGACTTGAGGCAATATTGAGGCAATCCGCACAGGATGTACACATGCCAATAAGCGACTGATCGTGTGTAGTCCTAAACGTCAATGGGAAGATTCAAACAACCAGTATAAAAATAGATTAATTAAGAAATATATATGTTTTTTTTTGTTTGTTAATAATATATTTCTCCATGATGATTTTTCTCTTCGAAATTCTATAGTAACTCAACTAATTTTTCAGCCTTACCTATATTTCCTTCATGTTGCTTGATTTGAACTCCAAATAATGTTTATGGAGAAAATATTCTGTCCTCTTAAAACACTTTCAGATTTACCGATCATTATTATATTCAGTGATATTTAGCTGAATGTACTTTTCCATTATTGAAATAATTGTATAGATATTTTTGTTTGTGACTTTTTCAATATGTCCGAAAACCTAACTAATTAATCGATCAAAATTAAATCTTCAGTTCACTTCCTAGTTCCTTACATTGTTATCTTTCAATTGAGAACAGATCATATTTCTGACTTCATCTATCAATTATTTAATATTCTCACTGAAATTCTTCAGCATCCAAACAATAGATGTCATTGTATTTTTCAATGATTAACACGCTGTGACTTTAAAATACTCATCTGAATGCTTATTGATTCCGTAATATAGTACAGTTTTTTTGGCCCAAATTATTTGGTTAAACTAAATCACATATGTATACTCTTATATATATCCCTTAAGCGACCTCAGCGTAATGTGTCTTATCCCTCTAAAATGAAAACCAGATCTTGACCAATTACGTACACTTATCATTTGGCTATTTATGATTGATTCAATGTATCACTTTGCTTTAGAGAAATAAAATTTCGTTTTCAAATCATTCCATCTGTACTATTTTACAGACTGTTTAACTTGAAATTCTCTCAGTCATCATTGCACATAAAACATGAGTTATACATTTTTTTGTAGATAAAAACCGTGTAAAGTAATGTAAAATTCAGTAATATTTACTCTTAGTATTCAACGACTGTAAATAATGAAATTCAGTCTTTAAATGCCTACAGGTTTGTGTATGCGATTTATAATCACACATTTCATTTAGGAACTAAGAATACTACCTGATCGGTTAATCTTTAGTTGACGAATCGTTGTCGAAATGTTTTAACAACTCAGTCATCTCTTTCGATGTAAACCTCAAATTTGAAAAAATGATATTTCAAGGTAGCTTCAACCGTATCAAAGACATATTGAACGAATGTGTAGGTGTATAATGGTAGACCGCTTGAATAAGCATTTAATGTGTTCAAGTTCCAATTATTCCTTGAAAACTAACTGATAACTCAGTGACCCTAAACTACTAGATATCAGAAGGAAGAACAATTATGCAGCAGAAAATGAATTATAGTAAAATGACATATTAGTTTACGAAAAAATATTATATAGACAAAATTCACAAGTTGATTCAGGTTGGAAATATAGACTACCTGGTTAGGGACGGTACGATTATCGTAATCATTGAATGACATCGCTGCGAATCGGCCATTTATCATCTCTTAGATGTTAAGTTTCGAAATTATACTAGGATTGTTTTATTGGACAAATATATATCTTCGCAAATGATATTTTCTGCTATCACTATCAATACTTCTACTACTCTGGCATCTCTATACTTAGTGTGCCGACTTTAATCGATGCACATGTATGTTAGGTTCTACGTTGCGTAAAAATAACTGACGGGGAATGCAAATCATTGGGTTCTAGCTGATGAAACCTGAAGAATCTCGTATTAGGACTAAACGTCTTGTTAGTACTTTCTTTTTCTAGGATACCCTGATTGATGTCAATCTATAACGACTGCCGCATACAAGTCTGTTGCAATCTTATTTTAAAAGATTAATGATAATACTCATTAGTTTCCTTTGTTTCAATTCAATCTCTTTTACAGCTTTCTTCCAGAATTGGTTACCATCATCGAACTTCCGGTAGTACAGGAGAAAATAGTATTTCTTCAAGTAGTTCGTCGCATATACGTGCACAAACCCCCGATCCATATGTGGATAGGCGTTTAGGCTTAGATAGTCCTAATCATCAATATCATCAGCGTCACTATCAACATTCGTATCAAAATGAACCGTCCGATTTAATTAGTCGGTCAAATTTCAACCAAACAGATTATATTCATCATTCCAATAATAACAATGGCAACATTAATAATAACATGGGTTTATCTGTGATTTCGGATCGACGCCGACGAGTACATCCCGTTGATGATAGCGGTAAATAAAATATTATTACTGTAATCGTGGGTCATTTACGTTTATTCTTAAAATTAAAATTATATAAATGCATTTCAGTAACCATATTACAGGTCTATGTATTTTTATAAGTTCTATCCTATTGATCTATCCCTAACCAAATAAAGGGCCGTTTTAAAATGAAACCTGATGGTTGAAAGGCAAGTTATTTCATGAAAAACTAATCACTTCATAAATGTGAAATCATTTATACAATGCCCGAGCCTAGATGCTGCCTTTACTTTATGATCGGGCTTGCCATTCATGATGACCTGAACAGTCTATTTTGGCTGAAGCAAATGTTCTTTTAGGCCTTAGTACTCCAGGCAGGTCGGTTGGAGAACCATAGAACTAAATGCGGCAGCTTATGGTCCGTGAGCGAAGTCATAATGCTGACTGTAGAGGAGCGTGACAGCAGTATGGCGTTTCTCTCAGATAATCAACTTCTGCAACGATGCTTCCTTCTCACAACACAAAGAGGTTAGAAGAGGTCAACCCTAAAAATATCTCAACTTATCTTACCCTGCGGACTTCCTTCTTCAGTGATAAGGCGTTTTGAATCGTGGGGTTTACAAATCTGAAACCCCCGATAGAAAGGCCGTGCGTTACCGACCTCACACAGTTGTCCCTAGGGCTCTGCGGTTACTCTCCCAGGTCTCTAAGACTATCACTAACATAGCCTACTATTCAAATCCCTCTAAAGGAAATGTCGATCCACTATGTGGGTAGCCTCATACCACTGATAGCATGTGTGATCATCTTGTTCACGACATCTTTTTAGTGGATTTAGGATAATAATTCGTTGTAGTGTAGTTGAGCGGTTTTTTCAACTAGTCGTACCAACCATGGACTAGTAAGAACTATACAGAGCCTATTCCAGCCTACTCCTACACCATCCAGTGCACGAGTTGGTCATACGTTACACAAATAAATGTCGATGGAGATTCACGATCTCATCAAACGTCTAACCCCAGCATTGGTCATTCGGTCACAATACTCTGGCAGCGCTTCAAAGATGCCTATGATCAAAAGCTCGCATCCTGTTTATGTTTTTTTTTGTTGCATGGACCATTTTTCACTGCCATAGAGTAATACAGAATGGATCACTACTCAGTTTACTCGTCCTTTATTCGGCAAACAAACATCTCTTCTATGCTACAGGTGAGGCAAAATGTTCAAAGCAGACCAAACTTTCTGAAACCATGCCAAGATTTTGTCTGATATCAAATCACCCAGTTAAATCAAAAAGACAGCGCGCTCAACTTCCTCACTCGGTTATGGTCAGTTTACGAGTTGTGCAGAGCAGCGCTGGAGGAACATTTTGCATTTACAGGGAAAACGAGCCATCCTAAACGCGCGCGCATAATTATTTACGGTTTTCAGTGAACTATTCAGTATCTCAACATCTTCATTAAATAGCACTATGTCGTCCACGCATTCTAAGTTGGAAACTAAATCTCCCTAAAAAGTCAGAGGAAGAAAATGTTATCTTTATATGGATATTTGCGACGAAATTAGATAAAAACAAAAGCACTATCTCGCAAAATGTTTACTACTTAAATTTGAGGGTTTTTTGATTCGTCATATTTACACTTTCTTACATATATTGGTCTTTTGATCATTTAAAATTGCATGAAAGATGTAGTTATTGTAAATTAAAACAAAATAGATTAACTTTATTATTGTCCCTTTTTGTTTTCAATAATACTCTTTACTAATATTAGTTCTTAATGAAAAGTTATCTACAAATATTATCTTCACATAGTAAAGATACATTTAAACATTTGAATTTTATTTATTAAGTAATTCAACTGTGGTGTGTGCTACTGATGTCTACAGATATAAGTGGTATATATCACCAATCGAAAGTGAAATGCCTGGCGACAGAAGTTTGGGAAGATCGAAGATAAGTGATTGGTATGAAAATGAAGGAACGATAAAGTCTGAGACAATTGGTGGACATTTTTCAAATGGAATATTTACTATATGGTTCTCAGATCTTACCAAGATATTCTGTTATGTTGTGTTAAATTAATTTAGTTGTCCCCACTTGTGTTCTTGTTCACTACACAACTGTTAACTGTGAGACGAAATAAAACTCTTCTAACTTCCTTTAAATATCATTTATGATAATTGAATAGTACTGGTCTATGTGTTTTGTACACATATACACCGATTAAAACTGGCATTATGTAGTGTAAAACCGAAATGTTTCATGTATGAAACAACTTCTGAATAGTCTTGAACAAGAATTTAAACAACTATACAGACTTTCTGATTTTCAATAGAGTTCTCTTTGGCTTAGTGATTTATACTAGAAGTAGCTTAATTTGTAAATAGTCATCGTTATTCACACTAATATTCGTATGTTTCTGTATTCGTGAATAGTTTCTTCAGCTATCTACCTTCGTTTACTCTAAATCAAAGTGATGACTTTTCATTTGTCATTACTTCACATGTTCTTAGACTAATTGACTGATGATATCAAAACACTGATAGCTAACTATCAATTGTTATTTAATAATTACTAAATTATAAAATTGTTTTAAAGAAATGAAACCAGTACTTTTGTGTATACATGTATGTGTTTATTTGTTTGCTTGTTTGTATCCATCGACCAGAAGAGTATACGTGTGTGTGTGTGTATGTTTGTGTAAAGTTATATCGATTAACATATTGTATTTTACAAAAAGTGGACATACATTCAGACTTAGAGAAATAGCAAGTGATGTCTATGTTTCGTTTTTGCTTCATCACATCAATATATTTGTTTATTTTAATCTGTTGTTTAGGTTACTCAATTTAGTTTGTGATTTTTCAGTAATTCACTGTATTCACTTTTTTCTGTTTGCATAAATTTCTGTGTTTGTGCGTTGTGTAGTATGAAGTGTTAAGTTGTTGTGGTTGTGTGTGTGTGTGTTTTTGGCAGTAACATATTTTCATGCAATTTTCACTGCAATAAGCAGATCAATGTAAGTGAATTTTGTTACATCCGAACGAAGAATAAATGAATGGTAACCACTAGGAATTATATATATATATATTGCTTTTATCATAAGTTTTCATTTAGCCTATTGGCTACTGCAATACTATTTACCATGCTGAACTTATCCCCAATCTATAAGTTACAGTATCCCAATCTCACAGCCACTTTTGGCCGATATTTGTGTTCTAGACTCAACATATACAGCTAGGAGAGGTCGTACTATATTGAGGACCAATGAGGAATCAGAGTTGACTCAAGGTCATAGCGGTCGATATTCTGATTGGCGATTTTGTTACATGATAGTTGACAGGGCTGAAAGTTGTAATAGATTTCAACATATAATTATTTGATTTTTATTCGTTTGTTTGCTGATCTACTATCTTTAATTCTTATACATAGAAGTGATCATAACTACGAGAATATCAGTTACAAAATAACAGTTCAAACATATTAAACTAATGAAGTGTTTATATTTCTCTGTTAAATAGCAAATATACTTTGTAACAGTTTTCATTGTACTATTCGGCAGTTAATAAGCATAATTTATGAGGATAGATTATGTCACTTAGTGCAAACCTTTGACTATTGTTTTAGACAATATCATTAGCGTGTACTTTAAATAGAAAGTGGAGTTTTTATGTTTTCCATAAACTCTCAAGTTAATCTGTTCTGAATGACTATGCTGAAATGGTCGATCGGCCAAATTCTCAAAATTCAACTGAATAAAATAATTGTTTTGAATTTAAAAACACATGATCTGCGAGGATAACCAATCACAAATAATGTTATCATAATGAGCTGATTTAGCACTCATAGGATATTTTTCTAGGCTCATTTCTACCTAAATCAGATACTGGTGTTTCCCCAGACAACAATCGACAATTCCTAATTGAAACATCCACTTCTGAGAACAAAACGGAAGTAGTGGCTTGGTGGTAATTTACTCGACTTTCGGCCACTAAGTCGTAGATTTGTATCCCACTCCATCTACTTCGGTTTGGACATCTAGGTAATATCTTCGATTCCCACACTTAACGAATTGATGAAAAGCAAGTACACGAGTCGGTATCTCTGGTAACCAAGTTAAAAATAAAAATTGAGAGATCAACACGTACAAAAAGTTATTCATCTTACCTACAGATCCTTTTCATGATCAGTATATAAGTTGAACAAATTACGTTTAAGTTTCCTCTTGTTTTCTAACCTCTTTTTCAGTTGTTGGTTTAAATAAGGATAACTTTTCACCCGAATCACCTAATTCATCAACAACTTATGGTTCATTACTTCGACCTGGACGTATGCTTCCATTACGTCATTCACAATCATCCGTATCTAACAGACCAAACAGTAATATTGTCAGATCAGCAACAGCGGTAACGACGTCAGCAATGACATCCTCAACAGCGCCATTGTGTATGCTTCCTGGGGAGTTCCTTGTACATTTAAAGCGTCAGTCAACTGGTTTTGGATTTAACCTAGTCGGTGGAGCTGAAGAAAATACTCAGGTTTGTTTGTTGTCGAAAGTTTTTTGTTTGTCCGCTTATTATTATTATTATTAACATTATTATTATCATTATTGTGTATATTGTTGGTTGTTATCACTGGAACGTATTGGATTTTCATAAAATAACTTTTACACCTTTATGTGCAACCGTTCGAGCATGTGTTCGAAATGACTTACTTTGAGTACTGTTTTTTTTCTGATTCTAGTAATTAGCTAATGCTTTCATTCATCATACAATCAGAAAAAAATTTGCGATATGCATTGCCAACTTAATCGGATTTGAGATAATAACCTTTAAGTCTTCATACAAAGTTTAAGAAACCTACTGACTATGTATTACATAGTATGTGTTATACCTAAAAGGACTCTATTATATTGGGTTTAGAAGACAACGAATTGATGGTAAAGAGTCTTTTAGTTATTTAATTAAACAAATGAACATTAGTTCGAGTGCGTACCAGAATATATATACACCACTTTAATTTTGGTTGAGGGCTGGGATACTGCCTGGTTGCCTAAACCCGAAGCAGGTGGTTCCTTCTAAGAGGTCACTCGCTGACCCTCTGATCTAGAGATCTAATCTATAAGACAATGGAGCGACGTTAGGAGCTGCGGTTCCATGATAATCGGTGACCAACAATAGGTTCATACACCCATGTACACCATTGGTTTGAAATCAGGGTTTTCCAACTCCTCCAGGTGGATCGTCCATACCCACCACCCCGGTTAAAGCGCCGAACATTCGCTTTTCGTCCTCTCAATTTCGTAAACAACAGTAATGCCGCGAGAAGGCATTGAGTAGTACTTCCCTGACAGTGGCTATAATATACGCGTGGCCATATAAGAACATTTCAAGAGAAAGAATTGACCCTCCTCATTCTCGGCCATATTATGGCATTTGGGGGATGGTAAATAGTCCATTGTGATATCATACGAGTAATACTGTTGAGTAGAAGTAATATGAAGTAATTTGTTTATAAATGAACACACGAATAATGTTAAAGTTATATGGTGACTCAGCGACTTGATAAATTCATCATCCATGAACAACAATATGCACACAAATTAACTTCAAACACATCTGTTCTGTCATCGATAAATATTCAACACAAAACTCTCAAGATCATTTCGATTGTCATTTATTTCGATAACATACTATCGTTTTAGACCTATAATTCATGTTGATGTAACTTTTTAGGTATCTATCGGTGCTCTGCGTATGGGTGGTTCAGCTCAACTTAGTGAAGTTGTACGTACTGGAGACAAGTTAATATCAATCGATGGTGTACGTGTTATTGGAGCAACACATGCAGAAGTTGTAGAATTATTAGATAGAGCTGCACATACTGTTGGTCAAGTTACATTGGGTTTACAAAGAGGAAAGGTTAGTTCTTGTTTTTTTTCTTAGCTCGGTTCATTTATTTATTTGAACTCATGAACATTGGTACAAGTAGGCACCAAATAGATATACGCCACATAAATCATTCGATTTGTGTGAGGGTTAGGATACTGCCTGTGTGTCCAAACCAAAACAGGTGGTTTTCTTAGGGGCCACACCCGGAGCCTTCTATCTAAAAGTCTGATTCACAAGACAGTGTAGCAACGTTAGAATATGAAGCCCCGTGGTAGCCATTGACCAACGATTGGTTCTTGGGGCCCATGTGCACCAATGGTTTGGAATCAGGGTTTTCAAACCTCCCCAGGTGGTCCACCAACCCTGTTAAACCTCCAGACATTCGCACTTCGTCGTCTCAATTTCGTAAACAACTCACCTGCCACGAGAAAGCAGTGAGTAGAACTTCCCTGATAGTGACTGTATACGCATGAACATGTGAGAGCATTTGGAGTGGGAGAGCGGACACACAACTCTCGATGGTATCAGGACATTTGAGGGTTATTAGCTCGATGAATTTATTTAATTAGCAACTGGTCAACAGACAAGATTATGTATGCTTTTTTGCTAGATCTGAAAGTCTTGAATTTCATCCAATGTATTGATTTGTAAATAGTATGTACTACTGATTTCCATTATTTCTCTAGTTGACACATTTATCTATATTCAATTGTCAATAATCTCTTTAAATAAAAGTGATTTTCATCATAAAATGACTTGATATTTCATTCTGATTTGGTACTCATTAGCAATAAGCATCCACAATCGCACTCTTGTGATGTTGAACCTTGAAAATCAATAAAAAGTCAATGATGTATTCATTGATGAATAGCTAGTTATGAAACAGATTTATCGAAATTCTAGTAGGAAACAGTGATTTATGTACTCGGGAATTGAATAATAATTCATTTATATCTCGAATTTATTGAATTCTAAATTAAGGTTCATCGCATTCTAGCTCTGTGAATAAATAATGTTTTTCTCTTTGTTAAATATAAAATTACAATGTTTTGTCATGTATATTGTCGACAAGTCCCTAGCACTAATGAAACAATCGTGTATTAATTTCTCTTACTGCAATTAATATCAGTTGACGACAAGTAATATCATTAAAATAACCAATCTATGGTACGTGAACACAGGGGATCATCAGGAAACCTTGGATATAGATTTTGTCGTTGTTGAGACATGTCAACGAGATACAATTCACAATCTCGAAAAAACTAACGTTTCCTGTTGGATACAAATCCAGTTCATCAAGCTTCACAGTGTGAGACGTTACCACTAATTTATATAGGGTGTGAATATATTATATATACATAATTTGTTGATTGATTGATGAGCAGTGGTCAGTGTTAGGTTTATCTAGTCCTTTATTACTGATTGAATTGCATTGATCAAGTAGCAATTTCCCCACTAGTCTTCGTGATGTGTACCAACTAACTCAGATCCTCGTCTCAGAGTTTCCTGACTACTGCTTTCAGTCACTTACTATGATATACAGCATCGTTTATGGGGTTTCGAGTTACTTAGATTGATGACCACATTGTAACTTGATCGATAGAATTTGATCAGCACCACTAAAAAACTAGATAAACATTAAGTTATCCATTACTCAGCGATTAATCTACAGTATGATGCATCTATGTTCATCCCATCTAATAATCATGGACTTTTACGCTCTATCCTTCTATTTTTGCTACAATCATCGTAGTGTTCCTTAAAAGGTATCCTCATTCTTTCTTAAATCATCACTTGTATACCATTTGTGATGGGTGTAGGGATATGATTGTTACCCAAACTACCTAGGTAGTTGATCAGATTTTTTTTTAAAAAAGAACACACGACTGTTTACTTACTTACGCCTGTTACTCCTCGTGAAGGAGCATAGGCCGCTCACCATCGACTATTTACTGCTAATATGTATTTCAGTCTATTCAATAAAATATTTATTGGTTGTTTGTGCAAATAACATGAAACGATAATGATTCACACATATCTTGCATGAAAAGGTAGTTATTTGCATATGAAAATATATGTATATTAATTATCACAAAAATTGTAATATCATCATCATATTCGGTGAAAAATAACATATATTTCCGATAAATAATTCTGGTTGTCTGTTGTCTCGATTTGCATATATATATATAAAAGAAACTGTAAGCTTTTTGTCGTTACTAAATAAATCAACTTACCACTGATGACATCTTTTACTATTTATTCCCACCCCTTCACCACAGCCATCATCATCCTACTTCAATGTATCTCTAAGTAACATAACATTTTATGACAGGTTTGTATTCAGTTTATTCCTTTTCTCCAATCTGACATATATATACACATAATCTCTCAGTTCAGTAACATGTCTGAATAAAATATATAATACGTAGATAAACTTAATAGACAGGAATCCCATTATCCATCATTGTGACGTTTATTAAAGTCCAAATGAGAAGAATGGATGTGTAAATCTGATTTAATAATATTAATAAATTGTATAATGTACATGTAAAAAAAAGATGTTATTATTCCATTTTATTGGATTTCTCTCTCCCTTTTGTTAAGTGGTTACATAGTCCATTATGCTATACATAAAATTGAATCTTAAGTAGATTTTAAACGGATTATCAGACAAAGAAAAATGAATTCATGTCAGTTTATTTTTTGTTAAGTGCTTTATTTCGAAGTATATTCACCGATTAGACTTCGGTGCTAATCGATGTTGTGACTTTCAACTCTATAGTTGACCTATGAGAGAAATATGCAAACAATGGTTTCAAGATATACTAAACCGAACGCTGACAAAATGCACAGTCTTCTGATCGGCTTAAATGACAACACAAGAACGTTCGAAATGCGTTTCTCTCTCATCTCCTCTCTAAGTGTAAAATTTTGTTTCAGGACTGGTCTGTGTCAGCCTCTGAAGTTGTGATAGAGAGTGAAGTAGTTAAGTGCTTTCATCGCTTATTTTCTAGACTACTGATTTGACAATCAATTGTGTTACTGTCTAGCTTCAACTAATCCATGACATTGTGCGACCATCTCAACTTCCTAGTTGGGAAACGTGACCTATAAGGATACATGGGCAACTTTTTTTTTCTAAAATATTTTTACATCCATCTGATGAGCTCTGAACGAGGTGAAACTCCTATCCTGAATTCCAATATTCCCTACCATTCATGACTGTTCACAGTCATTTCATTTTAAAATTTTAAACTATCTCCAAGATAAATATGTAAAAATCATTTATTTTAATGTTTATTCATATGATTAGGTTGAAATTGACAATCTCAATTCACACTCTTCATCGGAACCAGTTGATGTTGTCATATCACGAAGTGAAAAATCTGATGGATTTGGTTTCTTTTTGACTAATACCAAACCAATTCACAATCCATTAAATGAACATTCAAATGCTATTGTTGTGAATCGTAATAACAGCAATAATAATAATCTTCAGAATACAGAATATATTGGTATGTGTTTTAACATGAAGAGTGAACTTTTTTCAAATCTTCAATACATTATCAATTAATCTGGTGTTTTCTGTCAGCTTACCTTGATTCTCGTCAATTTTTCTTTCAAAAGATGTATTGAGAATTAGTCTGATACAAAGTTTAATATTGACATTATTACGCATAAAAAGTGTCTGTATACCTGAGAGTTCAAATTTTAACCATGGATAACACAATATTTGTCAAATCAATTAAAGGTATGTGGGCAATTGTCACTTCCCAGTTGCCTACACAGGACAATGGAAGATATTATTTCTCGATGGATGTGGAAACAAAACTTGGTTGGTAGTGGCTATGTCAGCCTGAAAGTGTAACCACTGACCCAAAGGGATAACTGGTTGAGGCCGGAGACACCCTATCTTCCCAATCTGTTCTTGACGTGTTAACTTCTGTAACGCCTTATACCACAGACGATAGAAATTCATGGGGCAATGTGAGATGTACTAGTTAATCCTTACCTTCGATCATGAGAATACAAAAATTCTGCTGATGACGGTTGTCCATGGGGACCACGTTACTGCAGTCACACTATTATACACTCGGCAATATGACTTCATCCTGATGGCTTAATTTGCTACATTTAATCTTATCGTTCTCTAGCTGAATTTCCATGTATGGTAGAAACAAGTGTTCTAGCCAGTACAGTTCAATAAAGTGGTCACGATAAGCAGCCCCTGTCATCATGTCATGCTAGCAACTAAGATCAGGTATTGGTTACTATGCAGTGGTCGACTATTGTTGATATCTCAGTCCTGCAGTTGGTTAGTTACAGCGCAAACTACTCATTAATAATGTACTTGTGACATGGAACAATATCATTTTAAATCTCTCACAGGAATGTAACTTTTTTATTACTACTGATTAGCACGAGATCTAGATTACATGCCATAAGGTGACGGCCTCTAATATTTGAATATCATATTTACTCAAACTATGAATATATTCAAACTGAACATGGAGTCTTATTAATTGACTCAAGTTTATTAATATATTAGATTGTTTTTCACTACTAGGAAATTATCATATTTTATAATAAAGGAAAAAATAGCCCATTTTGAATGAATTAACTGGAGCTATGGTTTTTCTGTTTAATATGTATAGCTCAAATTGTTCCTGGCAGTCAAGCTGAACGTATGGGTCTGTTGTCTGTTGGCGATCAGATATTAGCTGTAAATGGTATTCCAACATGTGGACTACATCATGATGAAGTAGTTCGTTTGATTCGAGAAAGTGGTAATCACATAGCTTTGAAAATTTTGCCATATTCAGGCAAGTGTTTTCCTATTTTCTGTTATTGTTGTATCCTTTTCACTTCCGAATGCTTTTTCTAATCTATATTTTGCTAATATATTCGTTTGTTTTCGTATGTATGTATCCAGTATTCTCTTGAGTGAATTAGTTGAAAGCCAAATTGACGCTTTGTCCTTCAAAAGGTTCTAAAATGTGATTACTCTATACGAAAACCTGTACATCAATGAGATACGGTTCATATTTGGTTTCTGAAGATTAGTCCCATAAGATTTTCCTATCCACACTGTCAAACGCCTTCTCATAGTCAAGGGAATTGATGTATAGTGACGAATCCCATCCAATTGATTGTTGAACAGTGATCTGTGGTGTCACGATCTGGTCTGTGCACGACCAATCCTTACAGAATCCAATCTGCTGACCTTGAAGCTGGACGTATACTGAGTTTTTCATCCGGTCTTTTCTTAATTCTAATTGACATAACCATCCAACTCAAAAAAACAAAGTTGCGCCAAAATCACTTCATCATATGGGTAGCGATCTTCTGAAGTATTTTCAAAAAAGTGTCAGCTTTCTTTTAGTTAAGTACTTACAAACTGGTCAAATTTCTCTCGTTTCAATCATACCACTACTACTACTACTACTACTACTACTACCTAACGTGGTAAAGCCTAAAGAAGATTAATTTTAACAAACACAATACAGGTATAAATACACATACGAAGACCTTAAAATAGGATAAATAATTAATGTTCTAAAACAGCCACTAATCAGTGGAAAAATGATTACTTTAAGTGCAATAAGAATGAAAAGTTTCTGTAGTAAGGAGTTTAGACTTTGAAGCAACAGAAATTCAAATTTACAAAAATAAGAATAACCGGTATGTAGTTTTCTGGGAATTTCACCTACCCAGTACCAAGTTCCACGTTTCTATCTTTTCTTTTTTTCTGTTCAATACATTAATACATTGTAATCTTATGTAAAATTTTAAATATGGTCAAGTTACTAGACAATTGTCTCGGCTTATTAACAGACTTCTCTGATATTGACCAGTATCGACTCTATAGTTTAACGTTTAACTGTAGTTTTTGGGTAAAAGATTCTACTGAATAGGAATTCGGTATTGTTACTCTTGTATTTTCAAACTTAATAAGTCTATGGTTTAGCAAAACACTTCTGTATTTCCAGAGTAGCTGCACTTTTACCATCTTTCTATTTTTCTGACTTAATAATATATATTCTAGTTGTTTCGTTTCGCAACTGATTATTTTCCAATGTTGCGTAAATTTTTATTAGTTTTATTGTCAATCAGACAATCTCTATCACTGTTAAACACTACCATCCAACCAATCTTATTTTATAGAATGAAATGTTTAGACTGTGATTCTACCGTGAATTATATGTATATGTATATGCATCCTTACAATACAATCTTCTCACATTGTCTTCTTTGTTGTATAGGTTCAGCTTCACGTGGACGTAAACATCCTTTGCCAATGAGAGATTCAGTTGAATTTCCGGTTACATTATTTCGTGGAAGTAGAGGTTTTGGTTTCTCCATTCGTGGTGGACAAGAATTTAATCGTATGCCACTAGTTGTATTACGTATTGCAGACGGTGGTGCTGCTCAAATGGATGGTCATTTAAAGGTACATTTTTTCATTGTTTGTCATAAACATCGTTTTTTAGAATTGATTTACAAAAGTCCATAACTCAAAAAGTTTAGATTTGTCCAAAGAAATTAGAATGTAACTATCTCCAATAATAACAAAAGAATTTCTGTTTTGTTTTGCATTTGAATTAATACCGCCAACATAATTTATATCTGAATAAGTAGTTTGTGTCGTTTCATTCGATAAAAATCATTTCTTTCATAGACTCGTTATGTGTCATATCAATTTAGTGTGTATTAAATACTCCAGAATTTTATCCTCCTTGGTATTATCAGTTAGTAAATGACTAGTCATAGTCAATCTCACCTATCTTTTCTTCAATTTCATGTGAAAATTTCAAAGCTTTTATTTTCAAGATGATTTGTTTCGTAGTAATACTTGTATAACTTCACCGATTTTTGGACACTTGCTTGAATATCTAGGCTACCTATTGTTGCCATCTAGATATTTCAAGAAGTTATCTGTTTGTGTTTGTTTTAATACATCATAATGTCTGTCAATCGCATAGCCTATTCAGGCGCGTTTATGAGTAGCGAACGACCTTTCGCCGTACAAAGTACAATCAGAGACATCGTGATAGTTGAAAATTTTGCATCGAAATAAATGAACATTTTTGAGATGTCAATTCCTGAACTGCCAACATCTAACTGGTGATCACTCAGTATTTATCTTTAAGATCGTTCAAAAAATAAGAAGAGAAAACCCGTTGAACTACTTTGTACTGAGAATTTTATATTTTACCAAAAGTGTAATATTGAATAAAGCCATTCATAATAAAATTTAAAACGCGATGTCGGTTAGTTTATGTCTTATTGAGATATAAGTGAAATCTACCGACATTTATCTGTTAAGACGATTAAAATCGATAAACATTGAAATACTAAAGAATAATAGACCATGATCTATGAATAATCGACAGTAACTTAATGATTCTTAAAGTTCAGATTCAAAGAACTAGCCCCCCCGAATATTGGTCTTAATTCCTACAGAGTATTTCTTTCATTCAATATCCTAAATATTTACCTTCAGCTAAAATTCATAAATCAAAAACTCAACGTATATCCTATTTTTGAATTTTCAAACAATGAATTATTCATACATATACCTGAATTTCGATTAGCTAAAAAAATTTAGGTTCCATTTCTTCACAATCACTATCAAATATCACTGAAAGTTATAGTGAACGGACAGTCATATGGGCGAAACCAATTATTAACTTAACAACCTGTTATATCCGAACGAAGGATAAGTGAATGGAAACTACCAGAATTTATTTACGAACTGTCATTATCTATACTCTTATTGTATAACCACTAAGTAACTATATTATACGTATATTCATATTTGTTTTATTATAAGCTTCCATTTCACCTATTGACTACTATTATACGACTTACTTTACTTAAGTTATTCCTAATTTATTAGTTACAGTCTCTCACAACCACTTTTGCCCGTTCTTGTATAATTTTCATTTTCTACTTTATGGTATGATGTAGTCTCATTTGCTTGTATATAAACTGAGTATATTTGAAATACATTATTCTTATAGTGGAGGCTGATAATTAGTGTTCTGAACTGAATTGGCTGGATTATACGAGAAGCTACTATCTCAGAGGACCAATAAGAACTCAGAGTTGACTATATGCTGCTCGTACTGGTTTATGCATCATTGGTCTGATCAATAAGTTAGTGTACTAATCAGCGATCTTAATACTTGATAATAAACAGTGCTATTAAGAACATAACACAATCACATAGTGATTTAGTAAAATGTAAAAATCATACATCATTTGCACATCTTTGAATTGTCTCTTAAAAGCTTCATTGTTCCTTCATTCCTGTTGTTATTTTGATTGCTTCCAGTTTCCTTCAATCTTCTCAACCTTCTGCTCGCAGACATTGCACTTCTATGTGGTGTTGCATACTCTTTATATCTGCAACATAAGTAACACACACCACAATCATTAAGGTATACTTTAGCTATTCATAAATTTTGCATACTACTACCATTACTATTTATATGTAAGTGAATATTTGCTATTTCTGCACACATAAAAAACAACTAAAAATTCCTATTTCATAACATAACTATATCTAGGTTGGTGATGAATTAGTTGAAATCAATGGTTATTCAACTATTGGTATGTCACATGGACAAGCTATTGAAATCATACAACGTGGCGGAAATACTATGCGTTTAATTGTTCGACGTCGTTCTCCACGTGTTAAACAATCATTAGAACAACAAATGTCAAATGGTTTAACTCGTGTTATTGATAGTCGTACAAATGCAGGTAAATTGATTTTATTATAATTTTGTAACCTAATAAAATTTATTTAATACTGTTTCGGCGATTCATAAATTATACAGTTTCTGTTGTGAAATGTTTTTTGGTTTATTTTATTCCCATGTATGGACTGTTGCGTATGAGGCATGTAGAATTTCACATTTATATCTATCCAAGACGTCGAATGATTGAAGATCCACAAGAGTGTGGTGTTTGCTACTTACATTTACAAATATAAGTAGTATATAACAACAGTCAGATATGTAATGCCTGCCAGCAGAAGATTGATAAGATTCAATTGAAGAGAACATGAAGAGAAACAGATAGAAATTGTAATAACAACATAATTGAAAGAATCATGAAGCATACAGAGGACAACTGAAGGAGGATATGCAAATACTGTTTTTAATGTACGGTTTTCATATTTTATTAAAGCACTCTATAAGTTTGCATTAAACAATAAATTGTTTCCCCCCCCCCACGTAAGCTCTCCTTCACTACTATAGTTGTATAGAGTTTGTTCATCCTTTATATTTTATTTTAATTATTAATACCTTCAAACTAAGCATATTCAATGAATATGCTTAGTTTGAAGTATATTTCTAATGTATAGTTTATCGCTACTACTAATTGTATTATTTAGATTAGATTAGTTCGATAAAAAATTGGTCTAGTGAATGTAAACGATTCAAAATTAATGGTTTACAATGATCCGAATGCGCTCACTCGTTGTTTTCCTTTAAATCTCGAATATATATTATTTACTTACTTAGCCTTGTTACCCCTCGTGAAGGAGCTTAGTCCGCTCATCATGGTTCTCCACCGACCTCTTCAGCTAAAAGCTGTTTTTTCTCCCACTACATATATATATATATATATATATATATATATATATATATATGCATTCTGCCTTGTCCCATCATATTTTCAATGCTTAATTCTTCTTATCATTGCTACTTCAATTATTCCAACTTCTTTGTCCGCGATCTTGTGTTCTGGTGTAATTTCTCAAATTGGGTGTGATGTATGAGCGAGAAAGGTAATAAATTGTTGTTTGCCTTTTCACATTAATAGATAATCTGATAGGTATTAGGTGTTATATATTTTCCTACCCTTACTATTATTGTTATTGTTGTCGGTTGTTGGCGTGGAAATATACTGACGTTCTAATCAGTCTAGTCACGTGTTCTTGATCCGAGTTGTGTTGAAGTCCTGTAGAAAAGACACGGAGAGAGTATCTATTGTTGATATTCATCCGTGAGATAAATGTGTACAGTTTTTTTACGCTTTACTGTGTTGTAATCAGAGTTCATTTTACAATTCGGTAGGTGTATACTTACTTTAGATTTGCATCTAGTTAAAATCTGTATTTCAACTTCCTAGATTTCATAAATGAAATCATTTGTCCACAAATGTAAGTCGGTCAAACAAAATGCAACCATTTCATGTACAAAATAATTCGGATTATGAAACTTATCATCTATCAGTAAAGAATATAATTCAATCAGTGTTATAGATTTAATGTGTTTGTTCACCGTGTTATCAACGTCCAAGATCTATTAATTCCGTTTGAAAACTATGAATATCTACCTCAATATCACGAAAATTAGACGATCATCATGTTAGATTTTTAAATCGTCATGACAAATTACCCTTAAACTTTGAGATCTGACAACTGACTTCGATGAAGCTATTTGCGTGCTTAATTGGTGAGAAAAAAAAAAGAGTATATATTCAAATTCCCCCAGGCTGGCATACTTCCCTAAAATAAATTGAAATTATCTCTAATCTTCACATTTTTGTTCATATGTCTGAATTGTAGTTGCCTCATTTCTCCTATAGAATATACTAATATAACCAGTTTTTTATTATTTCCCAAATACCATCATATTTTTTCTTTCCTAGATTGACCATAGAATTTAATCCATTCTATTTTTTATCTATGTTCCCTTGTTCTTTCAATCTCTTCATTCTCCTATGTAAGCTAACTAATGTTTTAATTGTTATATTTCATTGTAATTAATCTAAAACTGTCAAGGAAAATAGGATTTATATCAGAAGAGTTTTTGTGGATATTATAGTAATTTCAATGGTTGAGATCATGAGTCAATTGAAGCTAGACCACCATGAAAAAAACCTTTCCAATATTAATCAACATATGCTCACTAGTGACGGTCTCCAAAAGGTATTTCCTGGAGTTCTAGTGAAAAGCAGTGACCAGCGGAGTTCAACCGGGTCAGTTGTGAGATAGTAGCTCACTGAAGACAATGGTGAATATGTCTTTCAGTTTCGTGAATTTGTTGAAGTTAGACATCAACACCATTAGATGCCGACTCAGTGCTTTAAAGGTTAAGCGCTCGCACACGAGACTGATAGGCCTTGGGTTCGAATCTCGCGGAGGGAGCGGGATCGTGGATGCGCACTACTGAAGAATCCCACAATAGGACGGAACAGCCATTCAGTGCTTCCAGATTTTCCATAGTTGTCTAGCTTCAATTGACGCATGATCTCAACCATTGAAAATAGGATCTATTAATATTTTTAATAAAGTTATATTTCGATAATAATAATAATTAAGTAGTTGTTATGATTTAGGAATAATTTCACGAAAAATATTTATTGCAACCTGATTTCTTATTTAGTTCCCATGTTATTCTTTGTATTGCATAACATTTTCCCAAAAATATGTTATAGCTTAATGATATTATTATTATTATTATTATTATTATTATTATTATTATTATATCCACTCTTTACATGGATGCTAATTAATCATTTCTGTATTTTATTTTGGCAATAACAATTTGATTTTGTTTATGCATACATAAAGTCTAACAGATTTATACAATTAAAACAGTTGATTGGATTATTATTAATTCTTTCATTCGCAAGTATGTTTTTAATTCAATTTATCTACTAAATAGTATTGTACTTGTTATAAAAGACAACCTCTAAAAGGCTTGTTTTCAATCTTATGTAAGGGTAGTAGTAATAGTAGCAGTAGATACACCCGAATCGAACAATTCATAAAGTAGAGTTAAATCTACATTGTATGTTTATTCTATAATTTTGTAGTTGAGGTTATCTGCAACGTTTTCAATATTGAATAATTGTGTTGTCATCCCAAATTCTAATCCTCTGAATTCCTCGTGTCCCTTTTTTTCTCTTTCCAAATTTATTTCACTGGATTATATTCCTTGAATAATATCTTCAAACCCTAATCTTTCCGATTACTGCTTATACTCTTACTACCTCTACCACTATGGGATTTGAATCGACAACTGTATTTCTGTGCTAATGTGGTATGGCAACTCGAACTGATGTATGTACGTACGTACGGAGTTCTACGTTGTGTTCTAAGTGGCTGTTGTTTCTGGCACTTTCAGTCATTATAACTTTCATTTGATAAATGAGCACTGGTTAGCGTTTTTTTAGCAAGTTAGTTTTCTACGGGAAGGGGTCGATAACCCCATGCCCAACCCTCCTCTTTTATCCGGGCTTGAGACCGACAGTAGTCCCTAGAGGGGACTCCAGGCGGCGGTGAGCACTGCATATTAGAGTGAAATTTTTTACTGAAGGTTCTATTTCTATCTATCTGAAGTTATCCATAACTATCTACTATGAACACATCAGTTTAGCTTAACTTAGTATCGAGGTTAGAAAATGCAAGCATAGTACTACAAATTAAAACTTGAAATAAAATATAACAAAATGACACTTTAATATACAACGCTCATCTATAACATAAAAAGAAAACTAACCATTATTGCTGAACACAATACAATTCTTGAATATTGAAAGTGTTCTAGATAACCTAGGTCATATTGTTTATATAAGCTTTGGAGATGTTACTCAATTGATTGTTACAAGTTGGATGCTTCACAGTTATGTAACTGACTTATTAGAAGAAATATATATATATCATTATCAATTGATCCAGAGGTGTTCATTACTTACTCCTTTTGTGATCATTTTGAAACTGTATTTTTATTTATACTCTTATTGATAATCTATTGAGTGTATTTTTATTTCATTACTGAAAACTTCATTGATTCTAGAACTATCATAATGTTTATGCAGGTAATATGTTTATGTTGTTGATTGTTTGTATTCTTATATATATCTGTGTGTGTGTGTGTTCATGCATGAATATATTTGTAAATTTTCTGTTTATATATAGATGGAATGTGTTTTTGCATTGTTCCCCCAAAAAATGAATACCTATGTTGTTGTGCATCTTTTTAATTCTTTCAATGAATACTGAAATAAAATTAATTTACATGATGGTTGAATCAGTTCATCGTTACTCATATTCTTCACTGATATATTATCGTACGTAACACCCGGGAAAAAAAAGTACATAACGAGAGTTAAACAGCTCTTCCTAGTGTTATGTCACTTTTAAAGTTTACACACAGATCATAAAAATCATTATTGCTTGAAATTATCTTTAAAGATTTAATACGATATTACATAGGAATTAATATAAGTAGTATAGGAACGAACTGGAAAAAAAATAATAAACACTGGTTATCAAACACAGGAATAATAATGATATCCATTTTTGCAGAACAATTCCACAATCATTGTCAGAATGAAAATCAATTCCTATCGTAGTACATAAATAACATATTGTAACAAATCATTATATACACTAGGTATTATTTGGCTATCAGAACTCAGTAGCTAAGTGGATAACGCGATGGCGTTTGAAGCGAATGGTACTAAGTTCGAGTCCCAGAGTGAACATCAACTTTGAGATGCAGGTACATCGAGCTGATGAGTCCCAAATAGGATGAAACGCATGTCCTGGATTCCACTGCTAGCTACTATCTATCATTGCTTACAAAATGCATTATATACACTAATTAGTCGAGAATATATTACTGATATAGTTGTATTTTTGTTTGTTTTTTCAAATCTGATATATCTCAGTTTGTTACTATGTAATCTTCATAGTTCAATATGCTTCCCTCTTACTAAGATTAACAATGATCAGTAAATACGTTTTGTTCTCTTTCTGTTACTATATGCGTGTGTGTGTGTGAATGTGAATGTAAAGTGCATGTGTATTTAATAAAACGTCTCTTTTTACCTTGATCCATTTACATATCTATGTATTACCTATTATATATATATATATTGTAGATAAACAATCACATCGACTTAGTTTTAACAAACATGATTCTTCATTAAATTGGTTTCAACGTACTATATTAGATAAAAATCATTCCTCATCTCATTTTAATCAATCTCAAAGAAGAAATGAAGTGCTCAGATGGACCGTTCGTAAATAATTCATTATTTTTTAAGTTTTTTTTTTTCTATCCTACCAATGTTTGTTTTTTTTTTCTAAATAAATAAACAAACAAACAAACAAACTGAACATTGAATATATAAAGTAGCTATTTATTCTTTTATTATATTCATTCTTATTCAGTTTACTTATTCTTGTATCTTTCTCAATGTCTATATTCTATTTTATTTTATAATTGACTCATTGGAGAATGTTGTATATTTACTTATTTATTTATTTATTGAATATATTTTTATTAGTTTATGGAATCAAATGTTTTCTCTCTTTGTTTTTTCTACTGACTTTTATTTCTTTCTTTTGTTTTCTTTTTTTCGTTCTTCTTTTCTTTGGTTTCTTCTCTCATCTTCTATCTCATCGGATGGGTGTGTGTGTATAATGATGATTGTTACCATCAGAATACATTTCAATCATCTATTCATTTATCATTTATGAAATAATACCAGTGATGATACTGATTCATATTGAGTAAAATGGCGGTAAAAAAAAGAAAGCAGTTCTTATTTTAAACAACAAAGACATGAATGTTCAATGTTTAACTAGTTAATCAATAATGTACTGAATGTTTGTTTGTTTGTTCTTTTGTTGTTGTTGTTGACTTTATCAATTGACTTATATATTTTACACCTCATTAATACAGAAAAATTTGTACTTTATTTTATTTATTTACTAATTTATTACATTAAAAATAATAATAATAATAATAATAATGTAAATAAACATTTGTTTCTTTTCTCATATATAATAACCCTGATATGATGGCGAAACTCGGGCAGATGTAGAATCCTTCACATACCTGGGAAGCATCATCGATGAACAAGGAGGTTCAGATGCAGACGTAAAGGCGAGGATTGGCAAAGCCAGGGCCGCATTCATACAATTGGAGAACATATGGAACTCAAAACAACTTTCAACCAATATCAAAGTGAGAATCTTCAATACGAACGTCAAGACAGTCAGTTCTACTGTATGGAGCTGAAACTTGGAGAACTACAACAACAACAATCAAGAAGGTACAAGTATTTATAAATGGTTGTCTACGCAAGATACTCAACATCGATTGGCCGGATACAACCAGCAACAGCCTTCTGTGGGAGAGAACAAACCAGCTTCCAGCTGAAGAGGAAATTCGGAAAAGATGATGGAAATGGATAGGACATACATTAGGAAAATCATCAAACTACATCACGAGGCAAGCCCTAACTTGGAATCCTGAAGGGAAGCGGGAAAGAGGCAGGCCAAAAAACACATTACGTCGTGAAATAGAAACAGATATGAAAATGATGAATAGGAACTGGAAAGGATTGTCCAGGACAGTGTTGGATGGAGAATGCTGGTGGTTCGCCTGTGCTCCTTCATGAGGAGTAACAGGCGTAAGGAAGGAGTATATTACAAGTAATGCTCCAAATCAAAACATGTAACAACACAAAAATCATCAGTGAACTTGAAAGTAGTTAGAATCCGGTCACTGATCAGCACTCCTTAACCTTTAAGTTATATTGACCTTTTCCAAAAGTATAGTTTCACTAAATCTTTCTGTGAAGCTAGAATTCTGTAAAATTAAACTATAGATTGCATTTTAATTAGCAGGCATGGATTTACTCTTAATGTAAGATTTTAACGACATTTATTAGTGATAGTTTTAAACAAATACAACTATGATGTTTTTGTTCTCGTGGGATACTTTTAAGTAAACACTTTTTTGGTCTGTTTAACACATCAACTGGAAATGTATATAACCAGCAATAAAATAATAACACATAAGTATCAGTGTAGTAGGTAATATTTACACTAACAATGACTAAGTAACCATGCTTTACTGATCGGTAGCTCATACATGTAAATGTGAACACTAGTCATGTGTGTTTGTTCAGATTGTAATTTGACTGATTGAATTGTATTGTTATGACAATATGTAATCAGTAAGCTTGTTTATCAAGTGTATGATAATAAGATGTATTAGTATGTGATATTCTGATTAGTGAGTGATTAGTTAGTGCATTTGATTGTAATAAAAGTGACAGATGACTTGAGATTTTCGCTCATGATCAGCTACTGTTGACTGGGATGTGATATGAATAGCGAAAAAACTTAAATAAAATCGGTTAAAAATGTAAGATTGATTTTTGAAATAATCGATCATTCTACTAAGCGTCTCAGGATTCATGAACGAAATTTGAATCAATTGTTGACTTGACAATAAAGAAGTTCTTGACCAAGATAGATTAATTCCGTACTTTTAAGTCAAGGAACCATATACGCTATGATATAACTCAGGGGGAGACCAAGTTGTGTGACTATAAACGCTTTCTAAACCATTGAAGCAAAAACTAGATATCGATAACACAAGTTGTATTGTCACAATTACAAACCAGAAATGAAGGTCATGTTTAGAATGAGATTGGTCAATCATAACATAGACTCTTTGCATATAAAAAATATGAACTATTAAACTAACTGGACTATTAAAATAAGGAAACAAACATTAGTGAACCATAACACTTAAAACCCGACTAGCGAAACTCATCATAGTATTACTTTCTATGTTAAAACAGAGTACACTGTCTGTGTCTATACTCCGATCATAGATAAAAATTCTATAACGTCAGCATAAGTGCCAGTAACTAAGTCAACAAGAAATTTTTTTATCTGATGATAAATTCTAAACTTTTGTACATTAGCATACCTACCAAAATATAAATTATCTCATCCGCAGTGTTTATATCCATACTCTAAAGCATCCCCGACTATCTACTTCAACACGCGATATTAGCCAGTCTAGAAGTAGGTTGCAAAAAAAATCGGGATTAGTTAAACCAAAACGTGACATCACACCATTGATCTCTGACCTGAACTATCTTGGTACATCCAGACTACGTGGTTAGAGTTCAGCCGATTTACCTGACCAATTCAGTTAAGGCGTATGAAATGACTCAGATGAGTTCAACATTTATCGCTATAAATCTTGAATCTTAAGATTATCTTATAATTGTGGTTTGAATCTATTTTTTCCTTCTAAATCACACTATTTATGCCTGAGGTGATATAAATTGTCTAACAACTGACTGGAATTTTAAATAACTGTATAACGATACCGAAAACCCGACTATGGACAAAATACGGTCACATAATACTATTTTGGACTGCGAAATTCTCATTTATTCAAATCAAATCTTATTTTTAAAAGTAACTGATAAGTCTTCTGACTGAATGCTTGAATTAGTTTCCTAAGCTCTCCAAGTGACCCCAGGCTAAATCTACACAACCTCAACGTAAGAGAAAAGGCGCGAAATATGGGAAGAATGCTTTACTCCAATATTAGTTCATGTACAGAAAGGCAATGGTATATATAGCGTTCCAGATGATTTTGGGCTTTTAAAAAGTTCTGGAACCCTACTAAACATATTGGCAGTGTAGGTGATCATCCAATCAGAAATGTAACATGTGACTTCTCAATTTCTAGGTGTTTTTTGCATACTTCTGCCCAGTGCTAACTGGATAAAGTGTCTCCCAGCGTTTATAGAGCGCTTATGAGCATCTTCCGAGAAATACTGTGGATCTCATCAACAGTAACACAATGATAACTCTTTTTCTTATTACTAACAAATGCCTAACTAATTAGTGTCTAAACCACGAATATTAAAAACTACTTATTATAACGAACGAGTTATTGGCCCAACGTTTGTTATTCATCGTAACCAAACTTTACTCTATTTGGTAACAACAATACAGTGGATAAATTATATTAACAAATGGCAAAATTCCCTCTTGTTAGATCTATACCTCTCTGATTTATGTACCTTAGACTTTTGTGACTATAATTAAAATTATTTTCTGTGTCGAGAAAAATAACTTGAATTAGAAATAAAAAGTATTTTTCTCTGAGAAACAAAATACAAATTGTATTTTGAATGGGTTATGAATGACGACGTGGTCGTTTTGAGTTATTTTGACTCTTAAGTTTCATTTTTCCTCGATTAGACGATTGATGATGATCACGATTTTCTAGTCTCCTTTTTTTCGAAACTCCTTTTTCACGATATTGGCGTCGTTTATGATTACTATTACTACTCTGTGAATATAAACGTTTTTGTTCCCAAAACCGTTGTCGTTTTTCTTTTGCAGTTTCTTGTACATCATATAAATGACCAACTTCTTCAGCACTTGCGAATAAATTATTTAAATTGAATTGACTGCAAAGGAGAGAGTTAAAAAAAGATAGCAATTTCAACAATCAGTTAATATAGATTTAAATCTAAAAACATTTCACCAATTATAAACAAAAGCGTTTTGAGTGAGACGATAATTTATGGATGAACCAATGAGATATAAGATAAGAGGTCTTGGATTTCAACGTGAAATTCATTCATCCATTTGGTTAAATAACTTATTGGCATTTTAACTGATGTTAGTTCGTGTTAAAAACACTAAATCTAGTTCCGAACCCTGACCATCAACTGTAAATCATAATTCTAATTCCTCACATTTGCGTATAAACCTCATTTAGTCCAAGTTAATAGGTGAACATTGTCAAGGTAACTTTAGGGTCGCTTAAAGGTCATCTATAAATTATAGTCTTGATGAATTTTGGTATGTCAGTTCTGAATTAAGTTTTCTCTAGAGCTAGACTACTTGTGGCAACGAATGAGTAGTACTGACAGTTCTTTAAAAAAACGAATAGAATATCTTTTGAAGACGTTAACTTAATTTCAGTAGTTAAGATCATGAATCAATTGAAGCTAGACCACCATGGAAAACCTGGAAGCATTGGACAGCTGTTTCGTCCTAGTATGGGACTCCTCAACAGTGCACATCCACGTTCCCGCCCCCTACGAGATTTGAACCCAGGACCCACCTGTCTCGCGTATGAGCGCTTAACCATTAGATTACTTAATATTGGGCAGTTTTGGGTGAAAACTCTCGGTTTGGTAATCAAATAGTAAATAGAAATTCAAGAGTGTCGACTAACTTCCCTGTAATATATCTTAAGATAGCGATTTTGAGTCCATTCTGAATTGAAAAATGAATCTGGAAATCATCATATACACATAAAAACCTATTCACATCTCAAAAAAATATATATTAGAATTGAAATCATGAACCGATCAATCTTAGACCACCATTGAAAACTCCGAAGTACTGGATTGCTGCTTCATTCACAACCCCATACTGAAAAGATAATTAATTAAGTAGGTCGAGTACTAATGACTTCATAGACATTCATCTCATATTCAAGTGTGTGTTTTCTTATTGTACACATAAGTGAATCTGTGTAAATTGAAAAGTTGAGATCAATCATATGTTAGAAAAAAAAGCATTTCTTTGATATACTGTACTGTAAACAAAGCGTCAATCACAATTTATTTATGTATATCCTTTACAGATTGATTGTACAGTAAACATACATAACAGGAAATGGAAACTTTATATATGAATCATTAGAGTGGAAAGTATTAATTAATGGAAGGAAGAATTGATCGATATAAGCTTTAGAAGTGTAACAACAATCCTTGGAAAATAGGAATTGAAGTTAATTACATAAATGATAATAAAATGAGGAAATAAATAAAATTAATTATTTAATAATACAATGGACTACTTTAATAGTTTTCAATACTTACTTACGCCTCTTACTCCTCGTGAAGGAGCATAGGCCAACCACCAGCATTCTCCATCCAACACTGTCCTGGAAAATCTCTTCCAGCTCCTTTCAGTTCCTATTCATCCTTTTCATATCTGTTTCTATTTCACGACGTAATGTGTTCTTTCGCCTGCCTCTTTTTTTCCGCTTCCCTTCAGGATTCCAAGTTAGGGCTTGCCTCGTGATGTAGTTTGATGATTTTCCTAATGTATGTCCTATCCATTTCCATCATCTTTTCCGAATTTCCTCTTCAGCTGGAAGCTGGTTTGTTCTCTCCCACAGAAGGCTGTTGCTGGTTGTATCCGGCCAATCGATGTTGAGTATCTTGGGTAGACAACCATTTATAAATACTTGTACCTTCTTGATGATGGTTGTAGTAGTTCCCTAAGTTTCGGTTCCGTACAGTAGAACTGACTGTCTTGACGTTCGTATTGAAGATTCTCACTTTGATATTGGTTGACAGACAGTTGTTTTGAGTTCCATATGTTCTTCAATTGTATGAATGAGGCTCTTGCGTTGCCAATCCTCGCCTTTACGTCTGCATCTGAACCTCCTTGTTCATCGATGATGCTTCCCAGGTATGTGAAGGATTCTACATCTTCCAGAGTTTCGCCATCAAGAGTGATTGGATTGCTGTTCTCTGTTTTGAATTTGAGGACCTTGGTTTTCCCCTTGTGTATGTTGAGGCCTACTGAGTTTTCAATAAAGTATGTATATATATACATAGAAATATTGATTGCGCAATTAAAATCGAAGAGGTTGTATAACATTCCAACAGGTCAGAAAGTAAGTGTTGTAGCCAACAGTTTAAGTATAAAGTTGTTGTTGACCCTTTAAACTGAAGTATTTAACATTACGTTAAAAAGTGATTAGAGATGGCTGAGAGGAAATTCCGTTTGAGTCAGTTGGCACTCGTCACGTCAGTAGGACAAATCTACCGTTTTATGAGAATTGATCTTCACTGTGAGATTTGAACCAAATTCACAATTTGACGCTGTGTAGTGTAACACATGGAAATTTTTCACTCAGTTTACTGGCTATATTTCAGTTACACCATCAACTAATAAACATTAATCTACACTAGACAACATGAATTTTGAGGATTCTAAAAATGAAGTCAAAAATATGTCTTATTAAACAGTATCATCTTTACGAGGATGAACTTACCCTGGTTTATCAGGAATATAGTCATCATCGTCGTCTTCATCATCACTATCGTCTTCAGAATTCTCATCATCATTAACCGCTCCTTCATCGTCATCTTTAAATTTGTGATACTTGCATTTCGATTCAGTTCGTTTTTTCGTTTTCTTAGACTTTGAATTAGCTGACAAATTGATATTATCCATTTCTTAAGTCAGAAGAATAAAAAGAAACACAAAATGTATCATTTATGATATTTGGCCAACTAGTCAAGTTTCATGTAAAATGGTTTTAACAGACAAAAACTGACCACTTTATATATTTTAACGTAACTCTCTGTCATCAAGAATCGGTTTATCTGTTCAGTTTTCGATCAGAATTTATGTATGAAAGGACAGTGAAACTACTTAGTATATCAAACCAAAATAAATAGATTGAATTTTGATCACTTAGACCATGGAGACTAAAAGGTAAGTACTTGAAATATCAAACACTAGTATACACTTGTTAAATATATTGATCAATATCACCAGAATATAAATGCAGTTGTCGTTAACTAAATTTTAAATAAAAACTTTGATTCGTCCAAGATCTATAAGATCCTATATATGTTAGTAAAGATCGACATAGATCAAAGCGATAATGAAAGATATTTTTAGCTCAGAATGAGGATTTTGGAAACATTATACCCTCTAACTTAGATAGTTTAATCGAGAAAACTAATAAGCTCGAGACAGCTATTCCTTCCTAGTATGCGATTTTATAGCAGTTCGCATCCAAAATACACAATGTAACGCACATACACCTCGATGAATAAACGCTCATCAAAAAACTGCAGTTTATTTTCTCAGTCAGGAACGAATTCCAACCTGGTGCCTATTTTGCAATCACTGATAATCAGAAACCAGCAAAACTCCGTCTATTCCCAGTTTAGCATTAATACTAAGATGCAAGAAAATCCAACGAACAAGTCTCAAATAAGATAAAAACGTGCCTCCTAGATTCTACTATGAATTGCAGTCTATCTATTCTCAAAACAATAGCTTATTTGTTAAGGTAGTTGGATTTTATCGAGTAGATTGTAGCTTCAAAACTCCCCCATCGGATAGTAGGAACACTAATCATAATGATTAAAGCATAACTGAAAGTCAAGCATTAAAAATAGATTGAAAGGAATTCCTCAGTGAATCACACTATATTTCTCTCTTTAGTTTAATGTCTTAATAGGTTTTCTCATTTACCTGAAAGAAAAATTAAAAGTAGTTGAATATAATAAACTCCGCCTGTAGCTCTTATAGAGTTACTGCCGGTCCCAAGCCCGGGTAAAGGAGGAGAGTTGGGCATGGGGTGAGCAACCCCATCCCGTAGAAAAATAACTCGCTAAAAGAACGCTAACCAGTAATTAAATATAATATCTTGTCTTATTATCTTTTTTAAAATTATTAAATACCTGAAAAGTCATATTCATTTGTATCATCTTCATCTGCTGAATTATCCATGAAGTCTTGATCACTAAATTCCGGTTCAGCTGAATATATTCCAAAAAGAGAACCATTTCCCAAATGAAGAAAAACAAATTTGCACATCAAATAATCGATGAGTTAAATAGTGCGTAAAGGAAAAAAAGGGAACAGTTGATAATGATTAACCTCAACTTCAATAAAAACTGATGATTTCTATAGTAACTCGATTGTAAGGTTAAAACAAGTATTTTTTTGAAAAGATACAGCAATATTATCAATATAAGTTGGAAAGATTAAATTCTAACGTATTCTCTGCATACTTGGATATGAGCTATACTTTAAGCGTGAGAGATAATGATACTATCCAGTTTCTCAAACCGAAGTAGGCGAAGCGTAATTTGAATCTGGGTTAAAGTCAAGAGTGTTATATCTTAGTGAAGATTAAATTGCGAGTAACTCCTGAGAACTATTAATGGACTAATATTCTATATATATTCTTATTGTATGGCTGTTCAGTAATTAGACTGTATATATCTATATTCCTCTTATTATAAGCTTTCTTTTGACCTATAGATCATTATTATACGATTTACTGTTCTTAAGTTATACTCAGTTATTTGATTACCATCTCCCACGTTCACAGCCACTTTTGACTGTATTTTGTATAAAAGTTATTTCGTATTTTATGGTGCGTTGCGGTCTATTTGACTAGTATATAAAGCAAGTATGTCTGAAATAAAGGATTCGCGGAAGCTGTTATTGGTGTTCTGAACTCAGTTGGACAGACTAGGCGAACAAAGTACCAATAAGGACGTTAGGTTGATCAGACCAGTCGAACGTCATTGATTTAGCACAGCACATGAATGAATAAGTCGTATTTCGATTGGTGAATAAATTACGTGATAACTAGCCAGACTTAAAGTCACAACAAGAAGCATTAACCATTAAATCACTGATACATTTAAGCAGTTGCTCATTTCGAGGGAATTAATTACGAACTGAATGTTCTACTCATTCGTTTAAATCAATTGCCCGTGATATTTTGTCTTGTCGTGCAACAAAGTTGATAATTACTCTAATACCATACATGTCAAAATAAAATATTGGCTCAAAATGGAACACATCATAATTACCTCAGTTGATTTTAAGTCCAAAACCTCATAAATCAACTGACTCTTATCATTTTCATTGTTTAACATTTACAATATTCCCCATACATTAGTTGCTCTAACACTGTATTTTTCACACCCATTACATTTAACAACTACAATTTACAGCTGTTAATAGCACAAAGAATATTCGGTAGAGTTTCTATGATTATATGGTTTGCTTAACCCTTTAGTCTTGATTAATTAGAGAAGTTGAAAAGTGGCTACTAATCTAATTGACTCACTATCATGTACACTAACCGCATTAAGTTAGATAGTTGAAGGTAATAAGCAAGAAGTCCTAGGTACTATATAATATCGGTTTTTGCCCAAATAGCTTTAACATTGGGACGAATTTCACGGATCTCACTATCTAAAACAATCATAAATCCTACATTTTTTTGTATCTCAAAAGCCGTATTTTGTGAATAAAAAGGTTAAAACAATGAATTTTAAAAAATGATAGCGTGCATAACATTGTAAATTACCATCATTTTCCCATTCTTCATTCGGAGGAAACAAATCTTTTTCATGTTTTGCTGTAAAGTTTCAAAAAAAACATACATCATTAGCAAAAGTATTCTCTACCATGAAATAGTGAATAAAATAGTTCAATTATATAAGAGAAAAATAAACCCAATTAGTCTTATTTAATAACAGCCCTCAAATGCCCTAGTGTGGCCGAGAGTGAGATCTCCATCTCGAAATGCTCTCACATGGTCACGTGCATACGACCACTGCCAGGGAACTACTCAATCCCTTCTCGCGGCAATACTGTTGTTTACGAAAAGTGAAACTCCGGCGCTTTAGTCGGGTTAGTGGACACGGAGGGTCCACCTAGGTGAGTTGGAAATCCTTGACTACAAACCAATGGTGCACATGGGCTCCAGTATCCTCAAGGAACAAATGGCGTATGAACCAATCGTTGGTCACAGGCTACCATGAAACTGCGTCTCCTTACGACGCTCCAGTGCTTTGTGGATCAGACCTTTAGGTGGTCGAGGCTCCGAGTGTGGCCCTTTAAGAAAACCACCTACTTGGGTCTGGTATCACAGCCCTCACACAAATCAAATAAGATTTGTGTGGTGCATATGTATCTGGTGCTCACTTGTACCAATATTTATGTGCTTAAATAAACTCAATAAACATGTGAATTTTCAAATCATTTTCTAGAGAAAATTCACGATCAAATATGATATTTAATTGTCTATTTTTTTTTCAAAACTCAAAATGTCATGGTTAGGTCTACTGAATGACATGCATATTCATAATGTGTTTACAGTCTTGATACTATTAGGTATTTCAGAATTGTTAATTGTCATATTCTTTAGTGTATTCAGAGAACGTTTTGTCATAGAAACTCTTCTTTAAAACTTTATTCATTTATTTTGACTAAATTTAGCCTATTACCTATACTAATAATTCCACTGTCGAGAGGCTTTGTAACTTTCTCGAAAAGATCTTTAGAAGGTGAGGAAGGGTTGCAAATCATTTCGTCCATTCAGCATCCGGTGAGAACTTATAGAGGAACGCAGGATTATGTATAACACTTAGATTGAACAATTACCTATCATTTCTATCATATTTAGTTTACTTTCCAAAGCCTCTAAAATGTTGATCACCACTGAACTTATAAATACTCTTGTTTTCTGTACATAAACCAACTTTGAAGTGAAATCTATACTTTCCGTCTTCCCTTTACCGTTTAGAGGTATACTGGAAAGCTAGAAAGAAATTATGAAGTTTCCGTCAAGAGTTCAAGTACTTTGAGAGAAAACAAAAAGAGCATTATGTAAGAGAATTACATAGTAAATAAAGAGTTGATCTTATTGCTTTGAAAGCAAACGTAAAAATAAAGAAAATTTTGCAATTCTTAAGAATTATTTAGTAGTTTTGTACCGTAAATTAGATTACGTGTGAATACAGCTTTCTTATCATCTTCAACGAACAAGCATGGAAAAGAAATTATTTACAAACATTACACAATAAGTGACTGTTTGTATATACACTATAAAAAGTACTTTTATTAATCTAGTTAGCGTTCATATCTATAAGTTTCCCAATCCATGTATGTCAAGTAGTCAGTCAATGGTTGATAGTGTTATATCCCGATGTCGGCTCTTCCTATCATTGTGAAGCAGAATTCACCAAGCGTTGGATTGTTCACCCACTAATAGGGAACGTGAGCTGGGTTTACACCGTTGTGAGACAGGTTAGTTTTACCCTACTAATGGGTACATCAGTGAAGTACAATCTGGCCGTTGCTATGGTAATCCTGTTTAGTACGAGAGGAACCGCAGGTTCAGATAATTGGTATATGTGCCTGGTCGAAAGGCCAATGGTGCGAAGCTACCATCTGCCCCCAAATGCCCTGGTAAAGCCCCAAAATGCCCTGGTACGGCCGAGAGTGGGGAGAGTCCGCTCGCTCTCTCGAAATACTCTCACACGGCCACGCGTATATAGCCTCTACCAGGGAAGTCCTACTCACTGCCTTCTCGTGGCGAGGGTGTTGTTTACAAAAATGAGAGGACGAAAAGCGAATGTCCGGCGCTTTAACCGGATTCCAAACCAATGGTGCACATGGGCTCCAGTATCCTGAAGGAACAAATGGCGTATGAACCAATTGTTGGTCACCGGCTTCCATGGGACTGCATCTCCTAACGATACTCCACTGCCTTCTGGATCAGACCTTCAGGTCGAAGCCTCGGGGAGTGGCCCCCTAAGAAAACCACGTGCTTCGGTTTGGGCACCCAGGCAGTATCACAGCCCTCACAAATATCGAATGAGATTTGTGTGGCGCATATGTATTTGGTGCCTCTTTGTACCACTATCTATGTGTTGAAATAAATAAATAAATCCCGATAAGAATAATGAATGGTAATTTTTGGGATCCATTTATGGACCAATGCTATGAGTATATTTTTGTAACTAAACTGTTCATATTCATGTCCCTTTTATTATAAAGTTTATTTTGACCTATGGACTATTACTATACGATTTACCACTCTTGAATTATGGCCTATCTACCAATTACTCTCTCTCTTATTCACAGCCACATTTGGCCAAATATTGTACAAATGTTATTTTCTATTTTATGGTACGATGTGGTCTGTTTGGTTTGTATATAAACACAGTATGTTTGAAGTATATGATTTATATTGCAGAGGCTGAGATTGGTGTTCTGAACTCAACTGGTTGGGCTAGGCGGGAAACAGGACCAATCACGACTCTAGGTTGCTCGCACGTGTTTTATGCGTCACTGGTTCGATCGATAATTCTCTGCTTTCTGATTAGCGGTATCGTTGCGTTATCCAATATACAGGGCACGTAGGTTCACATATTATAACAGATAGAAATAGGATTTACAAAAAAATATAACTGCAACGAAGTAAAATAAAATTTAAAACTAATAACAACACTACAATTTACCTAGGTAAACATCGAATTCAGAATCAGCAACTGAATCACTGTCACTTCCATTTTCATCATTATCTTTTGGTTTCTTCTCAGTTTTTTTAATACGACCTGGTTGGGTCTCCAGAAATTTGAAATAACTGAAAAATGGTCATATAAGGACAAGATGAAACTACTAAGACGAATCATGTTAGTTAGAACTCTGAAATTCTTAGACCTTACTAAGGAAATTAAATATCCAAGAAACAATCGCTTAATGAATATTTTGTTGTTTTTATTTTGTAGATTTAAATTTCTATTTTTCACGCCAAAACCCCGTATGGCAGTTATCCTTTATTTTCACAGCATCTAAAGATGCTAATTTCTTATTGTTCTGTGGCTCTTTAAGTGAGCTGAATTCTACCCCTCTTCTAAGGTCATTATGTATATTTTCGCAAGTGTATGACGCTTGCTTAAATAAAATCTTCTTTAGTCTCCATATATAAATTTGGCTTTAGGGGTAAATAGGATTAGAATAGAAAAAAAAGTTGTTGTATCTAGGCCTCAAAATGGGTTTGTACTATTTAAACTTGTGTTAATTATATTTCGGTTATTTATTTACTCTGAAGAAGTGACTTAGGTTAAGTCACAAAATGTCAGAAATACAATTTTCTACTCATTGGAATATATATATATATATATATATATATATATATCATTGACTTTCTACCCAACGATCAGTTTATATGAAACTAACAAATCCGACCTTGGCAATGATGCCTATAAAAGTAAGCGTTTTGTTTACTTCAAAAATACGATATTTTCACTTTATAGTGGAACAAATAGCTTTTTTAATAGTTGAGATTATGAGTCAATTGAAGCTAGACAACCATGGAAAACCTAGAAGCACTGGACGGCCGTTTCGTCCTAGTATGAGACTCCTCAGCAGTGCACATCCATGAACCCAGGACCTATCACTCTCGCGCGTGAGCGCCTAACCATTAGACCACTGAGTTGGCATCTAGTGATGTTAATGTCTTACTCGTAAATATTAAATAATTTATGCCGTTCAATTTGTAATGGTCTAAATTATCCTGTTTCTGATATTTTGACTGAAATCTAATTAGTGTTAGTTGGCATCTGTTGATCCTGCGTGTATTGCCTCAATATATCCATTATGACACAAATTTACATAGAATAGATTAAATGAGGCTGGTAGTGGAATTCAGGATGATCGTTTCCTTGAATATGCCAAGTAAAATTGATTACATTTTAGTAGAAATATCAACAACTGGATAATCAAAACCACTATAAAGTAAATTAGAATTCATAACCCTATCACAAGTGAGTGGCCACCTGAATTCAGTAGCTAAATAAATAGTGCGTTGGCGTTCGATACGAAATATAGTGGGGTTTGAATCCTGAAGCAGATATCAACTCTGGAATGCAAGTATATCAGGTCGACAAGTGTCAAATAAGACGAAACACACGTCCTGAATTACAATACTAGCCATATTTCATCTATTCTACGTAAATTTGTGCTATATATAAAGGCATTTTATATAAATCTACTTATAAAGTGAATTTCACGAAAAAATCCTGGAGGTCACTATCATAATTCCGTTTGGTTAACCACTATGATGTAGGTTTACGCAATTCAACTAGTAATAGATCAAATACTAAAAAGTGAAAATTATCAACTGTATTAAGCTTTTATTCAGACCCTGTGGAAAGGCGGATAGAAATATTTACAACCAGTTTGAAACGAAGTGAAGAGAGTGAAGTTTAAATCTATGACTACTAATGTACTATTCTTTTAAAGGGAAAATGATCGAATTCACTGGGAACAGTATAAAAAAGTCTTTTTCATGATCGCTTTTAAATTGAATTGAATACTCTTTAAATTCGTTTTTTTTTAGTGAGCGATTTCCTCAGGGAGATCTTAAAAACATTTCTAAAAATACTCATACAGTTCACGTGGTATCAATCAGTCAGTTAGTTATACGCAGCGTAAAATATGATGCATAAATGCACCAATTGAACTTACCATATCATATGAGCACAGAGGAATAAAATTACAGAATAGTAGCGGTATTAAGAGTATTAGTAGTAGTAGAAACGATTACTTACTTACTTACTTACGCCTGTTACTCCTCGTGAAGGAGCATAGGCCGCTCACCAGCATTCTCCATCCAACCCTGTCCTGGGCAATCCTTTCTAGCTCCGTCCAGTTGTAATTCATCCTTTTCATATCTGCTTCTATTATCCGACGCAATGTGTTCTTTGGCCTTCCTCTTTTTCGCTTCCCTTCAGGATTCCAAGTTAGGGCTTGCCTCGTGATGCAGTTCGACGATTTGCGTAATGTATGTCCTATCCATTTCCATCGTCTTTTCCTAATTTCTTCTTCAGCTGGAAGTTGGTTTGTTCTCTCCCACAGAAGGCTATTGCTGATGGTATCTGGCCAATGGATGTTGAGTATCTTGTGTAGACAGTTATTTATAAATACTTGTACTTTCTTGATTGTGGTTGTTGTAGTTCTCCAAGTTTCAGCTCCATACAGTAGAACTGCCTTGACGTCCGTATTGAAGATTCTCACTTTGATATTGGTTGAAAGTTGTTTTGAGTTCCATATGTTCTTCAATTGTAGGAAAGCGGCCCTTGCTTTGCCGATCCTCGCCTTTACGTCTGCATCGGATCCTCCTTGTTCATCGATGATGCTTCCCAGGTATGTGAAGGACTCTACATCTTCCAGAGTTTCGCCATCAAGTGTGATTGGATTGCTGTTCTCCGCTTTGAATTTGAGGACCTTAGTTTTCCCTTTGTGTATGCTGAGGCCTACTGATGCAGAGACTGCTGCTACACTGGCTGTCTTTATCTGCATCTGTTCGTGTGTACGTGATAGGAGGGCTAGGTCATCTGCGAAGTCCAAATCTTCTAATTGGTTCTGAGCTGTCCATTGTATTCCGTGTTTTCCTTCAGATGTTGAGGTCTTCATAATCCAGTCGACCACCAGAAGAAAGAGGAAGGGAGAGAGTAACTCCGCCTGTAGCTCTTATAGGGTTGCTGCCGGTCCCAAGCCCGGGTAAAGGAGGAGGGTTGGGCATGGGGTTAGCGTCCCCATCCCGTAGAAAACTAACTCGCTAAAAAAACGCTTACCAGTAGAAACGATTAGGTGTGGAAAAAAATAATCGAAAAGTATAATGAGGTTTCAGCATTCAGGAACTAAGGAATGGTATGAAGTGAATGCACCTGTATTATTGCAAATGAACTAATGGTTACGATAATCGCGCTGCCCCCCCCCCTAAATGGTTAGCCTACATTTATTGACATGTCTTAGTCCGATTATCAATGACCTCATAATACTATTATCGGACAGAGTTAGAATGAACTTTCTGAATTTTCTATATCCTTATTGAAAGGTGAGTGAGGTTTATTGAAGCAACAGTATTGATGTAAGAGTAGTGTTTTATTCTCTCACATTACGACCAAGCTATTCCTATTGCTTGATATTCTTGATAAGTCCCCAAATCAGAACACAGTTGAACAGGAATGTAATTATATTCCAAATAAACAAAGACGAATGGGAGTAAGAATAACAGTAAGAAAAACATTAGTATATTTATAGCTTTACACGAGAAGACTCTAGAGTCTTCTCCAATTGTCCCCTAGCGCTGATTGGCTAAGAAATACCCCCATTCAGCGTGCTCCAACACAATCCTACATGGAGTATGAGTTGCTTCAATTTATATCCCACTAACAATTAGGCTACGATAAAACTAAGAGTAGTCAAACCAAGACATGGCATCAGTCTGTGAGGTCATTCATCATTGAATTGAGTTATGTAGGTACATGTAGACTACCTGGTTGTGATTCAAGCGATTATCATAACCAGTGGTTGAAAGCGATTATTGACATGGGTGAGAATTGGTCACAATGGTACAGACGAACTTATTCATTATCTTTCCATAGATCTAAAGTCTTAATATTATCTTTTTGTTCCACAAACCAATTCTTCGATTAAAATGTCGATCTTTAAAATCTTAAGGCGTTCAACTTGTAGCCACTAAGTCCTAGGGTCAAACCTGACCCATCTGCTTTAGTTTGGCCAATCAGGTGGTATTTATTAGCCATCAAAATTGAAGCGTAACTCATGCCCAGGTACCTAATGAATGAGTTAATTAAATAATCTACATATCAATTATTGAAAATATGATTAAACGCCACGTTCTTTGAAGAAAAAAAAAGGAAAGTCACATTATCCTGAAACTCACAACTTAAAAAATAATAAAAGAAAATAGAACTTACTTATAGAAAAATCGTTCATGAACAGGAACACTGGTTATTGGAAGTTGTCGGAATGCCGAACTATCAACAGCCATTGCTTGTGTACCTGACAAAGCACCTTCTTTTCGTTTTAATAACTTTCCAGGCACAGTTTCTAAAAAGAACAGAATTTTTATTAAGTGTGCATCAGAGTTAGTCAATCACTGATACAAAATTCAAATAAAACCTGAAGCGAGCCTATGACTTAACGACATTCAAACGTTGTATATTGTTATATTAATATAACACCACTCGTTTTTCTTAACCCTGGCAACTCAAAAAGACAATCTTATACGGAAGATTTGTTTGGTAGAGATCAAAAATATGAATGACTATATATATATAAATATTGCAGATTATAAAATGTTATAACTCAACATTTATTAAGGTAGGAAATATTGATCGAACCACGTAAAATCATATGCGTAACATTGAAAATATTAATATGAAGCCATTGAACCAGGCACAAATTCGTATAATTGGCTTCAATTCAAACTGTGGGTGTACCAGCCAATGATACTACTCAGTTGTTCAAACTGAAGTAGGTAAAGTGGTTCTCAAACCCGTATGTCAATGGCTGAAGGTTAAACGCCTCAACAAATGGACTATCGCTCGAACAACGAATATCATAGTGTATAACTTCTATGTGACTACTAGTGGAACTGTTAGTGAGTGACAAATTCGAAAAGAGGTGTGAATCATCTTTACATTCTCCAAAACAACTAACTTACTAATAGTGAAAAATATTAGTTTAGATAAGTGTTTACACTTTTGATGACACCATACTACAATACACACTACAGGTGACTTTGAATTGAAATTTACTTACTTATTATCATTGTACCTTATTGAAGTGTTACTGTTTGATTATGTCATTAGTAATTCGTAATACTATATCAAAACTATAGAAACTCATTTATATGGGATGTTACCAGAAAAGTAAAAAGTGTAATTTAGGCTATAACATCTCGTTAAGAATAGCGATAGCAATTCAATGTACGAACATTCAGGAAATAAAAACATACTCTGAATAGGTTCTTCAGTAGTTGACTTTGTTTCTTTTAATTTATTCAACTTTGGTTTCTTATATGCGAATCGATCCAGAAAATGCATTAATCCAAAATCCGTAAATGGATCTCCAGTGTATTGTATTGGTAAATTATTTAATAATGAATTGGCAAATAAATTAATTGTAGGATGAATATGTTTTGACAGGAGACTAAGTGACCAAAGTAAACATCCAGTAGCCTGTGCAAATTTTGGATCTCGTACAGTTGGATTATAACCATAATTAAATATGTTTCGGGTGTTCCGTTGCTTTTTTAAAGAACGATGATACCATGATGATGTTAATAATACATTACTCTTATCAGTTATAACTGTAGATTTTTCTGATTCGGTCGTTTTATTGGTCATTACACCATTCTGTACACTTTCATCATTATGATTATCATCATCAGAACAATGTGCATCACTGAAATGCTCATCCTCATCATCATCATCGGACTGTTCGAATTTTGCCAAACTCGTCACTTCATTAACTGGCTAATTATTGAATGATAGATAACAATAATAATAATAATAATGAGCTACGGAAATATTACAAAAAAAGGTTAATTATGCAGGATAGGAAAATATGTTAACAATAGTCAGTTGAAGATGAAAAAATAACACATTCAGAATTTGTGGAGATTGCATTATTATCACAATTGAAATCACGAGTCAATCTAAGCTAGACCACCGTTGCTAGGAAAGAAGGACCATCAAGTATACAGAAAATTAGCAAACAGTTAGTGGCAACTAATCAGAAAAGAGCAGAGGTCATCCAGAAATTTAAAGACAAAAAGTATTCGCGGTTACCATTTCTAGTAAGTCAGTCAGTCAGTTAGCCATAGGCAACGTAGAACGTGACCTCCCAGTAAGACTTTAACATTAACAAATATTCAATAATTCCGTAATCTCCTTAGAACAGTTGGTCATTACTAGCATAGAGCCTGATACAGATGTGCATTGGCACAAGTTGCCACACCACATTAGCAGAAAGATGTGAAATATATTATGATTAGTAAAAAAGATCGGAATATTTGGTAACAATCATATTGTGAAAGATTAAGCATTGAGACTATGTTTTAAAAAGGCAAAGTGACAAGGTATGTGAAGGAATACTGAAACTCGAGAACCAGAGGAAGGTAAAGAGTTCATGCATCTGTGCCACTGTGAACCAGTGTAAGTTATGTTACTCACAGTTTCCAACTACTGGTGCAAGAGTGGGCTGGGAGAAAGTTAGAGGTGGCTAAACCAAGACATGACACCATTCCATGTAACCATTGACATTTGGACTTGTTTATGTTAATGGGTACAGACTACCTGATTGGGGTCCGCGTAATCATCGTAACCAATGGTTAGAGGTTTTGAGTGAAATAGCTCAAAATTGCCTGGAATGGCGTAAGTGGATCCATTCTTTGTATTCCCCCATATTTTGAGGTTCTAAATTTCTCATAACTTATTTAGTATTTGTATTTCACTAAACCATATTTTCTCTCCGGTGCCTAATCTTTCCTATTACCACTAATACTGTTACTACCTCTACTATTCTGGGATTCGGTCTGACAACTTCATTGTTCTGTGCTAACAGGGTATAGCAACTTGAACCAATATATACATACGTACCAATTTTCAATTTGTAACTGACTGTTAATGACTGAATGAATACGGTTCCATTTATTTTTGTTTAAAACGATAAACGAATATTTACATGACTTACCCGATACAACTTCGTGTACTCAGCTATGAGCGTTAATAATTCTACACGGCTCCTCAAATCAAAGTAGATGGAGTGGGATTCAAACTAATAAACTCCAGGTTCGAGTCCTGAGAGAGGGTCAACAATAAGAATGCATAGCTAACCAAACTAGAAGGCTAATTGATACTTGAACCTGGAGCTCAGAAATCAAAAGTTCAATTCTTTATACTAGTACTTCATTCTTTTACTGACAACGAATAATGTAGTTACATTTAGAGATAAATATCATTTTTAGATTTATGAAGATTAATAAGAATATTATCATGATTATTATTGTTAAATTGAAATCAGTCAGTCAGTCAGTCAGTCAGTCAGTAACAACGTAGAACTTCGTACGTACGTACATCAGTTCGAGTTGCCACACCACATTAGCACAGAGATGCAGTTGTCAATTCAAATCCCATAGTGGTAGAGGTAATAAGAGTATAAGCAGTAATCGGGAAGATTAGGGTTTGGAGATGTTATTTAAAGAGTATAATCCAGTGAAATAAATTTGGAAAGAGGAAATCACTCACTAAATGTTCTTTATTTATTTGAGAAACCATTATAACATTGGGTTTGGATAATGAGACCTGTATACAAAAATGAATAGAACAGGAAATAATACAAAGACAAGATAAGATGATAGATTAAGCAAACAGTTGATTGTGAAAATGGAAGTATTATTGTCGTGTGGGTCACTTATATCTATATAAATAGTATATAACGGTGGTCAGGCATAGAATGTATTTCAGTACAAGATCGATAAGGAAAGAATAGAAATGGTATGCAATTGGTATGAAAATGCATAAACAATGAAATCTGAGACAATGGACTGATATTTGTAAAAGGAACAATGAAGTTTGAAACGATGGATTGATATTTTGCAAATTAACTATTTACTATATGGTTCTCGGATTTTATTGAGATGCTCTGTAATTTCGTGTCAATTACATTCGATTGTCCTCACTGATGTTCGTGTTCACTACATTATAACTGTCATTGTTATTAGTACTGTGATATGGGTTACTTATATCGATATAAGTAGCATATAATGCCAGTCAGGAATAGAATGCCTGGCAGTAGGAGATTGAGTAGATAAAGAAGAGAAGAACAGGAACAGAAAGTAATTAGTATAGAAATGCAGGAACAATGAAGTCTGATACAATTAATGGGCATTTTGCAAATGAAGTATTAGAGCATGGCTTTTCTATTTTACCAAGTAACTGTAAATGTGTGCTAAATATAATCGGTTGTCATCACCTGTGTTTGCCCTTTACTACAGTACTGCCAATGGAATTGTCGATTATTATTCAATCATGCTATACATGAACGTGATTCGTCTAACTTAAAATGAATAACTGAGTGAACTATACTTATTTTGCTGAATACTTAAAGGATTTCATAACTATTATTACCTACCTAGCATGTAGAAAAGTCTGTCACTAAAAAATCCGACGAAATCTAAATGTTTACAGTCTTCTCTTATAGTTTATGAAATTTCCAAGTTTCATAATAGCATTGTCAATAGAAAATACTGTCTATATTACTGTCTTTCAGGATCTGCTATAAGATCATTGAATATGTTATGAATAATTCCATATGACTTAAATATTATTTAATAAATTGGCAAACTGGTGGGTGGGGACAACGATTTGTCTATCCTCGGGTTTAAACAGTGTTTTCCAAAGCTACAATAGTATCTGTTATCTAGTGTCATTAAAAAAATTTGATTTCACTGATAGTTAACGTACAACAATAATTATTTTCAATTTTTATGCATTCCCTGAACATTTATTTAAATGCAACAGCTCTCATATTTATGTGCACTCAGTCCCCATCTTGAATATCGATACCCATTACTGATCTCAGACACAGTTATGACTTTTATTCATACCATCGTCATCATCGTATGTTGTAGTTAATCCATATGAAATTATTATAGGAAGCCTGTTAAGTTTGTTTACGTTCTCTGTCCTTGCTACCTTACCGTCGACTTTATCGTGTATTGTCTTATACTACTTTTCATTATTCAGTAAGCGGTTTCACTCTTAACAATTTCTATGAGTATGTTGTTAATTTTGTGTAATTTTCTAAAATATTTACAGATACTTATAACACTTTTTGTATTTACGACTAGAATCACTTTTTCCCAATCCCTCTAAGTTATTCTCAGTCTCGTATAGTCGCTGAATCTTCATTTAAACACACCGGTTTCTATATTGATTTGCTTTTGATTCCCTTTTTACTTGTTGATAAACTGTTATCAAGATTAGACACAGTTATAAGCTGTTATTTGCACTACCATATGTCATAATTATTCTCTATATTACTGTTGCAGGAAGCCCTTATTCTTTCAGAAGCTTTAGGCGCCACAGATATATCACAAGTTGAGGTTTGTAACTACTTTACGTCTATTCCTCAATATAGAATCATTTTTTAGACAAATCGTTGTTCTATAAACTTCGGTTTGTGTTGGTTAAACGCTTCGGTAGATTTAACGAGGCCTTTTTGATACATACAGACATCTTAATTATCACAGATACTTCAGGAGTTTGGGTTAGTAAGTAATGTATATATTTTTTGTAATCATAGAACCTATTTTTGGATAAGTCGTTGTTTTGAACCTCGAATTCACGCGTATCTCAGTCGTGGGATTGAAATCTTCAGTAAACTTGACAGACACATAAATGAATAATAATTAACCATACCTTATTAATTAAAATCAAGCAACCAACAATAAAACCAGGATCTGTATGCGAAATACATAATTGCAAGATTCTGTGAATAAATGCAACAATTCGATCAGTATCATCATCACCAACCATACTTTGATAGATTAAACGTAGTAGAATTGGATTTTTAGAACTTTGATGAATAGCAGGATCCAGTAATTTTCTATATAAAGCCTAAGAAAATATAGAATAAGAATGTAGAATATCCAACTACGATGCGTATCGTTAAGATACTAGTAACAACAAATAAACAACGCAATTTCGGAAATAGTGGTAATATATAGAGGCCAAAGATCGAATTTAATAATCAGGTACTAATTTCTTTAGCGAGTTAAGTTACTGTTGAGTTGTTATTGACATTTTAAAGTTGACAAGTAACAAAATAAGTAACCAATGAATAGTGGAAGTTAGATTTAAAAACATTAATCATAAAACTAAGCTGCTCGTTTCATCGGATGATGTATTTAAATAAATACTACAGACAGAAAATTAAAAAAATTTATCAACGACTGACCTGATAATAACGATCACGTATGGCGACACAATGAGTCGAAATTTGAAAAAGTACAGACAAAGCTTGGACAGACACAGTGAAGCCAGTGGTATGAACAAGCCGAAACAGATCATCAACCTCACTTAACATAGATGTAAATGCCTCCTCTAAAAATATAATCATTCAATAATAGTTAGAAATGAGAAAATGGATGTAAAAATAACCGCCAGATAAGGAGCAAATATGTTATAGTACGAGTCGAAAATTTTGTTATCATATTTGTACTTATTTGTAACTATTCATCCTCTATTTCTTTAGTGTTAACAACATTCAATAGTTTAACACTTGTTCACTTACTTAAATTCGAGTCATACTTTTGTATATACACTAAGCATCCTACCTGACTACTCAAATCAGAATAACCGAAATGAATTTCAGGCTCGAAAATTGATTTTTTTTTTAGACTATCGAGTCACCATCACACAAGAAACAATAATGAAATCTTATCAATGAATCCGAAAATTGACAATAGAATTCGCAATATATCCTGTCATTAAAATAAGCTGGAAATTTTTTATTCTTTATCCCCGACTATCAAGTCTAACACATAGTATATAACTACTGGAAGTATTAATGAATAATACAAAACCTTACTTTGTACTTGTTTTGGTATAATATACTGAAGAGTTCTGCATTTTGTATTCTAATTAAACGGAATAAACAAAAAGTGGTGATTTTATAGTTTTTTTATAACTTAATACGCACCAACCCACCAGAGCTAACAGAACTAATGTAACTGAAACACTAGACACTCTTAACCACTATATCACCTCTACTCATTTGGACAGAGACTTATATGAGACTTGGAACAAACTTTTGCAAATGAATGGGAAATAATCCATTCTAAACATTCTTGCATACGTAATAATATCCACTAAACGGATTATCTCCCTACTTCACACAGATCCATGCTTCAGGGTGTGTGGGATGGTGATATTAACTGCCTATGAAGACCCAAACTGGTAGAACCCATTTCAAACCTGCGGCTAATAGTTGAGAACCGACTGCTTTCGTCGTAAAACAACTATTATAATAGTCTGTCTTAGGGTATGATATTGACTATTTGACCAACCAATTCTCGGTTATTAAAATCAATGACTAGAATGTTGATCAATAACTGACATGCAATAAAACGACGTGGTCCAGTGATGGATAATCACGAGGTATATTTGAAGTATTAAGTCTGTGATAGATCCATTAAGTGAGTGCGGTTGTGTAGTTTTACATCAGACTGGATTATTTAATAGATTATTGGACATGAACCTACTGGTATCTAGAAATATTTATCAGAAATTTTGTAATACGAAAAGTTTAAACTAACGATGAATACAGCTAAACTCAGTTATCACGTTACACTTTCGTCAAACAAAATATGTGCCCCTTGAGAACCATCTGAAAACTATGGTTACGAATAGTGAAACATCGACTCCTGGTTGAACAAAATGCAACGACATTAACTGAAAGTCGGAGGTTAAGTGGTTAAAGGACATCGTTCCTAGTCACCGAGTTCTAAGTTGGGACCGCACAACATCTATTTTAAATTATTCACCAGCGTGTTATTAAGCACAAAAACTAAAATATGGCTCGAAGCAATGCACGTAAATACAGCTTCGGTTTGGGCGCCCGGACAGTATTCCAGCCCTCACACAAATCGAATCATTTCTGTGGAGCACATATATTTGGTGCCTCCTTGTACCGACGTTTATGTGTTTAAATAAACAAATAAAGTGAAAAATAATTACGATATCCATAAGAATAACATTTACCAGAAATAAAAGGAGCTACTCGACATAAACCGCTAAGTAATATAGTGGTAAGTCGTTCGGGGATTTCTTTGGAATTGGCTAAGGAACGGAAAAACGACATGTATATCTTGATCAATGTTGATGCCACAGACGATATATTTGCATCGGTACCGCTTCCACGGGATGAACTCTTCAGCTCCAAACAACTTAGAAGTGAAATAGCGTAGTATTTTGATCTTTCCAACAAATTAGGACGGAACAAGAAAGATCGAACTTCTTGAACAACTAAATGCAGAAAATCACTGGAAATTCCAGCTAAGACTAAGTGATTATGAGCACGGACTTACCAATTAGACGTAACTTATGTATCACTGCAGATGCAAACTCCTTACTACGATCACCGAGTTTATTAATTATTATGTTTAATATTAACTACAGAAATGTAAAAAGACAGTCACTTACCGTTTGATTCTCTTGTTTTTGAACAAGGCTACCAAGAATCCCTAATGACAACGTTATGAACCTCTTAAAAAGTAACTACCTAACGCTTTTCGTTTGAAATTATCTACACAGTCACTTAACAAAAGTTTCTACAAACTCTAAAGCTCGAAAATAGCTAACCTCCGAAGCTTTGATAAACCGTAAATACACCGCCTTCAGTTCATCCTCAAAATGCCACAAGCAAAGGACATTTTCCTTCGAAGAGGGAGTATCTAGTTTTTCTAGCACGTGTGAAGGTCGGTTTGCGACAGAAATCAAAGAACGATTTTTCGGTATCAAGCTACAAAAAAGGTGGCTTAGTATATCTGCATACTAATCAAGGAATAATGAGACAACTTACCCAGAGATTTGAAGCAATCTCGCTTTTTCGATGGCGAGACAAACGATAGTAAATTATCAAGAAATCGAATGGTGTACAGTGGATAAGAGTTCACTAAGTAGGCCATCGCACACATGTAGTCTTGCCCAGATTTTGATTTTAGTGCCATAGATAACCATTCTCGTGTAGTACGATTCAGTGAACCTAATTCATTTGGAAGTCCATTCTTCCATAGCTTCAAACCATAATTCCGCTCAAAAGCAGAACTACATTCGCCACGCAGCTTAAGTAAGTCTTCTGTTGATAAATATGGCCCCGAACACTCGGTCAACTACGAATTATAAAAAAGGAACAACCTACTTTGTTAGTAAACCAACTAGACATGGATAATTTAAATACACTCAAGGTCAAAAGCGATAACAGCCTACAAAAATAAATGGTTTTAAAAAATGCTTGAGATAGTAGAAGATAATTTCGCCAAACGGACATTCATATCTAGTGAAATTGGAACACCGATACCATCGGGTTGGAACCTGGGCATATTTAATGATAAATGAGAAAAACATCAATAAATTATAACGAAATACTGTCCTTAGTCCGTAAGAATATGTCGAGTTCTCTCTTATAGAACTCATTGGAAGCCGTTTGCACTAGCTCAGAAGGCAGAGAATTCCAGCATCTGATTAATCCCAGCGAGAAGAAGGTGTGCCTACGTTCGTTCTGCTATATTGTGTCTCCAGTTTCTTGGTGTTACCCCTGAGGTTTGTGTTGGGGCTGAGCCTAAGTAGGCATTCAAGGGGATGTTCAGAATTGTTTATGATGCTGTAAGTCATTGTGAGATTGTAGTGACTCACATTTATCACGAGAACACGACTGGTTTAATAAAAACAATTATTATTATAACCAACTGTACCAGTGTTTGTTTTAATGTGCTTTTGTTTGACTGTGCTAATAACAGCTATATTGTGCTTCCATTCTTATTCACACACTTTGATTGTTACGTTCTGTAACCAAGCTTGTATTCTGGCACGATACTGGTATCCTTTCGATACCACGAGATCGCCAGCAAATATATCTCGACTTGGTCCATTAACTGCCTTCTGATATTTGGCTTCTAGGGGATTTTATGGATTTATTTGGTTACGTCCAACATTCGCCTTCTGATATATTTGGCATGCGATCCTTTGTAGCGGTGTTCATAGTCAATCCCGACTCAACGCCACGCTACAAGATCACCTCTAAGACGCACACACTCTGATGAGTAAAGATTCGGCGAATTGAGGCGCTCTTCATAAGGCTTGAATTCGAGTCTCCGAACTGATTTCGTGACTCGAGGTTCTAATGTATACTGATGATGTCACAGGTATTCAGTGTTTGACAACGCTTATACCAGTAACACCTTCTAATATATTTCGTTCCCACCCAGAGAAATCAAAAGACAGAGTCGAGGAGATCGGAAGAGTATATTTGGCGATGACCAATATATCGGAATTCTCTGATCTAATCTGGCTATCGTCTGCGGTTGATGTTGAGCACGGCGTTGCTACACGTGATCTGGTGCGGATGCCTGACCGAGCGCCTTCAGCTAGATGAGTCCACTAAAACATATGGTCAGCATCCAATGTCGAAAACTTAGTGCTATTTATTTTGGGGATTTATTTACCGCTACAGATCACTCCCCCCCTAATGAGGCAGTGACGACCCTAAGACGTGGCCAGCCAGAAGTTTAAACCCAACGAGTTTGTCGTTGGTAAACACTCTTCTGATAGCTTACTAAATTTAGCAGCGTCTGGTCGTCTTTCCTTACTATATGGGACCGAGGTACAACATAGTAAAAAAAGAAAAAATTACAACGAAAATTTTCGATTCCTCGTAAACTGCATCGTTCTTTTCCAACCGTCCTGGAAAAGAAAAAATAAAGTGTAAGTGCATGTCGAAATACACTCGTATGTGCGTAAAAACACAATGTCGGCGAAAAAATGGAAAATATACTCAAGCAAACATAATAGCGTTAAAAATGTTTTTTATGTTTTGTTTTTTTTTAAGTAAAAAAATATAAATATATAAGCATATTAAAATTTTTTTTAAAATTATATATCGTTAAAAAGAAAGATCGAGATAATATAAAATGTCGAGTAGTGCCTTACGTGGAGTAGTCGTTTAAACGTTCTGGAAATCTTACTCTTCTTCCAGAACGCGTCGTTTTAGGTTTATTTTCTGATACATTCGGAGTATCATCGCTAGTGTTGGTTGTCAGATGAGTTGTTATAAGTGTCGGAGCCGTGTCGTTCGATTGTAACGAAGGAAAATTGACGTAGATAGGATTTCCTTCTAAATACGCTGCTTTGAGGCGATCGACGCTGATGCTATCGTTGTTTCCGTTATTATCGATTATATAGTACTTCGGTTCGCGTTGAAGAACTTTGAAAGGTCCTTCGTATGCTGATTCGAAGGGTCGTCGATACGAGTCTCGACGAACGAAAACGTGTGTACTATATCGTAAGTCAGGTTGAACGAAAACATCAGTTGATTGAGGTCGAGTGGAAGCAGGTTTAACTGAACGCATTGCGTTTGTAAGCCTGTTCGTGTAGGAGGTTAGATCCATGTTCATTGAAAAGGATGAAGGATCCACGAATTCTCCTGGAAGTCGAAGCGTCGTTCCATAAACGGATTGAGCTGCAGTGTATCCAATGTCAGCTTTCACTGCATTGCGAATACCTAGTGAGACGAGTGGAAGAGCGTCAGTCCACTGTGAAACGTTTGCAGCTGATAGTGAAGCTTTTAGTTGTCGGTGAAAGCGTTCTACCAACCCGTTTGCTTGAGAGTGGTGGGCGGTCGTTCGGAAGCGAGTGATTCCTAAAAGTGTGGTCAGACGACGGAAAAGTTCAGATTCAAACTGACGTCCGCGGTCTGTGGTGATGGTTGAAGGGCGACCGAAGTTTGCTACCCATCGTTCGACGAAGGTGCGGGCCACTGTTTCAGCAGTGATGTCCTTGATAGGTACTGCTTCTGGCCATCGAGTGAAACGGTCTACGCAGGTTAAGAGATAAGAGTATCCATTTGAATCTGGTAGAGCTACTACCAAATCCAGATGAACATGGTCGAAACGAGCGTCTGGAGTTTGGAAAGAGTCTGAGGGACATTTGTTTTATCTAATAACCTTAAATTGTTAGCAGCTTACACAGTAGCGTGCCCATTCCCTCGTATCTTTATTCATACTAGGCCAGCGAAACCGTTCTGCTATAAGCTTGATGGTTGCACGAACACCTGGATGAGAAAGTTTGTGCAATGTATTGAAGACATTGCGTCGATAATGTTTCGGCACGATTGGGCGATCCCTACCTGTAGATGTGTCACAAAGTAAGGTTTCCTTACCTGTTCCCATCTGTTTGATGCGTAGTTTAAGTGTTGTGGACGATAACTCGTGCTGAAGATCACTGTCTTCTTTTTGAAGCTCGGCGAGTTTAAGAAGGTCGATTCCTTGGAAACTGTTCAAGGAAGTTATGCGAGATAAAGCGTCTGCAACTACATTGTTTGCTCCAGAAATGTGTTGAATATCTGAAGTAAACTGCGAAATGTAGTCCAGTTGTCGAGACTCACGGGGAGAGTACTTGTCTGAAGGAGAGCTTAACGAGAAAGTGAGCGGTTTATGGTCCGTGAAAAGAGTGAATTCATGACCTTCGATATAGTGTTGGAAATGCCATACAGCACAATGCATAGCTAGGAGTTCCCTACCGAATGTGCTGTACCTAGATTCGGTGTCTAGCAACCTTCTAGAGAAAAATGCCAAGGGTTGCCAGGAGTTGTTAACCCATTGTTGTAAGACTCCTCCGATTGCCGAGTCGGATGCGTCTACTGCGATACTAATGGGTGCTTCGGTGCCCTGATGTGAGAGCATTGTTGCTTTAGCAATCAGTTCCTTAACTGTGGAGAATGCTTTTCGTGCGGTGTCGTCCAAATTGATGGATTTCGCATTTCCACGAAGTTGGTCGGTCAGAGGTTTCATAAGTAATGCGCATTTCGGTATGAAACGTCTATAGAAACTTACGAGGCTGTTAAATGTGCGTAATTGCTTGACGGTGGTCGGTTCTGGGTAATCCAGAATGGCCGCCACATTGGTTCTAAGGGGTCGATACCTTGAGCATCGATAGTGTGTCCCAGAAAGTCTAATGAGTCGGTTCCAATTTTGCATTTCTGAACGTTTACAGTAATGCCATGTTTTTGTAATCGTTCGAAAACAAGGTCCAGATGCTTGAGATGTGTTTCTCTGTCCGGACTTGCGATTAGACAGTCGTCAACATACGCATGTACGAAGTTGAGACCTCGAAAAACGTCGTCTATGAATCTTTGGAATGTTTGAGCAGCATTTCGTAGACCGAAAGGCATTCGCAAAAATTCATAGAGTCCGAAGGGAGTTATGATAGCTGTTTTCGGTATATCGTCAGTAGCCATAGGGATTTGGTTATACGCTTTAACCAAGTCGATTTTCGAAAAAACAGTTGTACCTTTCAAGGTAGCTGTCAAGTCGTGAATGTGAGGCAACAGGTAACGATCGGGAATGGTTTTTGCGTTCAATCGCCGATGGTCACTAGTTGGACGCCAATCGTTGCTGTCCTTTTTAGGGACCATGTGCAACGGAGATGCATATGGGCTACTTGATGGTCGTATGATTCCTAAGTCTATCATATGGTCGAATTCGTTTTTCGCTAACCTTAGCTTTTCAGGAGCTAGTCATCGTGCTTTAGAAAATACAGGTGGTCCTGTAGTCGTGATGTGATGTGTAACATTACTGGTTACACACGGCTATTTTGGTTGCGGTTGGCATATCCCAGAATGCTTATCGAGTAGTGGTTGATAGGAGGGGTCTATCGTGTGCTTAGTTGTGACTGGGGATAATCTGCGACCGAAAAAAGAAGTTACGCAAACAGATAAATTAGTGTTTCCGTCTACTAGCTTCCGTTTGAGCGTATCGATGGTTAAATCGTGGTGCTGTAGTAGGTCCATACCAGTGATTGGTATGGAAACATCTGCAACAACGAAGATCCAGTGGATGGGTTTGCGTAGACCCATGTTAAGGTAAACATACCTTTTACTGTATGTGACGATAGGCTTTCCGTTTGCCGCCTGTAAGTTTAAAACTGATTCACGAAGCCGGTCGTTGGAATTTGCCGGAAAAACGCCAACTTCTGCGCCAGTATCGACGAGGTATCAAACTCTCGTTAGCATATCCGTGAAGTAGAACAGAAGGCTATGTTCTCTGGTTACAGTTGCCGTTCACGCGTGCCGGCTTGGAAGTTTCCTGATTTGTTTTTCGTGTCGGTCGATTTTGAGCTAGGAAAATTTGCAGGGTTTTCTGAATTTTTGGAGGACTTTCCATACTGGTTATGACACCAGCGCCAGCCGGAGTTTTCAGTTCCTCGTGGTCTATAGACAGATCGTCCACGTGAAGTGCTTCTTCGCAGGGTGTGTGTGACCGTTTATGGTCATGACATAACTAAGTTATGTCAATCTGGGTCGTTTGAGGCTTTTCTTTGACTGAAAAAACCTCAGCATTAGTTTTCGTGATTTTAAAGATGCGGTCGGCAGATGCAGCTAGCTCGTCTAAGGCGTTGTTTTGAAACGACACCGGCACAGCTTGGACCTGTTGAGGAAGTTTGAATAAGAAAAGTTGTTTTAATACGCCATCATCGAAGGTTTTTTGGCCGACAACCTCTCTCATTCTTTGCAACATGCCTGTCACAGAACTGTACTGCATGTCGGTGTTATTAAGGAGTTGGTCTAACCTTTGTCGATCAGTCAGGTCTCCACGTTTAAGGATAGCTCGGTTAAGTGTTTCGTAGGATTCAGGAACATCACTAGCAAATATACTAGGTGTTACGTACCTGTTGAATTCGCGCGGTAGTGCCTTGACTACTGCGAGGATTTGTGCACGTGTGTCGTCCACGCCGTACTCGTAGAAGTCGGCCTCTGCGTAGCAGAACCAGGCTTCAATGTTGTCTGGCCAGAAGGGCATCAGTTGGAACGAAGGTTGAATCATAGGCTATAGCTTAAGTACCTTGTGTGTCTGTTCAGTCATGGTGAAATATCAAGTACAGGAATGAACGAGTGAAATGTATATATATCCAAAAACACGGAGAAAAATATCGCAGTGTATAAAAAATTAAAATAAGGCAATGATATATAGAATCCCAAAAAGGAACAGACTCACAGTTTGCAATTTGGCGTACCACATAACGTCGGGCTGACCAGTAAAGACGCCACAGTTATTCGGAGTTTGACAACGCCTTAACCAGTAACACCTAATATGAATTGTACCCACCAAGTGAAATCAAAAGACAGAAGCGAGGAGGTTCGAAGATATAGGCCATCAATATATCGAGGATAGTCTGATCTAATCTGGCTAGCGATTGTAAGGGTTGTTGAGCACGGCGTTCCCACTCGTGGTCTGGTGCGGATACATGACCGGACGCCCTCAGCTAGGTGAGTCCACTAAAACTAATGTGGTCAGCATCCAATGTCGAAAACTTACAGAGCTATTTATTTTGAGGATTTATTTACCGCTACAATCTTGTTTATTAGATAACCAATCAACAGTTTTTATGATGGGTGATTTTGGCATTCTATCGAGTGTACTCGTCCACCCAACTATCATCGTGCGTTTGCTTGTTTCATGGTCATCTGGTTTGACGATAATTCTGTGCCTGTATTGTCCTATCCCTGCACATAAATTCACTCTTATTGAGTTGTGTTTTTGGTATTATATGAAATTTTCAGACCTGCAGAATGACCTGGGTAACTCTTAGACACCTTCCATCAGAATTACCATACTCCATCAAAAGATTCTGGCTACTTATGGTAATAAGGATTAGTCAATTATGTATGCTAAAAGTATAGTATTCCTTCTCTCATTCCAAAATGATAAGTATACATTGGAACCTCGAGTCACGAAATCAGTTCGGAGACTCGAATTCAAGCCTTATGAAGAGCACTTTAATTCACCGAATCTTTACTCATCAGAGTGTGTGCGTCTTAGAGGTGATCTCACAATGACTTACAGCATCATAAACAATTCTGAACATCCCCTTGAATGCCTACTTAGGCTCAGCCCCAACACAAACCTCAGGGGTAACACCAAGAAACTGGAGACACAATATAGCAGAACGAACGTAGGCACACCTTCTTCTCGCTGGGATTAATCAGATGCTGGAATTCTCTGCCTTCTGAGCTAGTGCAAACGGCTTCCAATGAGTTCTATAAGAGAGAACTCGACATATTCTTACGGACTAAGGACAGTATTTCGTTATAATTTATTGATGTTTTTCTCATTTATCATTAAATATGCCCAGGTTCCAACCCGATGGTATCGGTGATTCACTGTTACCAGATACGGGAGCCTGTTAAGCGAGAGCTCCATTTATTCTTTCCACAACCCCTTGAACCGTTTTATTGTTTACTCTCTGGGATTGTCGATGTCTTAAAATCACCAACGGGTTCAATAATCTTAACATAAGTCATACATTTTAAAATAGCTTCTTATCTGTTAACTAACACTGAATATATTTACACTTATTTTTATTTCAACGTCCCTATCTGATTAAATCGTTATCTTTTTGATATATGTACAGTACTCGTCAAGCCGAACCTCAGTTCTTTGTTTAATCTAGTTAACACGGTACATCAAGGAGACACGTAAATAAATAGACGTTTCAACTTGTAAGATGGTAAGGCACCATTCATGTTTAGTATAACATTGTCTAGCCAACCTCATCCTCTGCGTCATCAAAGTCTGCCACTGCATCACCGAGGGGATCAGCCGGAGGTGCTCGACAGAGAAAGGTTAGTTCATTAATTATGAGATGCTATGGTATTAAGTACACATTTATTATACTTCGTTGTGCTCTCATAACACAACTCAAATATATTAGGTGCCTGTAAATTCATACCTCAATGCATATAAAACGGTATCTTGATTTAATACTTCTGAAATACATGATCTCTTTCAACAAAAAGCCGAAATCTTCGATATCTCCTAGAAGAATTTTGTTAGTTCTATTTAAAACCAGCTTGTTTTGTATTACTTTCAACTTTATTTTCAAACTCTTGGGTGTGACTCATGGACAAAATACCAATATACCAAAACACACATTGTATTCAATCGACTCGGGAAGCACATTTTTCAAGTGAAAAGCTAAATCCAGTTTACTCCTATAAAGCATAACTTACATAAGTACAGCTAAATGTAATACAGATAAGATTGAAGCCGTGTAATATGTGTACACAAGTTCATTTGCGAATGTAAAATAGGAGGAATTCACAAACCTTTCACATATAAATTGGACATGACCCTTCAATGATAAATTTCTAGACGAGATATTTCACTCCTGTTAGTCGCAAAAATGCCTTACGTGGCTCTTCAATTGTTGCTTTCAGTGGTTTCCTGTTGAATATGGTTGTAAATATTTAAGTTTTCCGGTCATTCAACCCTTATTAATTCTTAAATACCATTCTACCGACTATACGTAAAAATCCAGACGCTATTTTGACCCAAACTCAAAGTTTATATCCAAAAACATTATGCACCATGGATGGTTGTTTTCCCTTTTCAAACATGCATGAGAATCTTATTTCGGTCATTTCTGTTATCTCAGATTAATAAAGGAGTATACGGTTCTGATTATTACCTAGTCAGCTTTTGCAGACGTCAAATCAAATAATCTGGTCAATATTCGCTTGTAAACTTTTCAATCAGACGACTCAATAGAGACATTCCCCATGTTTCTATGATTACATAAAGTGCATAAAGCATTGAAACAAAGTAAATAAACCACAATTAATGATGATTGCGTTCTCGTTGTTACATTTATTGGAAACTAACAATTGTGGGATTTCTTGGTATGGGTTTTCTCTCTTAGTAAGATCATAATACTGCGGTTTTGCATAGAGTACTTAGTAAATTGACTGTTAGGTTTAAAAACCATTGACACAAATAGTTTGACATTTTGTTTAGTATATCTAACTACCGTTTACTTTAACCCACGATGCTGGCTAACAAAGCAATAAGTTAGAGGAAGACTAGGGTTGAATAAACTAAGGCAGTCTACCAAGTTATTGACTGTTAGTCTGACCGTCGTCAGTAGGTGCATATGTTCTGGTTAAATGTTATCAGCTAGTCATATCCTATGGTCGGAATACAGCAGGTTCTTAACAGTTAAAATGAGATTTAATTCTACATGGATATTAGAAATATTTCTGCACTCTCCAATATTGGCGAGGCTTTAAAAATAATCAATGTATTCCTTCACTGTTCTCTTAATATCACCGGCTAAGAAAATTGACTATCAATTTATGACAGACCAGGGCGAAATGGAAGGTAATTTTTTGGAGTTAATATCTGTCAAATTACCTTAACTGTTTAGGTGATATAGAAATTGTCGAAGTCAGTGGTTTATGACATCAGTGATGGCTCGAATCAAGAGCTCGTACCGTTCTTGACACTCTTCTTTTGCATTTATTGATAGGTAGTAAGATGTAATCCTACCATTATAATTGGTATCTATCTACTATACAGAACTCGGTCTTTTTGGCTCAATTGGAGATCGTGGAAGCAGATTATTTTGTTATACTTCTTTAGATAAATTCATCTCGTCTGTTCGTGAAAACTAGTCTCTTCCACTGGTTATGTCAGTGCTTAGAACGCTGCATGACTTTTTGTAGGCTTCCGAAATCTTGATGAGTGCTTCTAACTGAACTCGGCATATTCTGTGATTTATCTTTCGTTTACGCTGCAATTATTTTTGATAACTAACTGTATATGGATTAGCATAATACCTATAATATGTGTCAAATACTTCACAATATCTGCTTTATATCCAACGCTTGTAATGTCGATAAGGGATTTTTACAAACTATCTGTGCTGAGAAACTTTAGTTGACTGTCTTGCTCTGCTTCTTTAACAGCCAATAATCTAGCTCTTTGTTACTGTTTATAAACACAGTTTATTATCTTGGAGGGAACTTTCCTGTTTAACTGACTTACTTCTTGTAACGTACATAAGCTTACATGTGTGCTTTCAGGACATACGCTGCATGTGTTACAGTCGCGTTTACATTTTGCTCGATTCGATGAATGTTTGAAATGTGTATTCTTATTGTTTTTATGATTCCTGATAACACAAATTTTTTACAATGAATCAGTTTAATTGAATTTACGTAGCCGTATATCAGATAGTGTTGCCTAAATATTGTGTCGAATCCGAATGCTGTTTTCTTTTACCATTAGCTTAGACACTTTATGTTGGTTTCTAATCACTAAAGCAACCATATCTCATAGACTGTGTAATTGTGTTGGTATTCATCATCAGTAGATATTAAAACATCTCTGTTTAATTTATTTCAGGGTCAACAATACAGACCATGTGATTCATTCAATAAGACTATCGTCTTGTATAAATCTGTGTTCATCGTTACGGACCGTTTTCCAAGCTCTAATATTACTGTTAAATAAGAACATTGATCATCAGTCAATCATAATCAACATATAGAGCTTTTCAACTAAACCATTTTATTTAGATAACCAAACCCATCCACCCAAGCTATAAAGCCTCTTCAGCATTTCATAGTCTAATTGTTTGGAGGAATTTAATGATTTGTAGAGGAAATGGGTACTGATATTGTACCACAAAAACGAGACAACTCATACACTTCTTGACCAAGTAATCTATCCTGAAGCATTTTTAATCGCCAAAATCGTTTTATTAATTAATTTGGTGAAACGATTGTACTTTGATGGAAGCTTTTGGTTTTCTGCCGTAATAACAGTGGATAAACCATAGCGCTCGTGTTTCTTTACGGTTGCATTTTATGCAGATACGTTTAATAGAATTGCAAGCGATAGGTCAACAATGGTTGGGAATAATTAACTGTGTTCCATAAAATATTTGTTTGTTTTGTAAAGAAGATCAAGACTGCCCTCGAAAAACTTGAATCTTGTTAGTTAACAGAAGTAGAACATATACCAGGTTACATTATCGTTTTCCAAAATGTATTCATTTCCAGAAATCTAATTGTAATGCGTACGATGTATTCTATTTTCAGGCACCGGCTTCTTCAGCTAGACGACCAGTTGCTCCAACTGCACAGAAAAACCCTGTTTTCCTATTTTATTCAGAAGATTCTCCCGGAATCAAAGTTGGACCCGTACCAGTACTAGTTATGAGTCTGTGTTTCATAGTTTCTGTATTTCTTTTGCACTTCTGGGGTAAATATACCCGCAGTGCTTGAAATATTTACTATATTACTTATTTTGTGATAATTTGGTGAATGAGGTGAGGACCTATTTAATAAAATCGGTTGAGTAACCATGTTATCAAGTACTGTTTTGAATAATTTCTTTAAAACAGCCTAGGTCTTCACGCATCTCCCAGTACGTTAATCAAAGTCCTTTTCTACCGAAAATGTCATACAATCTACTCTAGTTGTTTGGGTATCTTCTTTTTCATATTTATTTCCACTGGTTTTACCACCAGTTTACTTTTTATACTGGTACATAAGAAACAATAAACCGCTTTGTAACCCATAGTTTTATCCAAGTTGTTACATTAATAAATTCCGAACTAGTTAGATTTTGCCACTCACCGCTATTATGAAACATCAAAGCTTCTGACGACCCAAATACACTATGTAAATTCTGCGTAGCCGCAGATGTCTGAACTGCGACAGATTTAGTAAAATTTACGTGCGGTCATATTCTAAATGGCCGATTTGCCGAAAAATCAAAGGCTGTTACCTTCATTAGCGATTAAATACGGAGCACCTAACTGTAATATCTGGTTAAGCTTTGAGCTCCAAACGTTCCGTACAATACATCGTGACCTCCGTTCTTTGTGTTGCCGGTCGCTATTCTGCGACTATGGATGATGTACCTTACAGATCATTCCATCCCATATTACGACTTACCTATGGTTTATGTTTGCCCCTATTTTCAAATGTAGTCTAGTTACATTCTAATCTGACATTTCTTACTGGAAGGATTAGTATGCAGCTTAATCGTCTTCTTTTTCACTACAGGAGTTCAGCATTTGGTACTAGTTTTGAAAATAGTCAGCGTTACTGGTAAATAGCTTGTTTTTAGTGGATTAGTACTTACTGTATATCATTGTGTGGATGCTACTAAATCAGAATAGTTTAATATATGCACTGGGACAACCTTGACTAACACAAATTAGCACATGATGCGTTATGTTTATCTCACCTGAAGCTTGCTATAAGTGGTTCAATATATGATACACATGTCCATCAGAATGCCTCACATACCAAAATAGACATATCTCGGTACCCGACACCTTCTGAGTCTCATTTTACTTTTACTAGAACCCCGTCCACCACAACATATTAAATTAAATGCGTAGTAAGTGCTGAATTGGGATTGGTCTTAATTTGAATCACTTCGTATGCGGCCCTTAGAAGTTTATTTCCGCGTACTTACAAGTGTTTTTGACTTAACAAGAAATGCTGTTAGTTGAAATCGCTTCAATACTAAGTATGACTTATCGAATCTACGTATCCCAGAGTGGCTTTAGCAAACGAATACCACCACATTTACTCACATACACACAGGACTATAACGTGGTCCTCTAAATCCTTGGTTAGGGACTCGTGGTCAAACTGCATTACGATGCTAGTGCTAACTTGGTATGCTAAAGGGAAAAGGAGAGAAGAGAGACCAATGAAAACATGGTTTCGGGAACTAAAGACACATCAGAAATTAATAGCAGTTGAAAATAACTGGGAAGGACTGCTCAGTACACAGTTCTATGGAGATTCTTGATAGACGGCTTATGCTACTCGACGAGTGACAGGTGTAAGCAAGTAGTGACCGTAACCATTATTCTGCATATGCAAGGACTCACCTTAATATGACTTCTAATAGGAACTCTTGTGGTATATAATAGGAGTTTCACAATCGTATTCCCCATTTTCAATACAGACAATATAATCACGTCCTAGAATGACATTACACAACAGTCAGCTCCGAAATATGCACCTAGGTCGAGAGCTACAGAGATATCAAGAAATGGTTTATTTCTAATCCAATTAAAGATACTAAAGAAGGCTGAATATTGGTGTGCCATGATACTCATTATTTACGTGAGACATAGATGTTGAAGTGATTGACGTCTCATTTCAGCATACCAAGGTTCAACACACGCTACAGTTGCACGTGAGTAACCTAAGTGCATCTCCTAATTATTTTAGGAAGTTTCTTGCCATGGTAACTGACAGTTCTGTGGTGAATAAGTTGCTTATGTTGGTCAGAAATCTCTGCATTTTGTCAGCGTCTTCACCAAATAAAACTATGTCATCGGCATATTCTAAGTCAACAAGTGAATCTCCCAGCAGAAGTTCAACACCTGGAAATTTAGATGAGGAAACTGTTATCTCTAAAAGCACGTCAATGCCAAAGTTAGACAAGAATGGAGACAGTAAACACCCTCGACGAACACCACTCGAGGTAAGCAATTCTGACGACGGTCCGCCATAAGTTCCCACTCGGCCACTCCTGTTCGAGTAGAGATCCTGTATAAAGTCAATGTACTTCTTTCAGTGACAAACACTGCCATAGAACCTTACGATCAACTGAGTCAAATGCCTCCTTAAGGTCGAGAAAGTGATTACAACTATAATCTACAAACCTAAGTATTTACTTTGTACAAGTGTATAGAACGCATATAGGTCCACATAGCTGTTTTTTTATCTGGAAACTATTAGAAATCGCTCGCTATTTACGAGTTTACGAATCCAATGTCATCAATCTTTTATTATGATCAGATACATATAGCTGACCGAATAAACCCGCAAAGAATGCCTGGTGACAATTTCCAGAATATGTACCTACTATTGCGAAATATCGAGGATCTAAACATGAATCACTGAGTTGTGATCATACACAAATATACCCCCGTGCAGAAATCGTAAACTGGTGTATTGCATGTGTAGTATTTTATGAGAACTTGACTTTGAGAAGTGCTAGAGAAGCATAGTATGAATTAGGGTGGGGAACTCACAGTTTAGAGCGAGATCTATGCGACGTCACTAGACTTTACTGGAGCAACACCGAAGTCTTTGGGCTATTGTAGTATCGAAGAACCAAAAGGTCTCAATTGCCGGCTCTCGGTTCTTCCAATTTATACCAGTTATGCAGGATACTATTAGGTTTCCATTTAAGCAGGTTGCATTCACTACCGTTGGTAAAATCGCTACAGCGTCCTATCACGAAATGAAGCATAAGGGGCACAACAATGGGTCGGAATAAATCATTTGACAGGAATCCGACTAGCAACTTGGTTCTTGACGGGAAGTAAACTCCATCGAAGATACGGATGTCAAACCAATACATGGGTGCAATTCCAGAACTACGCGGTTTACCACACCAAGAGCGGGTTTAAAAGCTGGACCTCTTTACTCTGTGCTATCACAGACTAAGGGGAGATCTAATTCTGATATACAGAATACCGAGAAATGATTTTGGACCTAACATATTCTCCCACTGGATCGGGACATTGCAGTAAAGTAGAAAAACACCAGTGGCATACAGGTTTCCACACTGAGTCATCGATACTTGGAACCTGTTATCCGAAGCAGTGATGTCCTCAACTCCAATTGATTCATTCAAGAGAAGACTGGACACAGAATCATACTAGGATAGGAATAACATAGGCTTTCTGTCGTTACTACACAAATCCGCATCTGTACTTAGTATTGGGGTATATGCTTATATTTTACAAACTAACTGAATGTGTGCATATACACCTGTCTTCGGTAACAAGTTAGTGAACCTGTGTGGATCCTGACACACTGACTTCCAGTGAATGTCCAGCTTCCCCTCGAAAATAGTCAGTGATGGGTCTCATACCACCTGTCCGGGTAAGGTCTTCCAATCATTGATTACCCGATGAGAAAAACGGGGCCCCACTTTAAGTTTATTAGATCGCGGTCTATGAAACTTCTTGCTATGACCTCAAAGATTATTAGCGCTGGGGGGAACGAAAAGATCAGATTAACACCGAAATCACAATAAACAAGACGAAATGCCAGTGTAAGGCGACCTCTTGTCCTACGATAAGACAAGAGAAGGTTTAGGCGTTTTAAGCGTTCATCGTAAGGGAGTCTAGAGATACCCTTCACCAATTTTGTTTCCACACGCTGAACTGAGTTGGTATCTGTTATCAGTTCATGGGCTAGCTGTTTGGATACAGTACTCTTACATAGGTGGGATATAAAATTCGAAGCATATCATGAAAGCATTTGAATTCTCGGCGAAGTGACCATAACCCACGGAACACTTTCACAGCAGCTGCGCCGCAATGCATAGTTGTCCTCACGTTGTGACTGCTTATTACTCATAAGTCTTTATGTTCCTGAACTCATAGAAAAAATGTACTGTTACAGTATACTGGTAAGTTATCGTGTCCGATGTGCATGAGCACACTACTCCTACAATTAACTTCTAAACCCCAACCTCGAGCCCATCTGACTAATTCATCTAAGTCAGCTTGGAGATCGAAATGATCAGCCTCACTTCTTATTGTCCTACAGATTTCGACATCATACGCAAGCAATAATGTCGACGACTTAAGCAATAGCAGCAATTCATTAACGTAGACAAGGAAAAGTAGAGGGCCTAAGATGGTGCCTTGGGGTACACAACTTCTGACTGGCTTCCATTTGGATATCATCCTATAGACCCTCACTCTCTGTCTGTGGTCACATAAGAAGTTTCCTATCCATTCCTGTACAACACTTATTCCGAAGCTCGAGAGCTTCTGCATAAGACCTAAGTGTGAAACATTGTCAAGTGCTTTGCTAAAGTCTATGGGTGTCACGTTGAGACAGACTGTTATCTAGGGCTGCTGTTTAATCCTCTCTCGCAATAAGTTAGTCAAGCATGTACGCTTGTTATGAAACCCATGTTGCTCGGGAGTTAACAGATTGTGCGAATCTGTGACTTAGTAACTTAACTCGAATAACGAATATGCTGGTTAGACTGACAGGCCGGCAGTTAGTTACGATATGTCTCTGATCATCTTTAAACATAGGACTGATCACAGCGTCTTTCCAATCCGTGGGGAGTTGAGCGAGTGAGAGACATGTTGAGAGGAAGAGGATGATTTCCACTACCCTTCAGTTAAAAAAACAAGGAAAATATTTAACACACTTAATAATTGATTGCTTTTCCATAAATTGTTAATAAAACGAATTGGAATGAGAAGTAACCCTATTCTTAATGTACAGCACTATATAATACAATGAATCACACTCATTTTTATGAACTTGTATTCAAGCATTCTTGCAATAGGCACTTCGCCTGTTTGAATTCTTCTGTGTCTTTGAATTCTTCTTCACACTCCTACAGATAATTTGAAACCATTACTTTACATACTTACTTCAGTAGCACTTTCCAGTTCCTTAATAGCTTTGGCAAGTCTGAATTGGCAGTCTGGAATCATCATTTTGGATTCGTCTAAAATTGCTCTCTTTTTCGCAAGTTATTGTACACGAAATTCATACCGCCATTTTAATATCATGCTCTTCAGCTTGTGCGGCAACCTTATTGTTATAAATCTCCGTACATTTAACAACTTCTTCTTCGTACCTAGTCTTTTCCTTCAGAATCCTGAACAAGTAAAAGTACAACGTAACGCATTTACCGTTTGACTACATTAGTGTTGATATTTAATGTTCGAAGCCGCTTATCTGTCATAACCGTCCAGAACAGAAAAAATTCAAACTGGATCCGACCGTTCGCGCACTATTTAAAAGGACAGTGGAATTTTTCTTCTCTGAGTGAATTTCATTGTATTGATCGTTTATTATGTATCGAGACTACTGTTCATACTTTAATTGAATTTATTTCATTCAAATTATACGATAAAAATATCGTTTTTGTTTCTAATTTCGTTTATTATCGGTACTTATAAGTAGTTTGTTTTCTATTGCATTTGTTAGTACTTTAGGTCCTAACAGTTTACAGTTTTCCACCTTTTTGATCATAGATCACTTTCGTCTCTGGGTACTATTGTGTCTAGTTTTTTCGGAGAACCTCTGTTCAATGACTGGACAGTGGAAGAAAAGCAATTACCGACGTCCGAGCTGTTGATATCCCGTTGAAAGCGGCATGCAGTGTGATGAGTACAACGGCTGGTATCTCGAAGTTTGCACGAACTTGACGCCTGCGGCTATAAAACTGTTTAGTGTAAACGGTTGAATATGGCTTTGTCAGTAGTGCAGTTTGGGCTCAAACAACTTGCTAACCGAGGCCATCTCAATGATAAATGCCGCAAATAAGTGTTTTGGCAAGCGTGGTAGGGACACATCGGACAGCACTCACTCTACCGACACACAAATTGATTTGAAGCCACCTCAAGTGAGGTCGGAAATAGCTGACTCACATCGATCAACGGAGGAAAGGCTGTCTTCGAAGCGGTATTTCTTAATTAAGAACTCGAAAAAGGAAGTTTCCTGTCCCACATCCTCTAGACGGTACCCAGCACGAAAGCCATCGCAAGGCTCGATCGGTTTCTAGCGGTAAACACAACCTGATTTCAAATCGTTGATAACCCGCCCGAATCCCACAGTATGTTTGGCACGAACATGGTTGCTACTCCAACCATAGTTGACGAATGGGTACAGGTTGTAAGCAGGAAACAACATAATGGTATAAAATAAAATCCTATCCCCTCCCCACAAAAAAGTAGTCGAAAAACGGAAAGCTTATCAGTGTCAGGTCAGTTATTTTTCATAGAATCAAGGAGAGTGAAAGCTTTGAACCTAAAACTCCTTTTTGGCATAATTTTGGGTTGATAAAACAGATACTACATCAACTCATGCCTCAAAATATCTGCGGAGTCACCTTGCTAAAGGTGTACAAACTAGGTAGCCCAGAGAACTTGAAGCCTAGTCAATCCAGACTGCTTAAAGTAGTATTCAAATCTTCGAATAAACGGGACTTCATTTTACAGAATGGATATAAATTAAAGGGTTAAGGAGTTTTTTCCGTAAAGACTTGATACCAGTAGACCGTGTTAAAACGAAGGGAAGCCGAAAACAAACTACAACCTATGTTAGACGCTGGTGAGAATGATCTAAAAACAGTAGATTTTCGGGTTATGGTTCTTTGACAGAGAATGATGCCAACGCCACTCTGGGTGCATCACGAAGCCAGATAAATAGGCTTCGGATCTTTTGCACTAATGCCTGAAGCTTGCTCAATAATCGGTTGAAACTATGCGTACAGACTGACTCTACAAAGTCATATATAATCACAGTCACAGAAACTTGGCTGAGGCAGCCTATAGATAGTATGGAACTTCATTTTGAGGGTTTAAGAGCTGACAGAATCCAGAAGCGTAAAGGAGGGAGAGTAGCTCGGTTCATTTGGAATGCTATTTCATTTGCCATTATCGACAGTGTATCCTATGAGAGTGGGACATGTGAATTAGTTAGTTGCTGCTTGAAATGCAAGGGACAAGAGCTGCTGATTGATTTGGTCTATCGCAGTCCAAGCTGTGAGGTAAATGAGTTTCCCAATACTTGGTCAAAAAGTGGTCGATGTTTTATCCCAAGACACTTTAATGAACCCATGGTAGACTGGGAAAATCTGCGAACTGAAATGTCAGATAGTTTATGCGAGCACGATCTGGTCGATTTATTTGTCACATGTGTCCTAGTGCAACATGTATAAGAAGCGACTGGGTACTATCCGGATTCTCAATCATTCTTACTAGGTCTTATATTGACCCATTATGAGGATGACGTTACGTACCTCCATTACATGCCACTCCTAGGTAAAAGTGATCATACAGTTCTAAACTCTGACTTCCATATAATTGTCAAAAACGAGCACGCGTCAGCTCGATCCAGACCTAACGTCTGGAAAGCAAATATACAAGATATTATACACTCAGCATCGTCAGTAGACCGAAAAATAGCGCCAGCGTCCTCTATCGAAACGTTTTGGGACTTATTTCAAAATTTATACTTAGAAGTTACTGCAGCCCGCATCCCTTGTGCTAAACCAAGGGGACCGAGAAACTATGCACCGTGGTTCAGTGGGAAGGTTCTCCGTAAGAGAAGAAAAATACGGGATAGATTTAAGTCACTGGGGACTGATGAGACAAAATCTCATTATCGAAACGCTCGAATACCTGTGCCTTAACACTATGTAGTGGTGCATAAACCAAAGGATTAAGAGAAGACAAGATATTCCATAAACACTAATAGTGTTTCATTAGTAGAGGTATATTATGGTACAGCTCTGGTATTCTCAAGGTTCTTTAACAATGCGTATTTCTTAGAGATGCTTTCCCATTCAGTTCATGTAACCCACACGCACACACTGAGTCGTGTGACATTCGAAGAACTCGATGTCGTCGGTCTATTAAAAGAGCCTAATATGAGCAAATCCATAGAGTCTGTTGAAATGCATATTAGGCTACTAAGGACTTGACAAACTTTGTCGTGAACTCATTATACATATGCTTTAATCTATCCGTAGCCGAGGGTCATTTACCAAAAGACTGTAGGGACTCCCTACTAACTCCTGTCTTCAAAACAGGTAAGAAACATAAACCTGTACATTACCGACCCGTTAGCCTAACTAGTGTGGTTGTTAACATTTTAGAGATTATTCGGGAGGAGCTGTTTAAGTTTCTCGATAAAAACCGGATCCCTTCAGAAAAGCAGCATGGTTTCGGAATAGGTTATTCCTGTCTCACTAACTTATTAGTCGCTTGTGAAGGCTGGTGCTCTCTTAGGGACCAAAAGTTACCTGTAGACGTAGCCTACATTGACTTCAGAGAAGCTCTTAACAAAGTTCCGCACAACCGGCTGTTATCTAAGTTAAGAAATGTCGGGGTTGGAGGCAATCTACTGATGTGGGTAAAAGACTTCCTAGTTGTGCGGCAACAGAGAGTACGGGTGAACTCCGAGTAGTCTAGCTACGAAATTGTGCTTGGTGGAGTGCCCCAGGGTACAGTTTTGAGGCCAGTGCTATTCCTCTTGTATGTAAATGACCTTCCTCGTCTCCTATCATCATCGGTCTTGCTATATACTGACGATGTCAAGATATGGAGAACGATACTATATAAGGGTGATAGATTAGAACTCCAGAATGACCCAGAGAAATTATCTGAATGGTCTAAAACCTGGCAGTTTCCGATAAATGCATCTAAGTGCATTAGGATGCATATTGTATTGATCGTTTATTATGTATCGAGACTACTGTTCATACTTTAATTGAATTTATTTCATTCAAATTATACGATAAAAATATCGTTTTTGTTTCTAATTTCGTTTATTATCGGTACTTATAAGTAGTTTGTTTTCTATTGCATTTGTTAGTACTTTAGGTCCTAACAGTTTACAGTTTTCCACCTTTTTGATCATAGATCACTTTCGTCTCTGGGTACTATTGTGTCTAGTTTTTTCGGAGAACCTCTGTTCAATGACTGGACAGTGGAAGAAAAGCAATTACCGACGTCCGAGCTGTTGATATCCCGTTGAAAGCGGCATGCAGTGTGATGAGTACAACGGCTGGTATCTCGAAGTTTGCACGAACTTGACGCCTGCGGCTATAAAACTGTTTAGTGTAAACGGTTGAATATGGCTTTGTCAGTAGTGCAGTTTGGGCTCAAACAACTTGCTAACCGAGGCCATCTCAATGATAAATGCCGCAAATAAGTGTTTTGGCAAGCGTGGTAGGGACACATCGGACAGCACTCACTCTACCGACACACAAATTGATTTGAAGCCACCTCAAGTGAGGTCGGAAATAGCTGACTCACATCGATCAAGGGAGGAAAGGCTGTCTTCGAAGCGGTATTTCTTAATTAAAAACTCGAAAAAGGAAGTTTCCTGTCCCACATCCTCTAGACGGTACCCAGCACGAAAGCCATCGCAAGGCTCGATCGGTTTCTAGCGGTAAACACAACCTGATTTCAAATCGTTGATAACCCGCCCGAATCCCACAGTATGTTTGGCACGAACATGGTTGCTACTCCAACCATAGTTGACGAATGGGTACAGGTTGTAAGCAGGAAACAACATAATGGTATAAAATAAAATCCTATCCCCTCCCCACAAAAAAGTAGTCGAAAAACGGAAAGCTTATCAGTGTCAGGTCAGTTATTTTTCATAGAATCAAGGAGAGTGAAAGCTTTGAACCTAAAACTCCTTTTTGGCATAATTTTGGGTTGATAAAACAGATACTACATCAACTCATGCCTCAAAATATCTGCGGAGTCACCTTGCTAAAGGTGTACAAACTAGGTAGCCCAGAGAACTTGAAGCCTAGTCAATCCAGACTGCTTAAAGTAGTATTCAAATCTTCGAATAAACGGGACTTCATTTTACAGAATGGATATAAATTAAAGGGTTAAGGAGTTTTTTTCCGTAAAGACTTGATACCAGTAGACCGTGTTAAAACGAAGGGAAGCCGAAAACAAACTACAACCTATGTTAGACGCTGGTGAGAATGATCTAAAAACAGTAGATTTTCGGGTTATGGTTCTTTGACAGAGAATGATGCCAACGCCACTCTGGGTGCATCACGAAGCCAGATAAATAGGCTTCGGATCTTTTGCACTAATGCCTGAAGCTTGCTCAATAATCGGTTGAAACTATGCGTACAGACTGACTCTACAAAGTCATATATAATCACAGTCACAGAAACTTGGCTGAGGCAGCCTATAGATAGTATGGAACTTCATTTTGAGGGTTTAAGAGCTGACAGAATCCAGAAGCGTAAAGGAGGGAGAGTAGCTCGGTTCATTTGGAATGCTATTTCATTTGCCATTATCGACAGTGTA